TCGTGCGAGTGAAAGAATGATAGGCCGGGAGGGTCCAAATCATCGAACATCAGCCGATTATCTCCATGACTAGGCTGAACCGTGAATATCCATGATATCCTGATCATCCACTGTTATTCATTGTTGTCTGCTTCTTGCGTCGCATTGTATAGAACATACCTTTGGCTAACCCGCATAACAAAAGTCTTGGTGAATCTCCGCCTGCATTGTACCTAGATTAGGTTACCTAGGTATGCAATGCGGGCATTGAGGTGCTTATTCACAATGGAAACAAACCCAACTCTGCGGTACCTCAGAGTCAAGCCTCACTCACATCGAGAGAATACGGAGTGCTCCTTGCAGAATGCCACAGCACTGACAGGGGTCACGGAGCCGCGGTGAACGGAAAATCAAGGGTACCGGGCCAATCATCTGACTCAAAAGTGTCCTGGAAGTGCCCGAAACGGCTTAGAGTGATATCGATGGGCGTGGCTGGTGGATTTCCGATGATCAGGGGTGTATAATTTCTGAGGGCATTTAGCAGACTCTACAGCGGCCTGCAGCGCACTTACAGTGGCAGACAGATTTACCCCCGCTTTTATTGGCTTGTTTGGCGCATTGGATTCATCCGTTTGGGTCATGCTGCTGGGGGACCGGTATTATTGGGAAAAAAAGGGACTCGAAGTGCTTCTCCGTCTCATTCATTACATTAGAACCTCCTTCATATTCACGACTTCAACGACTCGGCACGCCAGCTGATCACTGCTACTCATCATCCTCTACGTGATACTGAGCTGGCCAATCTCACGGATTAGTCAATTTTTGCCTCAGCTGCTGTATTGCTGTTGCAGTTGCGTGGCACTTGCGGTCACTGCCAGCAGGCAAAAACTTCTGATCTATACGTACCTCACACCTCCAGACCCGGTCTCTCAGATTCAGATTCAGATTCCTCCACTGTCACTTCACTTCACTTTCATCCTACACCCGTAATCATCTTCCTTCTCCTCTAACACAGCGCGCCTTGTTTTTCATATCCTCTCCCCTTCAACGCACGCGGCTACTTGTCTCTCTTTGTTCTCCGCGTTTCTGCTACGAACAAGGTCTTTCATCGCGCCAAAAGTCACGTACGGCCTCTGCGCTCTCTTTCATTACCTTGCTCAAGGACTACCCAGGTACTTCACTCCCCCTGTCACTGGCGCGTGGCACATTCTCACACCTTTAACCTCCAGAAAAAGCTGGTACCCGGCCCGCTACTTTGCTTTACTTTACCTTGCTCTGCTTTACTTTGCTCTACCTCACCTCACATCACCTACCAACACCACCATTTACCTTTTCTCCTCACCTCTAGCTACATGACCCATTGTACTCATCATGCCTGAGAACGATTCTCCCGCAAGGGAACCTTCCACTCGTGGTCGTGGCCGCGGCGGAAGAGGTCGTGGTGGACGAGGTAGAGGTGGTGGCAGAGGTGGCTCTACAGCCGCTCTATCCAAGGCGGCTACTGCAAAGGCCGGCCGTGGTGGCTCACGACGAGGCCGAGCAAAGAACTTTGCCGATTCGCGCGTACAGGCTGCTTATGAGCGTCAACGGCATCTCAAAGCAAATTATCAAGCTGTTGCTCACGCGCTGAAGCCCGCCCTGCAAGAGCTGGCTGAACGCACTATTGATGATGCTCTTCAAAATCCAGACAAGTATAAACTTGTTCAGGAATTCATACCTGCTATGGAGGAGCTCCAAGCAAACCTCGATGCCAAACTCGCCGAGCACAAGCGTCGTCTGGACAGAGACCTTCAGCTCGCCCAACATTTGCATGAAGCCGACAATTACGTCGCTGAACAAGAATTCCAGGTATGTCGCTCTCCTCTGACGTGACCCAGTCCCGTACCCGATATTTCTATGAGGCTCTTGGTAATTTACTCACACAACCACTCCCCACAGAACGGCCTTGATGAGATTGAAGAACAGTTCTACGAATCACAAGAGAACCGTGCTCGAATTCTTAATTCCTTGTATGACAAGAACCTTCCCGTCGATGTAAGTCAGAGTTTTTCAGACTTTTCTGTCTCTACTCTACCTTCTTTCACCACTTGGCTTTCCCCAACTTTAATTGATTATCTACCCATTACGGTAATTGGGGGCGCAACAGCTGACACGCACAACGCAGATTGCCGATGATCAGTATGAGTACAAGGTTATCAGCGATGAGCATTATGACGAAGAATTTGGAATCTACGAGTGCTACCAAGATGGCCATCTCGTCCCTTATCCTTCTCGTGTTCAAGGCACTTCCATGTGGCGAAAGGGACGCGAGAACGAAGCGGCTGCTACAGCTGCAGTTACAACCGCTGCCACCGCTTCTTCAAAGGGCCGTGGGCGTGGGCGTGGTGTCAACAAACGCAGAGCCCAGGACCAACCAGACGGTCAACCTACTCCCAAGAAGAACACCAGAAGCAACGCTGACGATGGCGCATCTGTTGCTGCTCCCGCTCCTGCTAAGGGTCTTCTCGCTTCCGCTGCTGAAGCCGAGGCGACACCCGAGGGCACTCCAGCTGAGTCAGAATCAGCGCCAGGGACTCCAGAGCCTCCCGCTCTTGTCAATGGCATCACTCCCGCAGCTGCTGCTCGGGCTCAAAGTAAATTGCCTGCTCGTGAAAGGAGCCCCCCGTTGCCAAAGAACATGGGCGATGAAGATCCGTGGGGCTACCGCATATATAACCAGAAGCCATCTATGCGAGAAAAGGGCATTAACAGTCGCCTTTTCTGCCCTCGTACCTTTGAGTTCAATGACTGGGAAATAGGCTTCAGGGACTCCACGAATGACTCCAGCAAGGGTCATACACATGCAAAGCGTGGCAAGTACCTCAACACTCCTAACAGCAACGGTCTTCACGTCGATCATTGGTGCAATGGCTACGACTTCTCAACTACAGTTCCCGAAGATTTTGATCAAGACACGGTCAAGCGCTTTGGTGTGCACCCTAAGTATGGTGTTATCATGAAAGATGCACCTGTTCCCGAAGTCAAAAAGACTCCACACGTCATGCCAGGGAAGCCTGTTGTCTATATTGCGAACCCTTCGGGTCGGATTGCTCATGCTTCACGTTCATTCCTCAAGACTACCAACCACCGTCGTTCGGATGATAACCCATACCGCGCCAAGATTGGGGCTTCGATGAGACGATTTTGCAAACTTGAAGAGGTCGACCCTGAAGAGATCTCTATATCTGAATATGTTCGTTCTGATGAGGTTTTGCGAAGCAGATCTTTGGGCACTGCCGCCAAGGAGCTTGAAGTTAGACCTGTTGTCAGCCGAGTCGCTTCTGAGTCTCAAGAGCCAGAAAGTGAGGAACAAGAGCCCGAGGGAGAGGACGCTGAAGCCCCTCAACCCGAGACTGGATTCACTGACCTTGCCGTTCTTGCCTATGCTGGTGCTTTTCTTGAGACTGAAGAATCGAACAAGGCTCCCAAGCCTGCGCCTAAGCCAGCTCGCTACGACGCTATTCGTGATGTCTTCACTGACTCAAAGCCTGCTCCTGCTCCTACGCCCGACACCAGTTCCAGCGTTGGCCTCGATGTTTTGGCTGCCTTGAGCAATGTTGTAAGCACTTCCAACGAATCCGCTCCTATCCGAGAGGCCGAACTAGTCTACGACACTGCTCCAGCAACCGAACTTGCTATGAGCTATGAGCCAGCATCTGTCCCCGAAGCGCCTTCTATGCTTGAGCCATATGGTACTCAGGAGCAACCATCCTACCGTGATGCCATGTCAAACGGCATGGGACCTGGCCCCGTTTCTTCTCATGGAATGCTTGAACATGACCTTCGAAGCTCCGTCTCCCAGACTAATGAGCTCCCGCCTGTCACCCCAAGCCAGGCTCCTATTGACCCTCGATACAATCCCAGCCCTGTCGAGGTTCCCCAAGGGTACATGCACCAGCCCCGCGCGCAGATGTCAATGCAACCAAGCGGCCCAGTGCATGGTCATCCTGGAGAACCCATGGCCTATCCACCTATCCAGGAACACAATGTTTCACAGCATCCGCCAGTGCGACATCCGGATTACCCTCCCGCCCACCCATCTCAGGGCCCTCCAGTTCAGGATCAGGGGGCATACCTGTCACATAGCAGCTACCCGAGCACAGACCCCCGTGATGCTCACATGGCTGCCGGTCGTCCTATCGATCCCGGGTACTCTCCGCGCCGTATGAGTATCTATGGTGCTCCCGAGCCGAGCTACTCCCGTGCGTACTGGTCGCAACCTCCTCCCCCGGGACCAGCACCTGCCGGGCCTTCAAATGCTCCTCCCGGACCTCCGGGACCAGCACCAGGCCCAGTATCGTCTCACTATGCATCCCCAGCCCCTCCCCCAGCGCGGATCCCGTTTTCTCACAATGGCAGCGCCGAGCCTCTACCACCTCTGCGACCTTCGCGAGGACGTAATCAGTCTCTTCAGGATGAGGCACTGTTGGAACCTAGCTTACGATCCTCCGGTTCTTACTACCCGCCCGGTCCTCCTCGCTCTTATCACCGAGGGTACCCTGGCCCCGAGCCACATGGGCAACCACCGCTTCAGCCGATAGCGACTGATCGAATTCTGCCAAACCCGCAGACTGCTGGGCAAGGTTATGTGACCTCGCCTCATCAAGGCTACGCCCATCAAGTACTATCTCCAACGTATGCGAACCCCCCTCCTATGCCCCCTCACATGGCTCAAAGCCCCCAAGACAATCCTCAAGGTCTTCCCAGTTCGATCCATGGTCATCGATCCACCCCTTCAGGGTCGTCTGACGCTGGGAACAAGTATCGAAAGCTTCAACCCGCCCCCGTTCCCGCGCACCGAGCGTGGCCGAATAAGCCCGAACTGAAGACCATCCCATACGACCACAAGGAGACTGGGTCTGCCGCGGCACTGCCCAGCTCTGGGCCGACCCAGATCAGAGGATGGAGCGTAAACCAAACGCGCAAGCGAAGTGGCAAAGAAAGGGGCGAGCCTGGCCAAGATCGAGAAGACTCGCGATAGAATGGTGACGACTCTTCATCCAAGGCAGATGGGCAAGCTAAGCCTGCGCGGCCCTACAAGTCCGTCCGATTCGCCGAGCCTGCTATTGGCGTGCCACCTACTGCACAGAAACTGAACAAACGCAAGCATTCTGACACGCAACCAGACGAGGATGTTGTCGCAGTTGAGCCTTCAGCTAAGAAATCTAAGAATAATGACGATGTTGCCGTGGTGATTAACGAGGACGGCAATTCGCTCAAACGACGACTGCGCCCTAGGAAGCCCAAGACCACCGAGGCTGAGCCCATTGCAACTAAAGCTGGGCCCGCGAAGAAGAAGCCGAGAGCGGCTCAATCGCGCAAGAGCAAGACTGTCGAGGCCACCAAGACGAAAGAGACTGCGGTGAAGAAGAAGATCAAGATCGTCAGTTCCAGCACTTCTAACACGACGAGTGATCAAGATGTGGAGTCTGCGACCTCAAAGGGTAATTCCTCATCCGCCAAAGAGCCTCGAGTTAAGGGCGAATCTTCTGATGATGTCCAAATCATCAAGAGTCAGCGAAAAGTCATTACTATTGACAGCACTGACGAGAGTTCATAGTAGAACTCTACACCTCGAGAAGCACGGCCATGTTCAGCGACAGCTGATAATGCTCACCCGCTGTTTCTTTCATATTACTACCGCAGCTCAGCTGCTACGATACCCAACACTTATACCCCAAAAGTCGGTCTTATCATATACTGATTTAATCGTTTTCGATGAGGGCATAGTCCCTCTCTTATTCGCATCGGCGGCGTTAGGCAAGCATAGCCCCGGATATAGAGGGGCAGATAATATGCATTGCGTTCTTTTGACTTTACATGCGACATGGTTTTCGACATTTGGCTTCCTGCTTTGCTATATGAAAGGAGTGCGAATTGGACGCGAATCACAAATGGCTTTTGCTTGCAGTCCCTTTGAATGCAATGGAAGGGGTCGATATCCGCCTCTCAAGGAGAAGAATGAGGTGACGACAAGGCAATTATGGTTTTCTTTTTGGAAGGGTACAGGAATACAAAAGCATCAGGGCAACGTGGTCATACCCCCTTATATATTAGCTAAGTCTGCTTACCTATGTTGGTAGAGCACAATAGAGTCAATAAGCTAAAAGCACTGTGATAATCGAGTGACTGTGTTGATGATCGCAATTGTGACATGTTCTTAAGCCCGGAATTCTAGCTGGGGTGTTTAGCTTGGAGATATAAAAGAATATTCATTATTACATCAAATCTTTCCGGGCCCCTTGCATGTCATGTGTGAGTAGTCTTATTTAGTATACAGAGGTATCGTCTATCCCCAAGTCTTCCGTCCCCTTAGCTGGGGCCTTCTCTATTGACTTTCGAGATCGGACCAAATTATAATATAGTACGGGCGAATTGTTTATCCCCCTTTAGTGCCCTGTCCAAGATCTTGCAAATCACTGCGATAAGTCCTTCTAGATGCATCTCGGCGATATGGCTAGTCTACTCTTTCGATTCCGAGGCACCGGGGTTTGCCGGCGTCTCCTGAGTGGTCTGCTCAGCTGTGACTTGTGCCGTGTGCCCTTGTATAGGCTGCTGAGGCACCTGCGTTGCGGCATTGAATTGCTGTGTAGGATCGGCTAGGGAGCCGTCGGGCATAGGAATAAGATTGCCGTTCTGGGGAAGGCCAGTAGGAACCATGATGGGATTGTTATGGTGAGGCAGAGCCCCCATGGCAGTTGGGTCAAGACCCAAAGGCAGAGCATCCATGCCGCCCAGAATCATAGGCGCACCGCCGTTGGGGACAGTATGGTCGGTGAGTTGCGATGCCCCGAGCGAGCCTTCTGGGTGCAGAGGGTACATGAGCGCCTCCATAGTTGTGCCGTCGAAGACGACCATGTTCTGAATAGGCTGTTGGGTTTGTCCGAGAACGTTGATGACGTCCTGGGCAAGTTGACCACCGAGGATGGCGGCAACAGGAGAGATTTCGCTGACGAGGTTCTGAAGGAAGCTACGCAGAAACTCGGGGCGGAGAGTTTCACTGGGCAGGCCAAGAGCCTTGTGCTTCTGAGTGGCGATCTGCGTGAACAGCTTAAGATCATCGCGATTGCTGGGGACTCGGCCGTTCTGGATCTGCATGAATTCCCAGAGAGCGCGGAGACAAGACAGGGCGGGGGTGACACTCTTGAGTCGTCGCTTGGATTGGGTGTACTCGGCAGGAAGAACAGCAAGGTCACTGGCGAGGAACCACGTAGAGTAGAGCTCGCGCTTGGTGACAGACTCAATTGTCTTGGGACCCTCCTTTCGAGTCTGGACATCAACGATAGTGCGAGTACGAGACTCTGGGCCAATGGATGTGGGCATGTTTCCCAGGTCACGCTGGATGACATAGTCGTGTTCGATAAGATCGCTGAAGATGAAACCATAGAGGCCATGACAACCGGCAGCGTAGAAAGCCTTGCAGTTCAGGCGTGTGGCAGTGTTGATGATATTGAAAGACTCAGGGTCAAGATCAGTGGCAATGACAATATCATAGGCAGCAAAGTAGCTTGGTCCCTTGGTCTTGACACCTTCTGTATCGACGTGAACACGAACACGGGGGTTGAGCTTCTGCAGAGCGGCGCTGGCGACTTGAGCGCGGTTCTGTCCGATGACATCTTCACCACCAGGGATGAAGAATTGGGCGCCACGATCTGCTTCGGTAACAGTAGCACTGTCTAGAAGAGTGAGAGAGCCGACACCAGCAAGGACAAGATTCTTTGCAATTTCATTGGCGAGGGCCTTGATGGTGATGAGAAGGATGTTTGCGCTTTGGATCTTTGCCTGTGCGGCCATGCCCCAGAGGCGGATCTGGCGGTCATACAAAGCGACCTCATCTGGCGCACGTTAGAAATGATTTGTTAAGGTACGATTTGCGCGCGCAGGACTTACCAGCACTGACAGTAGCAGGGGGAGCCACGGGAAGACTGAAGCCATTTTGGCCATTTGGTAAGCCCATCCCAGGTTGCATCATGAATGAAGGGTCAGCCAGAGGCATCTGCATGGCCATCAAGGAGGGATCAGCCATGAGTGAGGGATCGGCCAACATGCTCAGCGCCTGAGGGTTCATCGGGTTGAGGAGATTCTCTGGTAGTTGGGGAATGCCATTGCCGTTGACGTTGATATTAGCGCTAGCATCGATATGAGGAATTCCCTCTTCTTGCACTGAAGGATTCGGGAGTTGTTGTGCTTGGGGCTCAGCTTGAGGCTGGCCTTGATCCTGGTTCGAGTTGTCCATCGCAGATAGACTTGGGGCGAAGTCGGAGGATAGAGTTGATGCGATGTAATCAAGCGAATGAAGTGCCGAGATTGTGGTTTATCGCAGCGCAAGGCTGAAAGGCCGTAGAGCGATATCGCAGAGGCTTGTTATGAAGGAGATGAGGCGAAGACGCGTGATAGAAAAGGCCCAGCCTGCTGGGTGAGATTCAGCTTCTCCCGGTCAACAAAAGCACTTTTCATCTACGGCGCAAGCATCCACCTGAGAGAGGACCACGGGCGGGTATGTACGTATGTCCTGTCCCGTCTCGTCCCGTCTTGTCTTGTCTTGTCTGCTTGATTGCTAAAAGGAGGCTGAAGATGCCTATCATAACTTGGTCGAATGTTGGCTTTCACGTCAAGGAGTTATGAACCTGGAAGTTAGTGAGGTGGACTAGCCCTGCAATGATTGGCTGGATGAAATTTGTTAGTGGGATCGATGTGGGTACGTTCTGTAGGTACCGCTTGGTGGGTCTCTAACGCTGCTCTGGGGAATTTCAAGGCTGCTGCTGTAAGGCCATGGATGACCCATTAGTCAGGTAACGACGATGTCAGAGATGCCTAAATAATTCACAGTACACAACACAGAGTATCCCTCTGTAAGTAGGTACCTAGGTATGCTGCAAGTGAAGCGGACTCCACTCATATACTGTATTTTAGGTAAATATTTGGAGTTTTCTCCAATGTTAATGTAGCTCGGAGCTGTTTGCTGAATCGAAACCACCTCATTTCGTCCCGACAGGCGGGAACTAGATCGCAGGCACAAAGGGTCCCCTGAATATCACGTGCAATTAACGAAACATGAGTACCTTGGGTACTATACCTATCGCCCTCAACTCGCAAAGACTTACCTAGTAGTAAACAGCAGAAATAACAAAAAGAGTGTTTTTAAAATGTAACACAGCAACTATACGGTTTTGAATATATCATTACCTTCCTTAAAGAGAGAACGAGGCTAACTGGGTCAAGAAGTTGGTGTTGCAGGGACATGACTTGCGTCTGGTCTACTTGATGCAAGCATATCACGTACAGGCTGCAGGGGGATGATACGAGGTAGGTATCTCCTCTTCTGTTTCTTCCCAGACTGAAAGGAAGATGCCTGTCGCCAAAAAGAAAAAAACACTTTGACAGTTATGTAGTGTTCATAGGTAGGCAATATGGGGAAATATGTGACTTAGGCGCATGCTTCACGCACATTTGGTACAACGAACAACCAACAATGCATACGTGACTGAACATTGAGGTTTAATAAGGACATTTAATTGTTAGCAAACCTAGAAAATAGTTTCCAAGTCACCATTTGTTTTATCGGGTTTGAGTTGTTTGCCATTTGCCCTGATAGTTGAATACAACATGATACTCGCACAATGTTACACATGATTGGTACGAGTTCAGCCATGCTGCAACACCAGACCAAGGTTTCTTACTATAAACTGACTACAGTGCATATAAGAACCTGGTCTTTGCTCAAGTTGAGCTTCTGGACGAACGAATACAGTGCTGGGACCCAAGTCGTGGCCTATCCCTTGATGTGGCTTTTACCGCCTTTATCCCCCATACCATCCATCATGGACGGCTCAAAAGGTCAGTCAGCCCAGCCCAGCCCTGGCTATGTCACTTCTTTACAACCGTCACCTCTCACAACAGATCTGTCCCTTTTCTCCCTTAGAGGCTTTGCATATCTAACCCAATACTTGCTGCAATATCTCACCGCTACCGCCAAGTTAAGCTATCAACGAATATTCGTCTCTACTGGCGTCTTTGCTACTACGCCGTCTCTCCGCTCGCCCCCGCCAAAGAACGGCGACTTTTTACTCAGAGTCACGGCTCATGTGCCGTGGTACGCCTGACCTTTGGCTGGGAGACAACCTTGGCAGCAGCAGGAAAACTGCAAGGTAGAGAGAATAGATACAGAAAAAAAAGGCGCATGATACCTACCTGTATCGCCTACCTACCTCTGTCAAGGATGAGCATGAAATAACAGGTACGGCGGCTCAGCGAAGAGCAAAGGCCAATGATGATTGACTGACATAAACCCCCCCAACGGCAGAGTCATTCGCACAGTATCCAATCCCTAGCCTGTTGCTCAACCATTGTCGCCATCGAGAAGACACCACAATCAGGCTGTGATTCGGGGGTTCTTCTCACTTAACTCACGACGAGATCAACGAGTCTATTACTCCCGGAGAGCCAAGTGTACCCTTGCGCCAATACTACTTAACTGCTGTCCCTTGGACGACAACGATTAACGGCCACTCCTCAAACCATCATCATTGCTATTTTGGTCACATTTCATCTGACAAAAGACGGGACCATCAGCGGCCATCCCTCTTCGCTTCGCTTCAGTTCAACCCCACGTCATAACTCGCATCCACATCCACAGTCATAGTCAGAGCCATATCCATAGCCATTACCGCCCACCGACTGACTAGTGAAACCCCCCCCCAGTCCCGCCGTTAATTCATACATACATATACATCCAAAATGTCTGGCCGGTCGGGATCAAACTCCCACCGTCGCCATTCCCGAGAACCCCTCGACGACTTTCCACCGCTTCCCATACCGCCTCGACTGCCTTCTCTGAGAGCCCTCGCCCACGCCCAGCGAGATCGTGACCGAGACAGCCCCTCGCCGACTTCTTCCAACCGCCCTCAGTCCCGGCACTGGTCAGCCGCTTCACGCCGCGCCGACCGCATCCGGAACCTGGAGAACAGAGCCCCGGGTCCCGGCTCCGGCTTTGACGACTTTGAACGGCCCATGGACGACGGCTGGCCGACTTCTCGACGTACTGACCGCATGCGGGCTGCCACCGCCGCCGAGAACACCAGACCCTCCAACCTCGAAGACCTCGATCGACACCTCGAGGAAGCCAATTCACACCTGCGGGCCCTTCTCGATCTTCAGCACCACCCAAGCCTTACTCCTCCGCTCATGCCGCCCAACTTCTCTCCTCCACTCCGTCCCTCAGATCTCCCTGACTCGAATCGACGGCACAAGCGCCGGAAGCTGGATTCTGATCGTCTCGCGCCGGCCTTACGAGGCTTTCGTTATGGCAAGTATGGCCAGGTCGAGCAAGGAGATCTTAAGATGGAGATCGTCAGCTGTGATGGGGGCATGTTCTCCAATGAGTTATCATACGCCGCTGAGAATATCCTCAAAAACGACACCTCGGTGTACTGCACAAAGGGAAATAGATGCAACATAGTATTGAGACATCAGGGTGGCACCGTTTTCACTCTCCAGGAGCTGGTCATAAAGGCGCCTGCGTCGTCCAACTATTCACATCCGTATGTTGTCCCATGCATTACAGCATGATCCGGACAACATGGCTAATTCTGTAACAGCGTGAGAGAGGGAATGGTCTTTGTGGCTATGAACCAAGACGAAGTGCTCAACCGAACAGCCCGGTACCAAATTCAATATGCACAGCCAACGAATGAGCCAACGAATGATGAGGACCCGAGAGTTCTTCAGCCCATCCCAACTGAAATAATATCAGTACAGCACCATGAGAATGGCACTACGACCACGAGGTCTCGGCCAGCATACCCCTACCGCACCAACGCCGATGATTACGAACCACGGACACCGCAGATGCCTGAAGAGTTCGCCTCCAACCTGCCCGACTTCCAAGTCACTACTGAGTGCAGCGACGACGAAGACGACGATTTTGACGGCCCCCGTTTCCTACGCCGTGCACCCAACCGCATCGGCTCCCTCCCATTCGAAACCCTCGACTCTGACTCCGATGAAGGCGGTAACCCCTTTGATCCCGAATACCTCGACGACCACCATCCCTCCCACTGGCGCCTCTACAGTAGTGCTGCCAATACTAGCGGCCCAGGGTTTGATCCTCCATATTCGCGCCGCCGCGAAAGAGAGAGGGAACGAGAAAGAGAGCGGGACCGGGACCGGGACCGCGATCACGATCGCTCCAACCGATCTTTCTCCCTAACAGAAGCTTGGGAAGCTCACGCCTCTGCTACGCAAGACGCCGTTCGAGCCGTCGGTGGTGGTCAACTGCTCTCTCCACATGCCCGTTTCAACATAGAGAAGAAGAAGAGCAAATGCACAATTCGCTTCGACCCCCCCATATCAGGCCGATTTATACTCCTCAAGATGTGGAGCTCCCATCACGATCCCACGAGTAATATTGATATACAGTCTGTCTTGGCTCGAGGTTTTGCAGGACCTCGCTACTTTCCTTCGGTTGAGCTGCGCTGAGATGGTTTGTAAAATATGCATAGACGGAGATGCAATGTATCAAGGTCTTGGGCTTTCAGTTCTAAGGAATGATGGCAATATACCCGTTAGAAGATGCTGGCTGATCATTATGTGCTGGGAGCTTTTTGCTTGTTTGGTCTGTCTACTGACTTGAAAGTCTTCACGGCCCATAGTCACAAGAATTATCATATTGAAAGAACAAGGAAAGCATACCCGAATAAACCCTCTACCATCTACTGGTGTAAAGATACTTGCAGCCTGCACCGACCATACGCCCAACCGAACTATAATAATGATAACAACAAACCAAACCCCTGACCTCGAGACGTCCACACAAAACCATCACCGGTTTTTCTTCTCAGTTGTTCAAGGCTGGCCATTATACCTGGCTAGTTCGGCAACTATTGGGGCCAGTAGGTGCATGATCCGCCCAGTCCTTTGGCGTGTCCAGGACCGCAGCCAGCAAAGTGATGAAGATGCCGAGCAGCCTGGGGATATGGTTAGTAATTGCGTAGATGTCCCTACCCTGCCATAATCACACTTACAGGTTGATGTGTGCCATAATCACTGCTGCCTTGCCTAGGGGCCAGTCAAGCGTGAAGGGGAAGTCAAAGTTGTAAGTATGGGCCCAGGTGAGGTAGAAGATGACCAAGAATACGAAGGTCGCCACGCCTATAACCCGGAAAACGTAGCGAGCAACGCGGTGATTGAAGTGTCGAATCTTGGTAAAGAGGAAAAGAAGGGTGATGGAGGCAATGACCCATGTGATACCAGCGACAACAGCGAGGAGCAGGTATGGTCGTACTGAGTCCTTCACGAATTTGCCTGGCTCGAAGCTGGTGACATCGGTATAAAAAGCATCCGGGGAGCCAGCTGTGGAAAGGTAATCTTCGTTATAGACTCCCTGTACGAGCAGCGCTTTGATATATCCCCATTGTTTGTCCCAGTACAGGCCAGCAGTGGCCGCGTTGAGGATAAGTGTAAAGAAATTGGTGATGGTGAAGAGGAATAGGAAAGCCTGAAGGATGGTGCCGCCTGCGCGGCCAGCACCCTTAGGTTGATTCATCATTACAAAGAGGAACAGAAAAAAGCCTGAAAGGCGATGGAGTGTAGTGGTATCGGACAATGGCAGGTGTTGATAAATGCTTTGGATACCAAGAAAGAAATAACGAAGATGATGGTGAGAAGAAGAAAGGCTCGGAAGGGGTTGAGTAAATGTGGTTTTATTCATCCTTCGATGCCCGGGCACCTTCCTTCATCTGACATGAACAGGACGTTGATGGAGGCAGTTACAAATGACTTCACGGGGGGACAGAAGTTGACACTTCTGGATTGTTATCTGCAACTTCCCCAATATCCGAGATACCTGAGATAGCATCAGATACCCAAGGGAGGCACCCCCTTAAGACTGAGTTGCTCTCAACATTCTGGTTGTTGCATTCTGTTTTGCGGTGCTGAAGTTTCTCCAATGCCTGGGACCTTTATTTCTCCCGACCAAGCAAGGAATTCGCCCCAGGCAGTGCTTCTCGATTCTTTTGGAGTTGAGATAGCCTGCTTTCTTGCTGTCTTCGACCACCTCACTAGAGAACCTACCTGCAAAGCTTGGGTTCAGGACATTGGAGGCAATCGCGATGAAGGTATGCGAGAAGCAACTTTACCTTATAGGTAAGCAACAAAGCCTTTTGAAGGCAGTCGTATACCAAACTGAGCACCTGGGTACCTACGGCAGGTAGTTCCATTCACGTGTGAAAGGACTTATAAGTTCAACATCAGTCTGTTGGGTGCTATGCAAATGCGACTCAGTGGGAGATACTTAGGTTAGTAGGTAGTCAAGTGGAAGCATCCATCTCAACTAGGTAGGTGCCTAGTACCTAGGCTTAAATACTTGCAAGGGAAAAAATACCTATCTACCTTAGGTAGTGGACAAGTAAGGAAAGTTCCAAGTGAGTATAAGTCCATTGTTGCCTTGTAGGCTGAGACCTTGTGGGCACAAGTCCAACGAACCACCTCCGGGTTGTTGCTTCGTTTGAATCGGCTACTAGGTACCTTACCTAAGGTATAGAACGTTCGCCAGCCTAAGGTACCTTACTATACCTACCAATGACCAAGACAAATGAAACAAGAGATTGGTGTTTCCGCAAACGAGGGCAATGACGAAGATGGTGGAACCGCACGACTAATAAGAGTAGGCTGATTGAAGCTGTTCAAGCAGGGTCAGTAGGCAGGATTGTGACGATAGTCTGTATGAACGGCACGCGGGGCTCTCATTTGTCAAAATGATCCAGCTGAAAGAGCTGGAATTTGTGTGGTAGATAGTCGCCAATACCGTTCATCCTAAAGCGGCCGAAAGACCAAGGGTTGTAACTAAGATTCTGGAGACTTTACTCCAGCGCCCTAGGCCTCGACTGTGTCTTCAAACTCCACAATGATCAACCATTCACAACTTTGAGATGACGGAGGCAGCTTGACGCCATAGTCTACCGTCCATGTCGCCCTGCCTACAAAGGTACTGCACCTGCATGTAACCAGGTCAGAGGTACAAACAAAAGTCTAGAATTGTTACCACGCTCTAAGCAAGCAAATATGGTAACTTTCGAATAATAATGTAAAAGAATGTCCAGTACAACAATCAGAGAGCATACTGTGCATCCAAGTTTCCACCATACTGAAAGTGACACACGACAGTCGTTGCCATGAAAGCCATCAATGATCTTGCAAAATCGAAGGGAGATCTCTTCCGGGGTTGCTTGATCTTGTGCAGCCACAAGGCGCTATAGATCGTGGCAATCAAGTTCATCAACGTGCCGGCGCGAAAGTTTGTTCCTGTTCTAGGATGAGGTTAAGGAACCAGATGGAGAAGGGAACGGCCTGGACTTGCCAAGAAGTGGTCTGAGTTTGGCCGGGCTTGTGGGTTGAAGGGTGAAAATGCGTGGAAAAGCTTGAGATGGCCCTACGAACCTAGATTAAGGTAGAAACTTTGCTTTTGCATTTCTGCAGGTTCCCGTCTAGGACAGCCTAGAACTACAGGCAGGGCGAGACAAGGCAAGACAAAGACGTGCGGGGACGTTGGAGCCGTTCGGGAAGGGCTCCTTTATGCAGTAGTGCTATGCAGGTGATAGTGATACTGCATGATTTATATGGGTAAGGTTGGTTGCATTGATCCTTCAGTTGCCTTATCCTGTGACCATGATTATGGACTCAGTTTCAGGGACTCGACTCGATAACGAGGGATTTTCACCAAAGGCCAATATTGAGTCAAGGTCCCTTGATCAATCATTGTCATGAATATGTCATTCATGACTCTACTAACAATGGAACGTACTACCTACCTAAGTATGTTGGTGAGATCAGACCCCTAAGGGAGAAAGAAAACTTCAGACCTTGACAATAGATGCCAAAATAAACTTATCAAAGAACCCCCTAAAGTTATGATACTATACCTAAGTATTTTTCTCATTTGGGATCGAGGTCCTAAGTTTTATTGCCTTCCTTTGACAGACCAACCTCCAGCTACGTCAAGCCCACAATGATAAAGTGCCTTTGGAGACTGTGGCGTGTCTCTACATTCCACAGCGTTCAGGGATCAACGCTAGGGCGTTACCAAGCTCGGCCGGCTTGCTCGCCAACTGTTGGTAGTGAGACACTACGAGACGACATTTTGCAGTGTTTATTCCGGAAAGGGTTTCACAGACAATTGGAACGTCTTTCTCAGAAATGCAGACATGGTCATCTTTTATAGATGGACCTGATAGTCTTTCGGAGCTGTGTCAACTTGGGGCTGCAGAATTACCCCATTGGTACAAGTTTGTTGGCCACTAAAGGACCCCTCAGATACCTCAACCACTCAACTCTGTCCAAACAAATCCACCATCAGAGCATATCCAAGTTGCCCAACCATACCCGTCTATCCGCGGAGTGGAGGAGGTGTAGGGTCTGGTTCTTGGGTGTTACTGCACAGTCGGCTCCTCCTCAGCCGAACCCGGCCACGCGCAACAAACTGTGGTGTCAAGGTTAATATCTATGGCCTCCTCGCCCGCCATAAACCACCGTTCACCCATCGCTAACTCTTTCTTTCCACCACAAGCTGTCCCACCGCTCTCCCTCGACACAATCGATTTGGAGCAGCTCCCCACCTAATATATATCAATACGATCGCCACTACTAGCGTTCTTCTAGTGCTTGTCAAACTGGGTTCCTTTCTCTGGACCCCTGTTCCATCAAATCTCCCAAACCCCTTGGAACCGAAACATTAGCGATTATGCAGCCTCTGGATCCCCAGGGGCTCGTTGAGGATCGAGCTGCCGAGGAGGAGCATGGACAGTTTCCCATCGAATATCATTCGCGTCTAACGGGGCCGAGCTCCCAGGCGTCGTATGGCTCCAGTGTTCGCGCCTCGACCGCCCGGAGGCGAGCTGCTGTGACAAACAAACCCAGAAACAATAATCTATCAGAAACCACTTCCCTCCGCCTTTCCCCCGCGGCCCTCAAGACACCCAGCGCTGCTCAGTCGACTCCCCGTTCAAGTCCTCCTCTGGCTCCTCTCTCAGTGACACCTCCTACGACAGCTCATCACCCTCCCAGCTCTTCTGTTCGAACCCGCGATCCCGGTCTTCATGTAGAACCTACTTCTCCTAAACTTCAGTCACCTCTGCGTCACTCCATCAACTTGGCCGACAACAACTTGGACGTTGAATCGCAGTTCTACAAGATCTCCAGCAGTCAGCCTAGGCCGCTTTCTGTCGACATGTCGTTCACCGGCGACAAGAGGCCTGCTGCCTCCAAAACTCGGTCAAGTTTGCCTGCTGTTGTAGAGGAAGCTCCTCGAAACGGCTTCTCAACTTGGTTCTCTCGATCTAATGCACCTTCGCCTTTATCCACAACCGCCGCAGAACCTCGACGACGCAGTACATCCTCGGCCAAGCCATCCACACCAACTTCTTCTCGATTAAACTTTTTCGGCTCCCTTACTGCTTCACCTACTGCATGTCCCTCGGAAGAACAAAATGAGGCCCTCATGAATCTCGACATTGAAAAGGGTCTTTTCCCCAACGGCCTTCCTGTTGAAGGCACAGCTTTCTCGCCATCCGCCTTCAAGAATCTGCAGATGAACGCCACTGGTCTGCTGAGCAAGTTCCAGGCTGCTTATGAGCAACGCACAACAGAATTTAGGGAGCTCCAGGCTGAGCGGGATATTCAAAATTTCAACAAAAGTGAAGCTGAAATCAGGGTCCAACAGCTCGAGAAGCAGCTGGAGGAACAGGCTATCCTGATGGCAGAGCGAGATGCTATGATCGAGTACTTGCTCAACCGCTTGGCAAATGAAAAGGACCGCGCAGATGAGGCGAGTAATGGCGAGAAAGAGAATATTACCTCAGCAGCTTCGATCGTATCAGAAGATCTGGGCGTCGATGAGGATCGACTAAAACGCTGGCGAAAGAGTACTTCGACCTCATCTGATGATGAGAGCGTAGATGAGGCCAGTGTCTTCTCGCGATCCCGCAGCCCAACAATCTGTACCAACATATCTGAGATCAGTCCTGTTACTCAACCTAAGCCCGTCACACTGGAGCCTCCTCGTGCCACTGGTAGTGCTGCCGCACGAAACACCAACAACACTCAAATGGGCGCGTTTCAAAAACTTATCCGGGGCATGTCGAGCGAGAAGCCTAAGCCTGCGCCTGCGACATGCCTCAACTGCCAAGGGCAAACCGCCAGCATGGCTTGGGATACTGTCAGTCTTCTCAAGGACGAGAACAAGGGGTTGAAGGTCAGAGTGGAAGAATTGGAAACAGCAGTGGAGGGCGCCCTCGATGCTGTCAGTGGTCTCGGCTTATGAGACAGTCTTGAGCTGCGACCCGAATCATGATGACCTAACGCGAGACCCTCGATGGGTACTTGGCAGCTGCATTGTCAGTGGGAAAACGGCGTTATGATTACAAGGTATCTTCTTCTGTGGCCTCGGATGGCCGTTCTTTATTCTTTTATTGGAGTTGTGGGCTATAGCCGAAATGGATATACGGCGGCGTTTCTGGACATTTGATACCATTCTGCATAGGGTCTGAGGACCAATTTTACCTTCGTTAGCATAGAGACAGGATAGTCTTGTGAGATACCTTTTTACCTTGGCTTGAACCACCAAATTGAATCAATTTGATATTTTGATCAATTATTTCCTGAGCGTTGTCCTTGAACCGGGTCTACCTGTCTTGAAAGTCGGCTCGTTGCATAGACATTCACAGGCTGGTCAAGACTCGAGATGTTTATGGACCTTGCATGCTCATTCCGCTTTACTCATTGAGGAACAAAGCACACCTCCGTAAGCTTCACAAGTAACTGAGCGATCGACCCGATAATTGGTAGGGTGAGCATAGACACCAGTAGTCTTCACACCATCCACACTGATAACCATCGCAGTTGACAAAGAAAAGGAAGCCCTAGCATTCGAGTGATAATCGTAGGACAAAGTGTCACCAACAAGGAATGTTACCTATCCAGTTCAAAAGTTCTTCACGCCACCGATGTATTGGCTTTCCAGTTCGTTCCAATACCACAGCAAGTTCATGATGATGTCAGAAAGGCAGGTCCTCCTGCTTCTTGTTTTGATATTTCTTTTGATTGATGGTTCCATAATCTGATCAAACACCGTCCTCGCCGCGGGAGGTATATGTACAAAACTTCTCACCTCTGGATAGTTGCATTCCAGCTAAATCTGCTCCCTCAATCGTCGTATCCATGCACTCTAGTGGTGCTCCTCTCCATGCGCCTCACCGTGGTGGTGCTCGTCCTCGAGGAAGAAGTATTCGTATCCGCAGTAAGCGGTGAAAGCGACTGTCGCGATGCCGAGACCGGGGAAACCGCTCTTGAGACGGTTCCAGCGGGTATAGGGACCCTGGTATCGCCAGGCCTCGCTGCGAAGGAGGGTCAGTACATTGGCTCTATTTGGTTCAGACGTGGCAGCAAGGGACTACGGACTTTCGCTCCCAGGGATCGTATCGAGGCTGGCCGGTTGATGCTTGGAACGCCCGCATGTTGAAGCCGGTGATGTTGGGCTTGGGACCGCCCGCGGCGGCTCGTAGCACTCTACATGGCGAACATATTAGCAAACCGAGTTCATTCGCTACAATTGGTTGCGCCAATTGAGTTAATAGCAGCCGTGTGAGTGCGCGCCGTACCTCGTGGCAAGCATCGTGGGCTGAAGGAGAGATTCTGGTGGTGGTTGGATCTGACGACAAATGAAATGGGCGAATGGAGAGCGAGCCAATTCGACCTTAGTGATTGATGCTGGCTCTCTTCCCCCCGTCACTGTAGGTTAGGTTAAACTGGACTGGGCTGGCACGTAAAGCACGGATCGGATCAAAGTTGACTGGTTCCTCCGATATGACGCACGGACCAATTGATTCACCCGCCCTCCTCACCTCTGCCCTCCAGAGTCTAGAGGACGTAGTCTATGCCATCAATTGACTTATTCAGACTTTAAACCTTCCAAGGGACATTCGACGCTTTTTATAGAATCTCAGCAAGGAAGAGACCGGCCCCGAGTAACTAGCGAAGCTTTTTACCATCTTCGACGAGGAATCCAGTCGGCGCATATCTTTATCTCTATCGTCACTCCTCTCCACCATTCGAAACGAAATCACATATACCACCGACAGCATTCGACGACATCTATCGCTATCGCAGCCACTCGAGAAGATCAGAGAAATACTTTGTAATCTTGGCAATACTCCCACGTTGTCTCAATGAACAACGGTCGCGGTAGTCGAGGTAACACGTATCACTTCAAATCGTCGCGTTAGAAACCATTCGGGCGTTAGAAGCCATCCTTGGTCAATCCAGCGACTGAGAGCTCTATTTCGAATTCAGAACCTCCAGGTTCTGGCACACAATCAAACCAAGCACAAAGGACTACCGCCAATCACCACCCGCGCTCATCGCATTTGCGTTCAGGAGCCAGACATTGGCAACCCCTCCAACGCTCCCGAGGCACTCGTACCAGACAGCCCTCCAACAGAAACAAACACTTCCCTGGACAGAACCACATGCCGCCGCCGCAACTTAGGGGTTTTGGCGGGGGGCCTGCTGTGGCAGCGCCATACCACCAGGGTGGCTTCCCCTCCCATGCCCAACAACAGGGTGGCCATTTAGGCGGGAACCAGTACCTGAACGCCAACACACAGCTGGGACCCTTCTCTGCTGCCAACAGCAATGCTTTTACGACAGCCGGCCTCAATGGCCAGGGGTTCGCCGATACAGGATTTGGTAGTCAAAGTGCAAGAATGGGTTTCCATGGCCCTGCAGCCGCCCTACAACAACCACAACACGGGCAGGTTCACCAGAACATGTTGATGGAACACCCAGGAATCAGGACACATCCTAACAAGGGTAGGATACGGGAAGTATGGAAGCACAACTTGCACGAAGAAATGGCCGTATTGCGAGACTTGGTGGACAAGTATCCTTACATTGCGATGGTAAGGCTTGAGGAATGAGCATCATTTTTGAAGATGTGCTAATCAATGGGTGTGAAAAGGATACCGAATTTCCAGGTGTCGTTTCAAGGCCCATGGGAGGATTCAGAGGGAAGAGTGATTATCACTACCAATGCCTACGAACCAACGTCGATATGCTGAGGGTCATCCAAATAGGGCTCACCTTCTTTAACGAAGACGGCGAGACCCCCCCTCCACGGCCCACAAACGATCTGAAGCTTGGCACAGCCGCTCAAAGGGCAGCGACTAATGCTCCTTTCCCTTGTTCGTGGCAGTTCAACTTTAAGTTCTCATTGAAGGACGACATGTATAACGAGAAATCGATCGAGTCACTTCAGCAAGCCGGGATCGACTTTAATGCTCTCGAACGTGATGGCATTGATCCTCACGAGTTCGCCTCCCTTCTGATTCCTTCTGGTCTTGTCTGCTTCGATAACGTCAAGTGGATATCGTTCCATGGCGGTTACGATTTCGGCTACCTGACCAAGCTGCTGATCTGCTTACCATTGCCCAACGACGAAGTCGATTTTGACCACAAGATGAAGCTCTACTTCCCCACGACGTACGACGTGAAGCACCTCATGAAGCACGCCATCAGGTTACACAACTCCGGCCTTCTTACACCCAGCGATCCCAGTAGCACTGAGATCCTGCAAAAGTTTGAGCATAAATCTGGACTTGAGAACATTGCCGAAACCCTCAAGATTAAACGTGTTGGCTCTGCCCACCAAGCAGGCTCTGATTCGTTACTCACCGGAAAGGTCTTCTTCTCTATGCGCGATAAGATATTTGCCGGTGATATTCCTGATGAGCATGTTGGCAAGGTCTGGGGCTTGGGCTTCCCTGACTCAAATTCCAGCCTTGTCATGTCAATGATGAACCAGCAAAGCGGCAATGATGGGCAAACAAATGGCAACGGACCTAGCACCCCTAACACGACAAATGCTGCGTTAGCCACCACCCCAGGACCACAAGGGCATAACGGCACCATCAACACTGGGCCTATGACTCCTGGTGGAGGCGGTGGTGTATTTGGCAACTTCGCATTCGGCGGAAACCGATGAGAGGCTCATCCCCAAGGGCTGTTACCCCACTGGGCGGGCTATGGACTATGCCGATAGTATTAATGTTTTCTATGCCTTGCATTTTGCTCTTTACCATCAACCTATTCCTCTTTCGTTATGACCGTTCATTATGCCAAAAGCATAGTTATTGGCTTCTCTACATGAAGTGGGTCTGTACAGTGAGATATCATACCTCTATGCTACCATGCTCTTCGCTTCCCGCTCCAATACATTCTGCCTAGGTTTACGATTTTGATATAATGACTTTCGGAAGTTTCAGGAATCCAATGGGGAAAAAAAGGGACCGGTAAGGACGGTTGGGAGGGGATCATACGTGTCAGTTGGTGTCGGCGCCGCTGTTGTATACTGTATTGTATGGTTAACTAGGAGTTGGCACCTTTGAATTTGAGCTTCGCAAAGTTGTTTATTTTGTCCAATTTTAAGTTGTGCTATGACATGATGCCCGTCAAAGATGGATGGCAGCGCTATGTCTAAGCCGCTGGCTCGCAGTGACTTTGTATTGTACAATGTGATGAAAACCGGAACACCTATCCATGTAGTAAACGCCAATATCTAACCAGAAATTTCTTTTACGCATCATCAGTCCCCAGCGATGAACTCTTTACGTGATATAAACCTTCTTCAGTGACTCAACTGGGAAGATATCGCCTGTCCGGAGGTCCTTAACCTGATCAGAAGGCAAATTATTCTTCCTCGCCTGTATTTCAAGGCGGTCCCTTCCATAGACGCTACCATTAGGCAGTAGCCTGAGATCGTGCTCTACATGACTCTGAGTATGGTGAGCGTACGGCACATTCCGGGCAAGCTCATTGAGTTCAGTGGAACAGATGGGACAAACGCCGTGGCCGAGAGTCGAAGCTGCTGCTGCGATATCGGATGTGCTTTGGGCAGATGGACTATCTGATGAGTGCATTGGGTCCGTGTGGCATGCAGGTGTTTTGAGGGCTGATAGACCAGAAGAGAGTGCAACGTGAAGGAGTGGGACTGCAGGGAGGGCAAGGAGTTGATTGTGGGTTGTTGTGAAGAGGTTGGCAAGGTCAGCCCAGCGGGAAGGTTTATACAGATCTCCATAGGGAGCGGCGGCAGATGCACCACCAGGGGGAAAGGCAAGCAAACCACAGACCTGCTGAACTTCTCGGGGGAATGTGGCCCGGTAAGGAATGAGATGTTTCTTTGCGTGAGCAATGGCTTCAGTGAGTTTGGCCGAGGATTGCGAGCGGACCAGCTCGATATATTGTTGAAAGCGAAGCATGAACTCGAGCTTACTCTGCGAATAGTTAGAATGTGGATATTGAGGCTGTTTTTAGAATAGGCAACGTACCTCCATCTTCCTTAACTCCTTCTTATTATCGGTGCACCACGCCAGAGCTTCAACCACGCTCTGCTTCAGAAGAGAATCTCTGACACGACTTGCAGCAACAAAGGTGTCGATATCAACGAGATCGGTAATACCACGCTGCTCGGCCAGCTCCTTTGCAGTGTCATTGTATCCATGGCGAAGCAGGTAGTCTGCCAAAAGGCGATCGAGCCTCTTCCTACTCCATGTTTCGTACTTAACGTCCTCCACTGTATCCATCTTGTATAGTTCGTCGAGATGTGAGATGCGGGCAGCTGTCTGTGTATGCAGACGAGCCTCCTCAGCGGCGCTCGCATTGAGTTTGCGCTTCAAACCTCGCATGCGGGACACCATTGCGTCGATGTTACGAAGGACATCTTGCTGTGATGCGCGGCCGGAGACGGCAGCGGTGGCTGAATCTTTGAGTAATGTCTTTAGGGCGGCTGTGTCTTTCTCGATTGTGAAATGAGCCGTGCGGAAGTTCTTTCGAAGGAGTTCGGAGGGGAGGCGAAGCAAAGGTTGGTCCTGACGTCGACTATCAGTTATCATGGAGAGGCGGTGATGGGGCGCTGGTTAAGTCGGACTTACAAGCAGCAGATGCTCGTTATGTCTGATCTGGGAACTTTCGTGATCGCCCATTATGAATGTTTGCTTGTGGAAGGGATAGATCGATTACTCAGATAGTAAACAATCGCATGTAGCGCCCGTAGAAGGCGGAAGGCTTATTAAGCTCCGATGATTGTGATTGATAAGTCGTTATCGTAAGGTGAAGTCAAAGTGAAGTGGGTTGTGTCATGAGGTGGGTGCTCCAATGGAAGCTAGGTACGTACCTCCTAACTGTGCAGTGCATCATGCAGTCCTCTACTCCCCGTCCCGCCTTCGGAATATGGGTATGTGGGGCCCCGTCTTGGGAGTGATTCCCGCTGTAAGCGAAGAAAGAGAGAGTATGAAAAGATAGAACTAAAAGAGAATTTACCTTAGCTATATCTCTACGCAGATATTTGCGTACCTGCCTAAGTATAGGTAGGTCCTCGTTCAAATGTTATCAGTTGCTTAACAAAGAAACAACGATATTCGGAGGAAATGCTACATACAAGACTAGCGTATCGACTTCAACCTCGTGTTCGTCATCAGCCTGCATCTGGTTCTGGTATGACAAGATGCCTTTTATCCCGCAAACCATCAGTGGTCCGTTCAACACAGAGTCGGCTGGCTGCATGAAGCAAATAGATCATGGTGGAGAAACACGGTTTCGATTCTGATATCTCACAGTTGAGAGGCTTGAGGATCGTACTGGATATGCACTGCAGACTTGGCTCCAATACACGAACGTCTCTGTGGCACCTGGGCTATCCTTGCTTGGAGGGAAATGAGTGTATTCTTGGAATCAAAAGTCAATATCAGCATTGTTATGAAGTGACTTCTAATAAACGTGTTTGTACAGTTCGGGCCTTGATTCACAGCATATTGCACGTAGAGCTGAACCTGCTGAGGCCCCTAGAACCAGCTCCTGTGTCAGACGAGACCAGATTGGATCATCTGTCGCAGATATCTTAGGACGCAACCTGTTTCACCTCTCGGCGTCAAGTGATGTACGTGGGATGGGATCAGGTGATTACATGCCGGCTCCTCATGTTCTAGTGGTGTGGTGTAATTGTGTAGTATTGTTTGTTATCCCTGAGGGTTCCCTAATTGGCCTGTGCTGTGTAATGATTCTCCGCATTTGGAGAGCCATACAAGCTGACAATGAGAGAGACAATCAAGTTAAGACAAGAGAGGATCAGGCTTATTATTGTATGATGAGAGCACCAAAGAATGACTATTGTTAGTGTTGAGGTGTATTCTTGGCTTAATCTTGTTAACAAGGTACCTTACCTTAGTTACCTAAGGTATTGTATATAAGGTAGAGAGGTATAATCCTATTTATAGGCAGGCAACCGAGAATAGTATCTATGAACTCATCTCATATCATACAGTTACTCAGGTGCAATACAACTAACAACTAACTAACTCCCTAGCACTTTCCACATTGATTCATAACGCCTTCGCCCTTTCCAGGTTCCTTGTCTGCCTGTTCCCCCCATCTCAGTGCTTATGTGGCCCACCTGACCCTCCTATTGGTCGCCCTCTCCCATCTAGGCCACTTATTTCGGCCTCAGGCAGCATATTTCCCCCCCTCTCACTCGCGTCAACTTATTTATCTTACCAGCCTCACCCACCACTTGCACGTGTTCACCCTCTTCCTCCGCCGCGTGACCCGACTCGCTCACTCCCAGTGTCAGTTCCCAGCTGCGTGTCCAGCCAAAGAAGCGCCCATTTTCGTCGGGGAGAGAATTCGTTCTTCCCCTTTAGTAACGTAAAGATCCTCGCGTCTTTATCTGGACCCGAACGCGTATCAAAGACCCAGGATTTATTCCTCCTCCTTTTTTTTTTATTATTAAAAATCCTTTGTTGAGTATTGGTCCTGGTTCCGTTCATTTACAGACGCGAAGTTGTCGACTTATCAACTGGGACTCGCGCGATATCACGAGGTAGATCCCACCAAGGCAAACACGTGAGACGAGAAACTCGTGATCTCGCACGATCACGCCTCGAAGCACATGATCTGGGAGGTATGTCGCTTTCATGCATCTCATTCACTTCACGATACATCTGATTTAATGATATGCACGACGACGCAACAATGCAACTCGAGTCTCTGCACTCAGAAATGGGCTTTTGCAAAGTATTTGCACTCATGGAATGAGGATTGACGATGCAACGCAACGCAATGAAATGAATGCATCTTGCCAAGTGGCAGCATCTTGACTGCTTGCTTGAATCATCAACACAACCACCATAGTTCACAGTCACAACTGTACGTCGCCCGCCATCATGAGCATCGCATAAATATACTCTTGTGCCTGTCCCGGCATCTTCCTTTGCGCGCTGTTTTCATCCCTCATAAAGAGTGACTGAATCAGCACAGACGCATCGCATCGCCTCATCATGTCTTTCTCTCACGCTCAGTCATCGCGACTCTCACATTCACTACTCAAGCGAGCGACAAGCTACGATGCTTTCCCTTCTGTCCATGCCCTATGCAAAGATTCAAGCCCTCTTCGACAACAAGACTAGCGCATCATGTGCACGTGTTACAGTTGACACTGGCACTCGCACTCAACCAACAGATGCTCAACCTCTTCTCCGTCACCCGAGGCCGGATCCCCTTGCTTTTCTCTCGCACACTTCATCTACCCATAGCTTAATTCTGCAGCGAGTTTATTCTAACTGCCCTTCCCTATCCAGATCTTTGATTGATTGTCAACGTCTCTCATCTGTGGCCTCGACATCATCAAACTTTGCACTCAGCCTCTTTAATCTTGGCGAGCGCTTTTGATCGAACAGACCCGTCTACCAACCACTTGTTTTCTTCGATAATTCTCTCACGACTGAACCATGGCTGAAGTTCTTGCCGAGCAGCCAGACCTCTCCAGCCTGACCGGCTCCCCTGGTCAGAAGCGGAAGCGCGAATCCGGCAGTCCTGATCTCGCCAGGAATAAACGCCCTGCCCCAGCTGCCCACATGTCTGCCGACCCCGCCTCCTTCATCGACAGTGCCATGGAGAGCCAGGCCGTCAACGCGAATGGCGTCAACGTCGCCGATTTCAACGCTCTGCAGCAGGCCGCCCAAGCAGATCACGACCACCCCGAAGCTCCGGATCCTACCAGTGCTACCAGCACCGCACAGGCTGCCCTCGGCATGTATCCCACCCTGCATGTTCCACCCTCGACAGAAGAGCAATTTGCAGCCCAGGCAGCCACTGATCCTGAGCATGGCCATGATCCAGCTTTCAACCCCGATGTGACACCTACAGTTGACAGTATTATGGAGCCTCCTCAAGTCGCCCCTCCTCAGCATCAACATACACCACCCAATGGTGTTCCGCATCAGCCACCACGATACAATCCCGCAGCCCCCAACCCCAAACCAACAGTCGGATCAGAAGAGTGGCACAAGATGCGAAAGGACAACCACAAAGAAGGTATGGATATCTAATTTGTCGAATTGTCTTCAAATATACTAATTGAAAACAGTGGAGCGTCGCCGTCGGGAAACCATCAACGAAGGTATTAACGAGCTCGCTAAGATTGTCCCTGGTTGTGAGAAGAACAAGGGTTCCATTCTACAACGGGCAGTCAGCTTCATTTCCCAGCTTAAAGAGAACGAGCAACAAAACATTGAGAAGTGGACGCTCGAGAAGCTGCTCACAGAGCAAGCTATCACAGAGTTGAGCGCTTCCAACGACAAACTCAAGCAGGAATGTGAGCGTCTGTACCGCGAGCTCGAGACTTGGAAGCGAGTGGCACAAAATGCAGGCCTCGAGCCTCCACAGCCCAAAGAGGAGGACACAACTGCCAATGCATCGAGCTAGAAGCACTATACAGCGTTGGCATTCTCCCCTACCTCGGACTTACCTTCTTCATAACTTATACCCCTGCCTAATCCCGTCTAGCAAATGTTCCCTCGGTGAATATTTGTTACTCAGCTCGGTTGTGTTTTTGCATGTTATTTTGTTTTTATTTGTTCGCGGGATTCGGGAGCGACATTTTCCCACAACCAGGAGAGAGCAGAGTATCAAGAGAGTTCTTCTTGGTGCACCTGAGTAGTCTCCTCGCGTGATTATGTTGTCTCTGATTTGATTTGATTCATTTGGTTTGATGGTTTCAAGTAGCTTGGCGTTGGTGGATGGATTCACTAACAGGTCAGCAGAAGGTTGAGGTAACGGATCTGCTTCACTGTGCGATACGGTACAGTAGCTTGAGTGTTGAACCGAGTTGATAGAACTTTTCTTCATATAATGTGCCTGCTCATGCATATTCTTTTGTTCATGATTTTTCCGAGTGCTGTATTGGAAAACAACCTGGTATAATTGATCATGATAAACTCTGCCTTTGCGCTAAAGCCTGTCCATGATTGTTATTCATGATTTTGCTGCTGTGGAGCAAGGAATGGTCGAATTGTGATCGTTATTGCGTTGAAACGCTAGATCAGGCCTTGTTCAACTGAGAAATACACAAGGAAATAGTCCCCCTTTTGGCCCTCCGCCGCCTCTCCCTACACCAAGATGTGCAGCAGTTCTCATGAGCAGAATCTCCTCACTGCCTTGTTCAACCATTCTTCATTCAGAGCTGAAATTAGCAGGAACTGACCTAACAGACCCTATGTATCCACGAAGCAAGTAAGCTGCAAGCTGGAACTTGAAGTATAATATGTAAGATTCCTTCGCCCAATATCTATTCCACATTGCTTATGGATATGAGAAGTTCTCATTTCCCATCCCCCTGTTTCATAACCCTATTTCATTGGACTCGATAAATCGTCCGCATGTGGACATGATGAATGAACCACTGCTGGTAAACGTGTTCGCCGCCGTTAATCGTGATTGCGTTTCTGGTCGTCAACATAAGAATTTCGTAGCCGTTGTCCCAACACCCATGAGCCACCCTCATCTACTCAGAGCTAAGCAGTAATTAACAATTCGGAGCATGTCAATGTCCACGTTGAGCGAGAATGCACACCATAGAAATGCCAATCAGGAACCACCAAGCCCGCGGGAAAACAAAACTTGATACCGAAAATGCAGGCACACACAATATAGTTTATTCCAAACAAGACGCTGTGGTCAATCGCAAAAAACAAATAAACCATCCCGAGATTGTCCTTAAAGATATATTTTGGGGTATCGAATCAAGTGGCAATCATAGCCGCCCACCGTCTGAACAAAATGAGCAATCGTAACAATGCTGGTACCGGTATTCGGTGGGAACTGTAAACCGAGAAACAGCGAGGCTGTAACAAACCATCGCATGATCTGTTCTGATCGACCTGTGCTGTCATACCAGGCCCAAAGTCATGCATAATCTATAACCATATGAGAAAAGCAAGAATGTGTCACGGGCTGTATATAAGAGGTCACGTCAAGTCTGGCATAGTCTAATGCATCGCATGTCGCGGTACATCATCCACCTTGACACCGGGCAGCCCTCGACTGTCCTGAGACATATAGTCATAGCCCGGGGTCGGATGGACCTGTGACGGTTGTGCCACACTTCCTGTTCGGAACATAGTAGGCTGATTGGGGTCATATCCCCGCGTGAGTCCATCGAACGAGGCATTCATATATGGCTGAGCCTGATTCATGGGAACCCCGGGGCTGACAAAAGCGGTCGCTGGCGGATTGGCTGGCTGTTGAGTGAAGGTATACATTGACGTCGAGTTTGGCGCTGTGGAACCCGGCTGCCATTGCTGGGTGTATATCGTTGTACCATTCTGTCCTGCGTAATCTGCTGAGGCGCTGAAGATGGATGAACGACGTCCAGAATCATGTGCAGCAGGAGGCACACCCATATCTATACCGAGGTTCCCGCTATTAGGGTGGACCGCAGGTTGACCATTCACCGGCATGGCGTTGTTCTCAACAAAGCCGTGCTGGTCCGGAGCCATGTCCTGCATCATCGAGTGGTTGTACTGGTTGCCTCGTACAGGTAGCTCTCCACCGAGGAAGGGTGTGCCATGCAATGAAGCGCCTGAGCTGTGGCTGTTTGACGAAGGCATCAGACCAGGGACTGCCGCCAACTTATTTGGCGGCACGTCTTGGTCATCCTCTTCCTTGGGAACAGGCCCGTCGTCATCGTTACCGGATGCATACGAATCAAGCATCTTGTCGTCTGCCATGACAAAAACCTCCGTTGTCCCATCTGCAGATCGAGTTAGAATCCACCCATCCAGCTTCCGCAAATGGAGACTTACCAATCATCCCGTCTTTGTAACGTTCCTGTTGCTTGGCCACTTTGAAAATCTCATTGAGAAACGGTCGCTTCTTCGCATTGGCTGGATTATCCTTGTCCGCGAAAAAGCCTGAAAGAGCCTCGATCGTAATCTCCTCCAGCTTCTTCACGTTAAGATTTAGCTTTTGAATGTCAGGATGCTGAGTCTTATTGGGCTCCACGATCATTCTGAGGATGTGGTTAAGAAGATGAACTCGCTCTGGATTGAAGTTTGTTAGAAGAGAATATGAGAATACTCAGTCAAACGTTGAATATTACCTCGTTTGTAGAGATGGTCTGGCTCCTTGTGCCGCACCTTATCCTCCTTTGTTGGACCCCAGGGCTTGGGCCACCAGTCGGGTGCCTTCTCGTCGCTTCCCGTGTAAGGGTGTGTAGACTGCTTCTTTGGCTCCACGGCCTTGACCCATGCTTTTGCTATGAGCTTGCAAGCCGTTTGCTGCATGTTTTTGAAACGTTGCTCATAAAACGTCCAAAGCTCCGTGGGATTTCCAACCTGAATACCCTTTCTGATTGTTGTTGATACAGTCATGGGCACTTCATCTTCATCAATGATGGGGTGGCGAGCTCTTGGTCTTTTCCGGCCTTGTCGTGATGGCGCTTCCCAATCGTCAAACTGAGACATTCGTCGGCGGTCCATCATACGATTCCTTGGAAAGTCCATAGATTGCTTGTACCCATCGAATGCGAAGTCATCAACGATAGGGCTCGCACCTAACTTCACGTTAGCCCTCTGATTCATAACTGGGCGGAAATCGACTAACCAGAATCCAAGCGGTCCATAGCCCTCAAGTATTTTTCCATATCAAAAAACTGTTTCTCGTAACCACTTCGAGGTCCGGAGGTACTAGGACCAGAGAAGGTTTGAGGGCTTCCGTCATCCATTACTACAGCCAAGAAATAGTGCCTGACCGATATCCCACAGTCTCGACGAAGAGCATCGGCGATTTGCTTTAGCCTTATGTCAGCGAGGACTCCAATGAGCACGTTTGAAGGTTGTTACCATTGGAGGCTGTCGTCTATGCATATCTTGAGCCTCTGGAAATCGATTATCGTCAACTCCATCCGCGACAAATCTCTCTGGCAGGTAAGGATGATGAGGATGGCGGGAGAAAGACTCCCTGGTCCAATCTCTAACCATGATTCTAGTAGCTGTTGATATGTGCGACTTGCCCGAGTTAGTTGTCGATAGCCTACGAATAACCAAATACACTCGCAAGGCAAGTGGCCAAGCGCAAGCTAAATCTCGGTAAAAGTTTTTGCCACCGGCGTCCAGTGTCAGATACTGATGCTGTATAACGACAGACCCAATGGAAAATCAAGGGCCTAGCACAGCTTGTAGCACTGGGACATGTCGTGATATGTAGTTGGTCAGTCGATATATAGTGACTCGAGTCCTGAGTGGATGCGACTCGGGCAAGACTTGAGACAGTTCGCAAGGTATTATGCTGCTCAGCAGAAAATTTTCAGATCCTTCAGAAAAGTGCAGTTCGAAGATAAGAACAGACTAGAAATGGTGTTAAGAGGCTCGTCGACTTGTATTAGTTTGTCTCGGGCGAGTGGGATCCCTGGAAACAATGTGATGCGGCTCAGGTTGGGTGTTGCAGATGGGTTCGGGAATAGTATGGGGGTGGTAATTGGAGTAGTGTGTGTGTGTGCCAGGGGGACGCCTTCAAAATGATGAATATCGCCAATTCCAGAACTGGTGGGGTTTGGTTGCCAGAAGAGTATGATCTGATCAAGTTGATGATTTCCAGGGAACAAATCCTCGCAATACAGGCTGTTCGAGATCCTTCTCCAGACAGGATATGTCGTGCCGAGCTTGAAGTCGATGCGTGGAGTTGCTCGTCAAGGGTTGAGTCTAATACAATTAGATATGCTGTCGACTATATCCAGCCACAGCGAGGTTGCAAGTGCAGAGTTAGCCTATCGTCTCGCGAGAAGTCGAAAAGTGAGAGGTGTATTCCAGGAGAAAACTTGAGCTCCAGTGTTGTAAACTGTGAAAGGGTAATCTGAGCCAGGGCCTCCGAGGTAGTTGCTGTGCCCTGACTTGAAAGAAAGGGTTTACTAAGAGTCTTGGTCGAGGTCAAAATGGCGGTACTGTCTGTCGAGAGAGGGCTTGAGAAATAGTGGCACGAGGAATTGGTGTTCGTCGTGACGCGAAGGCGAAGCGAGAGATAGACAGATTTCCGATGTTGATAAAAGAGGATGAAGTGATATGACAAGGTTACAGAATTGGAGCAGACGTAAAGCCGGGGAACGAGGGATGAGTCTATAGGTCCCCGCACTGCCTTCAGTAGATGGATGAACGTTGTCTCTCTTCTCAAGGCTTTAGTTCCGGGGCAGACAGCTTTCCGTGCCGTTGCTATCCCAGGGTGGGCGTATCTCAATCAGCGAAGGAGAAGAGAGATTTACAGACACCTCTTGAATGAATTAGAATGGAAACAGACGACAGGGACCAGCTTTCTTTGAAGTGCATACACGCATACACACCAGATGAGTAGTAGGGATCAATAACCAATGCTGGATACGTGTAGGTAGCAGTGTGTAAGTCTCCGATCTCAGGCCGTAGCTACCAGGTATTCGCCTGGTCAAAGGGTGGAGGGGTCAGAGGAGAAAAGGGGGTGCGAATGCACGTCTTTCAAAAGAAAAGGAACACCCAGCTGTGGTGGCAGCAGCAGGTCGACAAGAAGAGGTATTCAGCTATCACCCAGGTCAAGAAGCCAAGGGTGGGAGAAAGGCAGGGAAGACTGTAAGGGCCCCTCATCGTCAATGTCGCACAGTACGGGGTTGAGAGAGCATGATGCTAGCCACTCAAGGTCAAGGCAGTCTCAACTCGAGCTGTACGGATGCCAATCCCATGATCCACAGAGCTGGCTGACAGGGCTCATTTCAAGGGTGTTGAGGAGAAGAGACGACGGTTGGCCCACGCTTAGCTCCGACGCCCCCACACGCGGATGGATCTGAATGTGGTTTTAGAAGGGACAGGGCATAGGTGCCAAATAGTATCAAATCAGATACGATTCTCCAAGATGAGATTTGCATGGCTAGCTGTGTTGTTGACACAACAAGCTGAAAAGGCTAGTGTTAGTGTGTACATCGCTATAATCTGGACTCATAACTGCAGAGTCAGATTGATGATCCAGTCGTGAGCGGCACCAGCATCAAGCTCGCAAGAAGGAACTCAGTCGGCTTGAACGACAGGGGTTATGTCAACGATGGCTGAAATGGTGGGCCCCAGACTGAGGGTCCAATCAATAGTTGCTCGAAAGGCCAAAAGTCCAAGAAAGAGCAAAAAGCAATGCTATGAGCGAGACGCATGACCGAGGCGATTGAGGCAGTACTTTGTGCTAATGTGAGACACAGAGGGTGATTAGGGCGGTCTTCGACCCAGCCAAAAACACCAAAGCGATCCAGTAGTGCTTTGATTGACTAGCAGCCTGCCCGGATACGCGGCCGTATTGCATCATCCTCTTGAGTCTCAATTTTTACTTTTTATCCAGCGGCGGTTTTGGATTCCAAGGCTAAAGATAAGTTTGTGGTCATACCGTGCAATACTGTTGCCCTACAGTGGCCCATGGCTAACCGAAAGCCTAAGAGATTTCGCTCAACGTTGTCCGTTGTTTTTCAAGATATGCAAATGCCAAGTCGCTGATTTGATGCGGTGAGTGGGAATGCTAATATGATGTGCCATTCTCCAGAAATGCAAGCCGGGGGCTGTTCGGAGTGACCTAACGAACGAGGTTGCTGTATGTAGATGCATTGCTTGTTCTATCTTGTGCCAGGAACGGCTCGGATAAGAATCCGTCAAAATGGATGTCGACTCTTGCAGATGCTTTCCATTGCACTGTACAGTACATGGGGGCCGCTCCATATCTAACAGCCGATGCTAGCTGCGATGGTGTCAGACCGTGAACCTGAGAATGTTGTAATGTCTGCATCTGTTTCTCTGATCGCACAGCTACATCATTATGTATCGATTGTTGGCTTGACGAATTGTGCCCGCCAGCCAGCCACCAACCGACGAACCGTAAGGTTGATTACTGGATTTGTCTCGGTGGTCAAGATGGGTCTGCTCTGTGAGTCGTGTTTTAGGGTCATGGGCTTGGGAAGCTTTTCTCAAAACGTGCAACCCTGCAGGACTGGCTCATGCACTATCACCCAATACAGCCAGCGGCAGTGGTACAGTGCAATACCTACCGAGGTCTGTACAGTGCAATACAGCAGTAGTTGTAGTTGTAGGTAGGTAGGTATGTGCTTATGCAGATGCAGACGCAGGCAGACGCAGACGAGAGTTGACCATCACCAGCTCCAAGCGAGATCTCAGATTAGTTACGCTTGGGCACTTTGTAGAAAATGACGGGCGGATGAGCGACCAACACCAACGTGGACGATGAAACTAAAATCCTGTGGCGGCCTTGGTTTAAGTTTTGGCCCATCGTTTATAGCTTTTCTGGCCAATCGTATGTGCCCTATGCTCCAGAAAAAGGTGGGTGGCCCAAGTGCCTGCCAAAGGGTGCCTGGGTCTGGTCGGGCTTGCCCTGGACTACCTCAGGTAGGTAGGTACCATAGAGATGTAGATTCCTGATTGCCCTGAACCTTCCTGCCCTGGACCTGGACCTGGACCTAGACCTACATAGACCTGATCAGCCAACCAACAGGGAAGTTAGTTCCTGCAAACTGCAGAGCAACCTGGAAACATTCATCGGAAGGTGCTCCATCTTCATGGAGTGGCTTGTCTGGTGAGCAAACCACGGCACGAAAAATCTTTATTGCCGAGAGACAAGTGCTGACCTTAGCAAGTTACTTTCGTCCAGCGAAATTCCAGAGAAGCCGTAGCTGATATCTGAGACGTTCATGCCTGCCGCTTACCTAGTACCTAGGTACCTTAAGCAGGTGCCTAACTTAAGGTATGGGCCAGATCCGGATTTCTTTATCCATACACACAACTTCAGAGACATCATCGCAACCGGACAGACCTACCTCTGCGAATTGGGTACAGTATCCGTCGCAACGCCCGCAATCCAGCCAGCCACTATCACCGCCGCATCGCGTTGTTCGCTGTGCTCCTGTAGTAAAATCTACGCTTCAAGAGAAGAGCCATCGTTTGCGCAGCCAAAACTGGCTTATTCGCGCCCAATTAACCAAGCTTAGGTTCTCGGCCGAACCCGACTTCATCAACCAAGGTCAACCTAGACTTTGGACGATGGACAGGCGGGACGCGAGCGGTACGGCTCGGCTCCTCTATTAGCCTTGCAACCTGCAGTCAGTGGAGGTCGACCCCATCAGCCAGATCCGCTCCCATGGCGCATTGCTAGCCCAAAGAGACAGGAGAGAGCAACAAAGAAGAAAATTGTTATCCCAATCCAACCCGCCAACGCAAACTGTTCTTGGCAGTGTTGTCCTCACAGCTACAGTACTGAACCTCTCTGTTCAAGATCACCCTACAAATTTACCCAACAGAACTCGCGCACTCCAACCATACATTCTATACAGTCAGCGGAGAATGCATGTCATTCGAAGTTGCTGGATGGAGGTTTGCCAATCAGCAATCAGCAACAGTCTCGTACGTTAGCCCCCATCAAGTCCTCCTGCAACAGACGAGATCATAGCATTGCTCTATGCCTGGGCATCAAATTCAGCATTGGCCACTCAAGACCTACTGTACAATGCGCTTTTGCCAGCAGTCGGTCATCAGTTTACAGGGGGCATCGGTAGCTCCATTTACAGGGAGCGGGAAGCGCACACACACGCACACACACATTGCACATTCACAGGCACGTCTGCGCCCTCGTTGGGCGATCCCAATGCATCAGCTGCAAGAGCAAGGATCGCACAGTGCATCAGCCACCACCTTTAACCCCATGAACGGCTTTTGCTCTGCTTGAATGTGTGGAGTCTGAAAGCGCATGTCAGCACAACTTAGTCAGGCAAAGAGGAACATGATTCAAAAACAGAATCATGAGCCCATAGAGATGTTGGCAATTGTCACACTGTTAAGCATAACGCGAATGAGTCCAGGAGCTGGTAGCTGACATATGTCGCCCCAGCACGAAGAAACAAGAAAGCGGCTAGCTAGAGTTTCCAGCAAACCCTGTTGAGTATGCCAGTGCTTTCCTGGAGGTTGGCAAGCCGTTCCCACCCCCTCAGCCTTGCACATATGTAAGTGAAAAATAACGTTTCCCCTTTGCCCTTGACAATCTTGACCAACAAGAGGTCTGTTATTGGCATTATAGAGAAGAACCTTCAAATACGGTACAGGAAAAGCATACATACCTTACCTTAGATAGTCATGGATGCGGATCGTTACGTAGCTCATTGGACCTGCAGGCGCAACATTATCTCGCGTTTCGACCATGTGTTCAGAAGCAATTATAGATTTCTCGGGGAAACTACACTAGTTAGTTTCTCATTCCTGTACGGCACAAGGCCAGCATGTTTGTTTGTTCATGCTGCCAAAGACTCGACAACGTTTTTCTTGCCACTTCATGTCTCAGAACTGCAGAAACCCCCCGCATCGGCAATCCACGAAGCGTCTCGCCCATCAAAGAAGAAACCGCCCATGGCCATTATCACTACATCCCTGGCACGGTTCAACTTTCTAGTCAGCGATTCGATGTTAGTGGGACCGGTCCGCACTGTCCTCAAGCTCCCAGATGACACAGACTGCCGGACTGACGCCCCCACGCTTATTGCTTTCGTTTAGGATACAGCACCGAGCCTGGAGTCAGGCTTAGCATTGATGCAATAAATATTACTTGTCGCCAGCAGCGGAAGCTTCAACGTCATGGGCCTTCCCGTCGATCCTGTGTCCATTCCTTCTGGAAACTCTACTTTGCGAGGATGCTTTGATTGGTCGTGTTCCTCTTAAGCTTCATCGCGAGGCTAATCTTGACCACATAAGGACAGCAGGTAGTATCGAAGAACCACCATGATGTACATAAACAGGTAGTTTCACAACGGAGCATCAGTCCACGGATCAGCAAATGCCGTGATGCGGCTCGGCTTGCTTGCCAACCTAGCGAGCACCTAAAACGTACCCCAAGATTGATCTCTGACTGTTCAATCTGGCTTCAACTCGCCACACGTATATCTTCTCTCCCTGAGCATTGCCAATACTGCTGCTTCTGATTCCACCTTACGAACACCTCTGCATCAGCAAGTTATTCTCATGTGCAAGTGACCGTCGGCGAGCTAAAGATCAGGCTTTGCAAGGTCCTCAACACTCTTCAGGTCACAACAGACGCATTCTCGACGCATTTACACAGAGCAAAGCTAGAACTTTTGCATGTCTAGCCAGTCAAGTTTCTATGACCTGCTCACCTCCACGGCGGTCCAGAAATGCACCATACGGATTGTGCGGGAATATCGGGTTGGACTCCGCGCCCCATTCCTCATCTCCTACATGTGATCCCTGTCTTGCTTCAGATGGGAAGAGTGAAAGAGAATATTGACATTTAAACCTCAAAAGACATTTATCAGGCGAGTCAGGCGTCTCATCACGGGCCTGCAGCATCGCCCCCAGCATCTGTTGATCCGGCCAAATTTGGGCTGTCTCCGCGCTTAACAGGGGCGTCGGTTCACTCACTATACTCAAGCACGTGTCTGGCTACTACTCATCGTTACCAGACATGAACTTTAGTCATTTGCGAGTTTTGAACTAGGCGTCTTGTGGTTATAGTCCTAATGACAAGTCGACATTCAGCGGAGATTTGGGTCCAGTTCTCTTTCAAAGCAACGTCAACGACGTATCAGGTCCGTATGTAACTGGACTGAATTGCGACGGAAACCATACCAGTCGGCCATATCCTGACTTCAACCTTGACTGGCAAAAGAAAGCATATCTGTGTATTCAAGATTGACTTTGTTGCCCCCCAGCTCGACAGAAAAATTCATTTGGGGCTTTACGATGACATATATTGCCACTACCACGTCCACAGCAGAATCATCAGTTGGATAACACAAAGTGCCCTTGGCTTGGCGCGCAACGAAACTAGCCGCGCTAGATCCAAGGCTCCGACAGCGACGTTCTTTGATGCCGGAGAGACGGCTCCGGAGCCTTATCTTGAAGCCTGGAGGTTAACATGATTGACATTGGCTGGCAAAGCTTTTAAGCCGATAGAATATTTAGTCAATTGCGGTTCAGGATCCCTTACTGATTCCTGCTGCTCTTTTTAACGCACTGACGCTTGACCATCTCGAGAGAGAACTTCTCTCGGCGGTGTTACCGGTATTACATAGCTGTTACCGTTTTTTCGCCAACATAATTCTCCGTGTTGCACGCACTGTACTGTGGCCACCCCAGCATGTAACGTGTCAAGTCTCCCTGGTCACTTCGATGCTTCATCAGATTTGTCCGTGGGCATCTTCTAGAGGGCCCCCCTGCTACCTCAACACCACCACATCCGCTCTTGTCCCTTGTCACCGGGGATAAGCCAGCAAGAGCTACGGTGCACGGTCGCTTCGCGAGTCCTCCACCGTCAGCGTAGGCTTCTCTCCGTATTTCCCGAGTGGCTCACAAGATATCCTGCTGTGCATCATCACGGACAATCTGTGCCTCTTGGCCACTCGATGCAATGGACGAGTGAGTGCATGCAGCATTGCATGGTTTGCTTTGTTTCGTGATGTATGCAAAAATCCCTCCTCTTTTATTTTGCTGTTTTTTTATGTACAATTTCAATTATGACAGGTCCAATACTAGGTGTCTGTCTATTCAACTTCCAGCCCAGCTTGCTTCATGAGCCCGTAGAATACACCTTGCTTCTTGAAAAGCTCGGCCGGACTATCAAACTCGACCACCTCACCCTTGTCAAGCACCACCACACGATCGCTGTCCAGGATGGTGTTGAGACGATGGGCGACGGTAATAATGGTGCGGTTAGCGAATAAGGGTGACCGGAGGGTGCTCTGCAGCATAGCGTCGGTCTCAACATCGACTGCAGCGGTGGCCTCGTCCAATACCAGGATATTGGACGGAGTGAGCATTGCGCGAGCGAGCGAGACGAGTTGCCTCTGACCCTGAGAGAGATTGGAGCCTGCAAGGCAACATGTTAGCAGTTGAACAAACATGCATGTGAAAGTCGGTTGTGATGTGAATAAGCCTGATATCTCAGGACCCAGGCTGTTGGTGCTGCTCCTAAAGGGCAGACCACGGGACTTCGTCCTCATGCGAGGCGAGCAACTAAGCACATCTGATGTCTTCGAAATGGCTGCAGAAAAGAGACTGCTCATTATCGTCGGCAAGGGCCAGATGTTTAGCCACACCACATCAGATGAAGCCATGGATGTTGAACCAGATGCTCGGGTGACCGGTGAGAAATCGCAGACCGGTCAAGAAATGCCGACAGAAAGCGCATTGCCGTGCGTGAACTTACCTCCTTCGTTAATCTTGGCCTCCAGCCCACCATCCATGCTCGAAACGTGGTCCTTCAATCGTGCGTGCTCTATAGGGAAATACGTCAGCAAATGTTACACAACGTGCTGACAAAACATTCGCTTGTCTAAGCAGTGCATGGGTGTAGGAGGGTTGCAATGTCGGTGTTTACTTACCCAACACACTCCAAAGCTCAGTGTCATCATGGACATGGCCAGGATCGAGATTATCCCGAACAGTGCCTTCAAAGAGCGCTGCATCTTGAGGAATAATGGCTAGCCTTCGGCGCAGATCGAGCAAACCAATGGAAGACGTGTCAATATTATCAATACCAATATGGCCCGTTACCGGTTCGATGAGTCGGAACAAGGCTAGAGTCAGAGATGACTTGCCTGCACCTGTGCGACCCACGACACCGATCTTCTCATGCGACTTGATGTCAAGGCTGATGTTCTTGAGCACCAGGTCCAAACCCTCACGGTAACGGGTGCTGTAGTTGACGAAATCAACCTCGCCCTTAGCAGGCCACGAGACAGGGGGTCTGTTCTTGGCGATGATCTCGGGTGCCTCACTTGGTAGGGCTGCATATTCGAGGACACGCTCTACTGACACAATGTTGGTCTCGACTTCGACAGTCTGACGAACGATCCAGTTGAGAGAAGTCGTAATCTGCAGAGCATATGACATGGCAAGGCCGACAATACCAGATTGGATGGGCTTGTTGCCAGTGACGGCGATGATAGCAAAGCCAGCAGCAGCCAGAATGACCACAGCACCAATAAACTCGAGACGAACGGCCAGCCAGCGATTGGCGCTGATTGAAGGGAAGTAAGCACGGAGATTAGCATCGACACGCCATTCGTTCTCGAGCTCGAATCGCTGCTGCTGTCGGAATGCCCGAATGGTTGAAATACCCCCAAGGGACTCCTGGAAATGTGCATAGATGGGGCTACGGCTCACACTGTCGAGTCGTTTGAGCTCGCGAGATGTTCGGAGGTAATATCTCTGGATGTAGTAGTAAGTCAGGGCTAGCGGGATGATCAATGCGACAAATGGTGGTGTGGCGAATGAGATAACGACCAAGGTGAAGCCTGACTTGGCCGCATTCACAAATAGCATATTGAAAGTTCTGGCCAAAACCTCATCGACCCGGTAAATATCACTGTCAATGGATTAGTATCGACCTTTGATCTCCCCAAAGTATATACTGACCTCGAGAAACGGTTCAGGATACGACCAGCAGGCGTTGTATCAAAGAAAGACATGGGGGAGCGGAAGATAGCGTTGGCCATGCGCTCATGAAGCTTTCTCGATGCCTGTTGCTGCGTCAGTGTTTATACTCGACATGATCATGAAAAATCACCAACCTCGATGGAACAGAAGATCCAGAGCACAAGGGTCTGAATGACAGTGAGAGCGGACGCTCCGATACCAAAAGCGAAGTAGATTCCGAGATACTTGCCAACATTAGCGTTCGACTGCTTTTCTTGGTTTTCTCTGGACCACTTCTCAAGCCAGAAATTACCACCGATTCCGGCAGTCTGTGCAGCAATAAGCATGAGGAGATATAGAGCAACGGCATAAAGGTTGTTCATCTTGGCGTATTCACCGTAGACAGACCACTTGACCTTGCCTTGCTCTAAGTGCTCCTTGGCTTGCTTGGTCTTGGACGAACCACCGATTTCCTCGTCTGTCAGCTTGCCTCGTGGACCTCTGAAGCTTGCAGTACTGGCGCGGCGCAGGGTTGCCATGCTGCTTGAGCGAGGCTTGGCCCCAGCACCGGTCTTGATAGGAGCCATCTCGGGGACTTGTTCCTGTGCCTCCTCAAGCTCTTCCTTGGCCTGGCCGGAGTCTGTCTCGATGATTGTAGCAGCCTTGCTGCTTGAAGCACTGGAGCTAGGTTCACTGCTGGCATTGCCAGACTCGTGTCCGGCTGTCTTGAGAAGTTCGGCAACGAGACCCTTCTGAGCAACCAATTCCTTGTATGTTCCTCGCTCAATGATTTGGCCATCCTTAAGGAGAGACACGTAGCTGGCCTGACGAAGGACAGCAATGGCGTTAGTTGCAAGAATGCGAGTCTTTGAAGCCAGCAGACCACGGGTTCCGAGTACATTGTCGATAATGTGACGGCCAACATGGGAGTCAACAGCAGAAAGAACGTCATCGAGTAGGTAGATATCCGCACGAGCATAGACAGCACGAGCCAGTGATACACGTGCTTTTTGACCACCACTCAGGGAGATACCACGTTCGCCAACAACAGTTTCGTCTCCATCTGGAAGCTGTGCAAAATCGTCCAAAAGAGCACACGCCTGGACAGTCTTCTCGTAAAACTCAGCATCATATTTATAACCAAAGATGATGTTCTCCTTGACTGTAGCATTGAGGATCCAGGTTTGCTGCGATGCGTAGGCAACAGTTCCTCGTACTTCGACGTTACCCTTAACCTTCCACATATCACCGAGAATGCTCTGAAGGAAAGACGACTTGCCAGCACCAACACGGCCAACGACACAAGAGAGTTCTCCCTTGTAAGCGGTATAATCAATATCAACGAGAGTGGGCTTGTTCTCGTGACGGCTCCAAGAGAATGTACCATCACGGATGATTATGCTCTCCTCACCAAGTTGCTCAGGGGCAGGCTTAATAGTGATAGCGTCGGGTTGAAGCTCTTCAGCGGTAAGGAAGCTGGTGAGACGTCCAATGGCGACAGAGGCTTCGACGATGGAGGTGATGACCATTGGAAGAATGGCAAGAGGGAAGGTCAACAGGTTAAACAGGGCCAATGCAGGGAAGACGATATCACTAGTGAGCGGCTTATCCTGGGTCAGAACAAAGACGGTGAAGGTTGAACATGACACGAAGAAAGGCGCAGTAGTCCAAGTGAAGTTGGCAAAGGCCTGAGTGGCACCAATCTTTCGCAAGTTCTTCAGTTCCTTTTCGTTTCGGACGAAATTGAGTTTGTTCATAAAGGCAGAGCCCCAAGCATACAGCTTGATGCTCTTCATATTGTTGATGATCTCGTTGATCAAGCGACTTCTGGCGTCCTTATTCTTCATCTGCTCCTTTTGCATGTTTTTCATAATGCGAGCGACAAATCCTTGAATTGGCATCATAATAATCATGACAGCAACACCCGCCATCATAGACCAGCCTAGCAGATTATAGAGGGAAACCATGCAGATGATAATCTGGAATGGCGCAGACCAAATTTGCTGAGCGAACTGGGTAAGATCCTGCAGACGTTGGCCATCAACCGCCATGTAGTTGACAATGTCACCGGTACTCTTTGAAGCCCTGCCCTCGCTTGACAGGCGTAGGGACTTGCGGTATATGGCTGAAGACAAACCACCCTTGATACGCATTCCCGTCACAAAGGCAAGCTGGAAGTACTGATGAACCATGGTAGTTTGCAGAACCGCACAAGCGAACATAGCCAAAGCGATAGCAGCGCCCTTGATAATAGGCTGAGGAGTATTGTCTTCCTCGTACGACTTCACAAAAGAGATGAGAAGCCGAAGCAGCTGGGGCTGAATGTACTGGGCGACATCATTTGCAACCTTGAAGATAGCAGCAACACAATAAGGGCCGCCATATGCCTTGAACAAAACTCTCCACAGCGAAGGACTCTTGTGGTGTTCCAACTCGTATTGCCAAGCTTGGTCAAAGCGAGATCCAGTGTTCTTGGTCTGATCATCCTTGGCAAGAGCCCAGAGGTCCTCTTCGGTCAAATACACTTTGTAACCATATTGCATCATTGGTGTCATCCAGGAGAAGGCGAGTTGAGAAAATGCGTTGGCGTATTCAACGGGACATTCTTCCTCTTCCTCGATGGCTTCATATCCATTCGGCCGAGAAGTTCGAGGCCACAGCCACTCCACGAGAAACTCTACAAGAGACAGCCCAACTCCGACGCAGTAAACAATGAAGTACGGTAGGTTGGAGTCGTAGATTTGCTGCGAGATAAGAGATCGGAGCTTGACGCCGAAGGAGATGAGGAGGAAGAGCCAGTAGAATAGGGCGACGCCGCTGGGATATCGAATACGCGAATGCTCGATCCATTGAATAGCGAAAATGACAAATAGTGACAGGATAGTCAAGAAGGTCGTCAAGACTCGGAAATCGCCATACCAGATATGGGGCATGTAGACGATTTGAACGATAAGCTGAGCAATGACGTCGACGATGATGACGGCGAGGAGGGACTGAGACAACAAATCAGCTCAATTGAACAGAATAGAAGTAGAGAAAGGTGCAGAGGAGTTTACCTGCTTAATGTAGAAGTGCGCATTCTTGGTCTGTCCCTCTTGTTTCTGCTTCTTAGCGAGCAGCCACCAGACAGCGAGCGATCCAAACAGAAGGCCAAAAACAGACACAGCAGAGATCCAGACGTCGATAAAACAAGGTGTAAAATCATAGCGATGAGGACTTAGGGGCCCCCATCCTTCCGAATTTCCACACAGAGGTTGCTTGAAGGGGCCAGTAGTGAGATAGTTCGCACCAAGCTCTCGCAGCGGGCGGAAGCCAGTGAACGAGCCCGTCTCGAAGAGAACCTGTTGCTCGTTGTAGAGAGCCATTGTTGCAGTGGATGCTTCTCAAGGAGTTCGAGGTATCGAAAAGGTTTCGCGCGACAGTCACTTCATGCTAGAGGGACGTGTCGGATGTTTCGTAGGCGACAGAAGCGATGGCGCGTCCTTGGTGACGATGATGGTGACGGGATAAGATTTGGAACCTTAGCTCGGGAAGCTCAATGTTAGTACAGTACGTACGTCAGAGCGAGTGCCGTGAACCGGAGCAAGGATCGGAAACGGCTCGGAAGACAAGATAGAGACAGAGACAGTCTCAGAACGGACAAAACAAGCCCAAACCCGAATCCGGTCACCTCAGGCGAGAGAGTTGAAGGGTTGAAAGAAGAGGTTGAAAAAAAAAAAAAAAAGGTTCTGAACTTCTGGGCGACTTCCGACAGGCAGAATCTCGTCGAATTGACAGGCCCTTGTCGTGGTTGGTAAGCTGGTCCCCAGAATTTTGCTGCAAACCCAGCATACGCGAACACCCAAACATGCACTAACAATGCGATCCTGGGCACTAGACCAAGCTGAAGCTGCTCAGTGGGTTTGCTTACTGATCGCAAATGGAGATAGTCTACGGACTTTAGGTGAGATCACTTCCCAGCCAAGGTCGTCTTACCCTGGAGCACAGAGTTTGATTATCATTTTGGTTGTTTGTGCGACTAATAGCTATACCTGATGCTTTCTATGTATCATGTTTATAGATCACAAGCACGTCAATTGCTTGTGCAACTCTTAGTCTTCAATATGTTCTCTCTTGTTCGCGTGATTGCCAACACATCTTGACAAGCAATCTCAATCAGCACGAGAAGTAACTTCGGTTTTCAACCACTCGATTACCGTCTTGGAAAGCCACTCCTGCGCTTGGGGTTGATCAACGGTATGGCTTGCGCCAGGAATCAGCCCCGATAACCGACTGACAGCCGGGTTCAACGCCTTATACTTCTTGTTGCTCGCAGCCTGGTCGATGCGCTCTGGGACGAACTCGTCCTCAGCAGAATGGAGAACTAGCACTGGCTTATTGAACCGAGACCAATTCCTTTCAATGACATCATCGGGTAGGTCTGATGAAAAGTAATCATCGTCGCCGCTGTTCATCAGTTAGTTCATATCATCCTCATAGCTGGAAACCGTTGAACGCACCCTTTGCTCGCCAGAGACTGGAACCGATATGCCGAAATGGGAGCTCCCAGAACGGCAGGAATCATGTCAAAAGGCATACAATCACCGCCTTTGCCCTCAGAAATCATCTTTGCGGCGAGATCAAGACTCGGCTGAGGATCCGGGAAGATCAAATCCAGTGTCTCACGATCCGATACCGGACCTTGCATAACGAAGCCATCGACAGGTTCGTTGTTGTGCTTGGCATAATTGGCATACTCGATGCAGTCCTGCAATTGGTCAGAAGAGATATAAAACGTGGCGACAAGGGAATAGATTACCTGACAGCCAGTTGAGGAACCAAATAGGACGATCTTTTCCTTGCCAATTCCTCGTAGATACTTGACCAAAGCAGAAATGTCTTCAACATCGTTGGAGAGGCTCGAAGTGCCAAAACCCGAGAAAGAGCTTCTCATGCGGAATTCGATAACGGAGAAGCCCAACTCCTTTACTTCCTCCAGGCGCTGGGCTAGAAGCCGGGTATAAGGAATAGTGTGAGGTCCATCTGTAAGCCCACCGATGAAGACAATGGCATTAGGAGCTGAAGTGAGACCAATTTCATAGGCGGCCGAGCTTCGACACTTGGACTCAAAGGGATGGACAGTGACTTGGAAAGGGCCTGAAGGGGACATTTTGGCAGCTGATGCAGAGAATTGTTGCGATGATAGAAGATGTCGTGGTATTTGTCCCTCAGAAGAAAGAGAGGGGAGCTTTACTGGAGGACTGTTGAGGTATATATAAGCTTATTTCCTTGGCTCTTACTGGGATCATATCATTGCACACTTACTCGGAGATCACTAAGAAGGCTCAGGTCGCAAAGAGAATCTATTGTGATTTTGTGTTTAGTATAAGCTTCCTGATGGTTGTTGCAGGCATCAGATTCCTGAGAAGTTGATAGTGGGTGGGCGTACTCCACAGTGTGAGAGTTGCATCATGAGAGGGGCAGAATAGACTCACCAGTAGAGAAGTGATTAATTAAGAGGTAAAGTATCAGGAGCGCAAGAATTTGAAAACAAACAAGATACTATACACGCTACAAGCATACATTAAATAGCTATTGAGATGTTAAGAAATATAGAGTTTCTGCTAAATTCTGGCGATTTCTGTCACTGTGTCAGGGTGATATTCTTACACGGTCTCATTTAGCGAAACCACTCTTTCACTGACAACGGACCCCTCCGTACTCCAATTTTGTTCTTCTGATAAAACCGCCAAACCAGGATCATTTCATCGCTTTACATTTCCGGTGTAAGCTATATTCATTACCCTTCAACCAAACCTGTACGCTGCATCCTACTGCCCTTACGTACTCGCGTTCGTGTTCGTTAAATTATTGGCTCGGCTGTGGAGAGCATGCATGAATAGACAAGCAGAAGCGCTTTGCTTCATCAACCATGGAATCAACAGCCAGTAGTAAGGAGAGGACCGAGTTCTTCCAAAGAGTAAGTGATCATTCTCAAGCCCCAAAGAAAATACTGACTCGAATTAGCTTAAACCATGTTGCGTTAAGATAAGTCAGTTGGCGATCCGTGAGGCCGACGGACGAGCTTCTTCTCGAGAGCTTGGTGAGCAGACAGGTCGACTTTTGGAGCTCCTCAATGAACAAATCAGACGGAACCCGCTAGTACTGGATGAGAAGTTATCTGAATATGTGTTCTTCCCTCTTCATCACATCTTTCGCCAGATGGATCAATATCCCATGCCCTTGATCGAGAACTGCATCAAGACGCTTACAATTCTCATCACGCACGGCTGGAAGACAAAGCTTTCTGCGGAGCTTGTGCGACAGATTCTGAGTCTTCTGACTTTCATTATCGATGGAACACCTGGCTCAACCCCAGCACGCCCTGTCGCTGAGGAGACAGTGCTGGAAGCTTTTCGTGGGCTGACAGCGCTCTTCAACACAGCTGGTTTATCGGCCGCAGCTTCATCAGGGCTTTCGGAGGCAGAGTCAATACCGGCTCTTGGGCACGGCGTAACTATCATGTTGAATGGAGTGGTAGACGGTGCAACGCCTCAGATTCAACAGGAAGCACTGCGTGCCCTGCAAGCAGTGTACCATACTGTGAAAGAACCTGCTGCATTGGCTAGTTTCCTGCCTGGCACCGTTTCCCTACTCGCCAAAGTCACATCTTCACCTAACCGATACAAGAGCGCTGTTCTTGCCAAATGTCTCGAGACAGTGAGCCTGGTACTGACAAGTGTATTGGCTGATCTACGGACGCGGTCGATCTTGACAAAAACCGAAACTGATCAAGAAGGGGCCGAGGATAACAAAATCCTATCTCCAGCTTGGCTCAAGGCAAGCACTATGCAAGTTAAGAGAGCCCTCTCAACGATTATGAAACTGCGTTCTCATGAATCTGCTGAGGTGAGGAATGCCCTCAACAAGCTTTGCGTGACCATCCTGGATGAATGCCACAACACGTTGTCCAACTGTGCAAACATACTTGTCGAGACAGCCATGATGCTTGGGGAGACTGAGAACAAGATGTCCCTGACACAGACTAGTTTACAAGATCTTGTCAACATCTATCCTGAACTCGGTGAAATTGTCAAAACGACGACATATAACTGGATGTCTAGTCTTTCACGGCTGATGCAATCTGCGGATGAAGATGTTAAGCGAGACACAATACGAAATGTCTTGAAGGGTTTTGAGCTCATCAAAGACTTACAGATACAATCATCGACGCTGGACGAATCTATGTCGATTATGCTCCGAGATAGTATTATATCTCTAATGCAAGCATCAAGAACCTCGGAAACTAATGAGAACATGGACGTTCGACTGATAGACAGTGGGGAAGCATCGGCAGAGCAAGGGGATGTCCAATACCAGCCCGTCTTGCTGCCCTCCGAATCGCAAAAGGATATCCGTCATGAGATGGCATCACTCATTACCTTTCTTGGGTCATCGTCTCAGCAAGCAAGATTTGCTGGTACTATGTTGGAGCAAGTTCAGGACTCTGATAACTCAGCCAGCCAAGTCGCTACTTTTTGGCTTTGCTTTGAACTTATCAAAGCGAGCCATAGATCATCTGCTGAAGCAGAGATGTTCTTGAACTTGTCATCAGTAACCGATCCCTCCCAGGATATCGACACCATATTCAATGAGCTTTACACAACATCGGTGCAGATTCTCGACCGGCACACAGATGTGGAATCTATCGACTGGCGGCTAGAAGCTCTAGCCCTAGAAGCAACTGCCTACACAGCACAGCGAGCCGGAGAGTCATTTCGCCCCGAACTGATCGATATTTTGTTTCCCATCGCAACGTTCTTAGGCTCCAACAACCCCAATCTGCAAAAGCATGCTATTGTCACATTGAACAGTATAGCAGCCTCATGCGGATATGCCAACGTTTCAGAGCTTATCATCCAGAATGTGGACTACATGGTGAACTCGGTTTCGTTGAGGCTGAACAGCCTGGACATATCGCCTGCCTCGATCAACGTCTTGACCATGATGGTCCGACTTGCAGGCCCTCGACTGGTTCCCTACCTAGACGATGTTATCGACTCTATCTTCGGGGCTTTAGATAACTTCCACGGATATCCAGTATTTGTCGAGAATCTGTTTGTCGTGCTCAAGGAGGTTGTGAATCAGGGCGTTCGCTCGGATATGTTGTTGCTGGAACATCAGGCGAGGTCAAAACCAGACCATCGAAAAGTCCACAAGAAAGAACCTGGGCTCTCCGAACTCTTGGATACTTTGGAAAAGCGAAGGCAGCGGGCAGCACTCGATGAGACGGAAACAGAAGAAGAAGTGAAAGGCCACCCAAAGATTCCGTGGAAGAAAGAAAAGAACGAGAATGATAGCAACGAGGCAGCTGATCCTCCACCGGAACCAGAAAAACCACCAAACTCACCAACGTACCAGCTTCTGCTGAGAGTGGCAAACCTCACGCAACATTACCTCACCTCCCCGACACCGACACTACGAAGATCCTTACTTGAGCTCCTGGCAACAGCATCCACTGCTTTGGCTCCCGATGAAGATGCATTTTTGCCCCTCGTTAACGCGATCTGGCCAGTAGTGATCGACAGGCTGCATGACCCAGAAGCTTATATCGCGGTCGAGGCATGCCGCGCGCTTGCTGGGCTCTGCGCTGCTGCGGGGGACTTCCTTAGCTCTCGGTTCAAGACTGACTGGGCTGAATGGCTTCGAGATTGGTGCCGAAAGGTTAAACAGCAAGCTTCCGCTTCACCGAGCTGGGTCAGACCCCATGGGGAAGCTGGCACTACGTGGGGGAAAGAAAGCGACGATAGCCGAGTGTTGATACCCCTGAGACATGGTGATAGTCTAAGCGGCAAGCCTTTAACGCAAATAGTCGCACCATCTTCAGGTAGCTTAGGCAAATTTGCGTCACCAGCGCGAGTGTGGGAGGGTACGGTTGAGCTACTGACAGCTCTCGTATCTCATGTTCAGGTTGACGAAGAAATGTTTGATGACATTCTTGACTTACTCTCGGAAGTTTTGGAACGAAACGTTGTAGTGCGGGAGGCATTGGAGGCTGTTAACGGGGACGCTGTATGGCTTTCGCGGTATGAGAGAGGGAATGTTGAATGGCTCCCAACACCGAAAATGGACGGAGTGGAGTTCACTCACATGGCAATCTCCAGGTAATGCATTACGAAATAGACAGAACAAACCAACCAATATCGACTTCTCAATCATACCATTGTGGGCATTGAAATGGCCAGAGCCGGCACAAGAACTCATCTAGTGGTACGACTCGTTTCCTGGGGTTAGCATGGATACTAGGAGCGCCACCGGGCAAACCATTCCTTGACGATGATGGAAGCATTTGAGGACAGCAAATGTTATGTGATCGCTTCACGTGGAATTTCCACACGAGGGAAGCCTGTAATACTAAAGCTTACCCCTGCCAAACATGCTGTGGGGAAGCGAGAGGTCTGGATTCTGCTGACGGTTCCGCAGTGGAAACATTGAGCATTTTCTCCGCATCTTATGTGTCAACACCTTCTTGAACAAGTTAGGGTTGAGAGGCTAATAATTGGAGTCGTTAGTATTATGGATCTCCCCGAGCGAACCAGGAAGACTGAGATTACCCTCAAACCTCGCTCGACTCTACCCCAGAAACAAGATCAAGATGCTGCGGAAACGATTTCGTAATGGAATCAACATGTTGAGTGTCTAGACTCGAGAGTCTGGAGAATCCCCAGATTATGAGTCTGGATCTGTGGAGGCCTCGTGGCGACCATTGCATCGTATCCATTTCCCCCAGAAAGCCAAGAAGACATAACGTAACGAGACTCTTGAGCAAGTTGAGCCTCATCGCTAGCTTGTCTTGAATTGTCATTTTTTTCATGAGGGGAAATTCCAGCGTGAGGAGATTTCAAGCCACGATTGATATGAGCGGCCCAATCAAGGAGATACCGATGGTATGAGGGAGAAAAATTCGATAAGGCCAGCTAAGAGATAGCGGTTTTCCCTGGCTGGCGGTCAGCAGCTGAGAGCCAGCGGGAGAGGGGAAGGAGTCTCCAAATTGCTAGTTGGTCCTAGGGCTGTTGGGACATGGGTACAGTTCCAGATTCATTGATACCACCGAAGCTGGGGGCCATTCATGGCCAACCAGGAGCATGTTAACTGCAAGAGGAGGGTAGTCTGGAAGTCTTCTAGCTTGAGGACTAGTTCGAGCTTTGCCACCCTCTTCGAACGAGACGTGGCCGCGTGAGGGTGCCCTGGAGCATGTGGGGGAGAGCCAAAGCAAGCCAAGGCATCTCCAAGTTTTGCTTTGCTTTGCTCTCTGCCGCTGAAGACTCCAAGGTGCTTGGCGATCTATTGGCATCGCATCGCCAAGTTCTGCAGCACACCAAACCAAGTCTTGTCTGCAGAACCCAAGGTCTGGGCAGCAATGGGCCCGACCCGAACATTTGGTTCACAATGATAGTATGTGTCTTGTAATACGACATAAGTCATCAGTTTATTACTACCACCAGGGGATTTCCGAAGAGGGACAAGGGCCATTGGTCATGATGTCGACCTTCCGAAAGAAGCTGAAAGTGCTTACGGGGCCACTGAACAAGCGTTACGGACGTGGCGTTGAAATGGTCATTGACTCCGCGTTAGGAGCGCGTTTACCGGTAATCAACTGCCCATGAAAGTCAACGGAAAACTGCCGAGAGGTTGACTCGTAATAGGGCGTCGGCAAGGGTACATACATACGATGCAACAAACCCAATGTGAGTTAATTCCAAAGGATTGCAGCATGACAAGGGTCTGACACATTTTGGGTAGTATTGGTGAATAACCTTATCCTGAGGGAGGGAATCGTAAGAAACAACTCAAATTGATTGATTGCTGACCATGCTGACTCGTTTATCAGATACGCTATCTAGATTAACGTCAAACGACAAGCGAGTTAAGCGCCGTATCAACCGTTGCCATGTCTTTACCAGCACGAGCCAAGATAATTCCAGCCCAGAACCGGCCCGGTCAAAGTCGACACGATTCTCGGCTACGGAGCCCTCTCGCGCTCGCCGAGAGATAGACAAGCAGAACCAAGACGGGAACCAGATAAGGGGGGGGCCAGGCCACTACTGCAGTGTGACCTTTAGGCTGCTGTGCTCCGAGCTCCAAGGTGGACATGAAAATCCTGTACCCACCATGATACCGTAGCTTGGAGTTGAAGAGCCAATGGCTTCATGAGCCCAATGATTAGCCTCAAAGATAAACTCTTTGGGGCAAAACAAGACAGGCTAGACTGCCCGTTCTGCACACCATTTCCTCCAAGTTCAACCAACACGCTAACATTAAGACTAACGTTAGACTACCCCCCCCCCTTGACCCATCCTTGCCATCTCCAACTCCAACTCGCATCTGACAGACCCCAGCGCCACCAAATCTAGAACGGCATGGAGAGCAGTTCCATAGTCTCGGTATATTGTGCAACATCGTCGATCAAAACGAGTACAAATACTGAGGCCCTCTCCCTCATTCCGGGGATACAAGAACCAAGAGCATCACTCTCGACACTCACTCCCCTTTCTCTCACTCTCACTCTCACTCTCTCACTCTCACTCTCTCATACACTTCTCTCTCCTCTCACCACCACCACAACTAGTAGCCATGGCTTCTACTCCTCCCACCGATTACGGCAAGGAGGCCGTTCTCGATGTCTCTGAGACACGAGATGTCGAGACTGGCGAGGTCAAGAACGGTGACCTCAAGCAAGATCTCAAGAACCGACACATGCAGATGATTGCCATCGGTATGACTTCACTCCTCCTCTATTCCTCAACTCATAACTAACATGTCTAGGTGGCGCTATCGGTGCTGGTCTCTTCGTCGGTTCAGGTGGTGCCCTCCAGAAGGGTGGCCCTGCTGCTCTCCTCATCGGCTATCTCATCATCGGTATCATGCTTCTCTGCACATGCTTGGCCCTCGCTGAGATGGCTGTCCTCTACCCCGTCAACGGTGCCTTCTTCACATACATCGTCCGCTTCGTCGATCCTTCATGGGGTTTCGCCATGGGTTGGCAATACGCTCTCGCTTGGTTGACTGTCCTGCCTTTCGAACTTATCGCGGCTTCCATCACCATCAGGTTCTGGAGAGAAGATATCAACATGGCTGTCTGGGTCTCTGTCTTCCTTGTTGTCCTCATGGGCATTCAGATCTTCGGTGTTCGAGGTTACGGTGAAGTTGAGTTTGTTCTCTCTATCATCAAGATCTGCGCCTGTGTTGGTTTCATCATCCTCGGTATTGTCATCAACTGCGGTGGCGTTGGCGACCAGGGCTACATCGGTGTCAAGTACTGGCGCGATCCTGGTGCTTTCACCAGCTTCAAGGGTTTCTGCGCTGTCTTCGTCGTCGCTGCTTTCTCCTTCGGTGGTACTGAGATGGTCGGTCTGGCTGCTGCTGAGTCTGCCAACCCCCGCAAGTCTATCCCCATGGCTAGCAAGCAGGTCTTCTGGCGAATTGCTATCTTCTACATTCTCAACCTGTTCATCGTCGGTCTCATCCTCCCCGCCAACGACCCTCGCCTGATGGGCGCCAGCGGTGCCAATACCAAGGCCTCTCCCTTCGTTCTTGCTATCCAGGATGCCGGTATCAAGGTCCTTCCAAGCATCATGAACGCTGTCATCACTGTTGCTGTTCTCTCCGTTGCCAACTCCTGCACTTTCGGTTCTACCCGAACCATCCAGGCTATGGCTGAGCGCAACATGGCCCCCAACTTCTTCAAGTACATTGACTCCAAGGGCCGCCCTCTCTACTGTGTTATCCTCCAGATCGCCTTTGGTCTCCTTGCCTACATTGGCGCTGCTCCTCAGGGCATGGAGATCTTCGGCTGGCTCTTGGCCCTCACTGGTCTTGGCTTCCTCTTCGTCTGGGGCTCTATCTGCCTCGCCCACATCCGCATGCGTGCCGGTATGAAGGCTCAGGGCATCAACCTCGGCCTCATTCCCTACAAGACCCCCTTCGGCGTTGCTGGATCTTACCTCGGTCTCGGTCTCAACATCCTCGCCCTCATCGCCTCTTTCTACACTGCTCTCTTCCCTGCCTCCGGCGCCTCTCCCACCGCTGAGGCCTTCTTCAGTTCCTACCTCGCCTTCTTCTCTGTTACCCTTCTCTACCTTGGTTACAAGGTCTGCACACGCAAGTGGCAGATGTATGTCCGCCCCGCAGAGATGGATCTGGCCAGTGGCGCTGTTTGGTTGGAGGAGGAGGAGCCCAAGGAGCCTTTCGTCTGGGCCGATGCTCCCAAGAAGGTTCTCCGAAGCTTTTTCTAAGCATGTACGAAGGATGGAGTTGATATGATTACGGATACCCACACTACTGGATGAGTGAAAGAATTGTACATATATATGATCATGTAATATTTTGAGTTTTATACCAGCGAGAAAAGCAAGGCGGTTAGCGTTCCTGAGCATTATCTGCACATATACAATACGCATGCAATCTCTTCAAACACCAGAGCACAATCACAGTGATAAACATAAGAGCCGAAGTGATCTATTTTCTTACTTGCGAGGTGATTCAGCAGAGCCTTCCTTATTCTGTAAGGGATCTATTCGTTAAAGGAGTAACAGAAAATTACTGCTCAATCACGCAGATAAGGCAAGACTTGTTCCCCAACCTATATTTCAATGGTGTCCTAGACAGCCCAAGCAATGAGCACGGCAAGATTTACTCTTAGCCAAAATTGTTCCTGCTCGACACTATCAACAAGATGTCTAGGTACTTAGCCATTTCTTCTTGTTCCGACACAATAGTGTTTTGCTTTTACACTGACTGTACTATTCCACATTATCTCCCATACGATTTGTATCCATGTCGTCCTTTTCGTAGATTTACTCCTAAAGTTGCCCGAGTTAGTGCCTCTACAAAATTATAGTCCAAGTTTAGTAAGCCCGAACTCGCAAATTCGTAAGTAAAACTCAGTACCGAGAATGTCATACAGAAATAGCAAACTTATTCGTCATTGGCTTTGGTCGAGATCACGATGCTAATCTCCCGCGGAAGGTTCTCCTTCAGGATCAGCGCATCAGCTGCGTCAAAGATCGAGCAGAGCTTTGAACGAAGAAGTCGCTCCTGCGATGCTGATCTACGCTCGAGTCTGGAGATAGCTTCGGCCACGTTAGCCATGATTTCGTTGCGGTAGGAGAGATCGTCGTTGATGTTGAGCCTCTTCTGGTGACGATCTTTGGCTCTGACCAGATCAAGGTCGAGGGAAGACATGACAGCAACGTCCATTTTGGAAACCATATCAAGGAAAGCACCTTACATATGGTGTGTTCGAGGAAAGACATAGGCAATTGTGTCGAAGAGGCGTTGAAGAGCGCCAACAATAATGTTCTTTGTGCCTTCAGCTTCTTGGCTGAGGAGACATTCATCCCAAGCAGGTCCAAAAACTTGCTGGAACGACTGGCAACCGGGCTACTCCAGGAGAGCCGTTCGAAGTTCTATCAGATTGGGTGTTGCCTCCTGCAGATAGTTCTGCTGAGAATTTTGCATCTCACGGACCTTGTCTGACAGTTCAACCAGCTTCTTTACAGCTGCAGTTGATTCTGCATCATTGACCTGTTGAGCCAGTTGAATCCAGTCAATTTCATCGGAAACCAGGGACGCAAGAGTGGCACCGGTCTTGCCCATATATTTCCAGACTGATAGGTCCGTGTCTGCGTCCTTGATGATTGGCAACCATGATTTCGCGACTTGGCTGCACTAGTAACATAGTCGGTTCTTCGCCTCCTCTGGAAGCACAAGGATGATGGGCTCCGATAGCCATGCCTTTACCTCTCTGATGAGAGCTGGATCGTTTTGCTTGAACTTTCGGTTTCCTAGTTTCTCAAGTATTTCCTTGCCCTCGCTTAATGATTGACGGCGGTGGATGATCTGCGGCGCGTCGACAGTCCTCTTCTTCAAACAAGGGGCACCCGGTGCTGACTTAACCCAGCCGTTCGCTATGGTTAGAAGCATCAGAGGGGTGGTGGTGTCTCCGAATATATTGGTTGTGACTGCAAACTTTCCCCGGGCGATCTTTCCAACTGTTGAAGACTTTGAATCTTCGCCAGACTTCTTAACGAAGAACTGACACTCACCAGTCTGAGGCCATGCATTGATGGCAATACCAAGGTAAGCCCACACAGCACTCGGGGAGACAGCGTTGACGACGTGTTTGTTATTGACATTAGAGTTGACGATGACGTGCTTCAGGTTCAGAGTAGCGGCAATAGCCACGACGGTCGTTGCTGAGAGCGTGTACAAATTGCCGCTCTTGGTGGTTCGGTTGGTGTTGGAGAATTCTTTCAGAGGACTTGCGATTGGCTCCTCAGAATTATCAGTATGTTATTCCTTGCGAGAACTAGATATGTTCACTTACCTGGCTCTCCCAAATAGCGTAGTCAGTTGTCTCGATGACTTTGGTGTTCTCGATAGTCTTTATGCAAGCCTTGAAGCATTCCATGTGGTTGTCGGGATCACGGCCGCGAGTCGAAAGACCTCACGAGTCACTTGCTCGTGAATTCGCTGCGCTGTCCGCGCACTTAGTGGCGATTGGGCGGTTCCGGGCATGGCTGTATCGTCAAAGGCGGACCAGATGGAGGAAGATATGGAGGAGAATAGCCTGAAGATATCTCTGATGATGATCCAAGATGGCCAAGAATATTGAGAGGTAAAGAAGAGGGTTGAAGAGATGATGGACGCGATGATGTTATGAAAAATCGAGGCGGTGCCGCGTGAGGAGAAGATGAATGGTGGGCACGTAGGAAGGATGATGAAATGGCCAGCTACCTCAAGACGCCAAAGGCTTCTCTTTATAAGATAGAAAGCAACCTATGAGCAAGGATGTGCTGTATTTCCTCTTCTTCTTCTTCTTCTTCTTCTTCTTCTTCTTCTTCTTCTTCTTCTTCTTCTGTGGTGAAATGATATGCAGGAGGGGAAGAAAGTATTGGATGAGAGAGTGTGAAAGTAGGAGAAAGGTGAAGCTAGCAATGGAAGTTGAGGACGGAGTTGGCCGCTGTGTCAGAGCCAGAGCCAGAGCCAGAACACTACCAATTGTTCCTGGTCAGTGGCAGCACTCCAGACCAAACCCCAGAAATGGACTGAACAGCTGACATTGGCAATTATTTTCTCATACCATCATGTGAACACGTAGAATACATCTCACCAAATGGGTAAGTTGCCATTCAAGTTGAGCATTGGTTGTCACCATAATCAACGCTTCTATGATTCGTCTTCCTAACACTTGGTAGATAGTCTATCAATAATTCATCACATCTTGGGAGCCACAGTTAAATATCCTTCAACAACAGCAGTAATCAGCCGATTGGCAATAGCCTGAGGAGGAGGCAATCGCAAATCACCCTCTTTGTATCCTTCTGGAGCAGGCTCTCCAAGGCTGCTCGTTCCATTCTTAAGAGCCTGGCGGGCTTCATCAATGGAGAACCACTTAGCCACCTCCAACTCCTTGTCGTTCAGAGAGATCTTCTCGCCATCACCAGGCAGAGCCTGAGCTATGGCTCCAATCATCAAGCTGGAAGGATAAGGCCACGGCTGACTCGAGTGAATAACAACGCGTCCAACACGAACACCACTCTCCTCCCAAACCTCTCGCCGAACCGACTCCTCGATAGACTCTCCAGGCTCAAGGAAGCCAGCAAGCGTGCTGTACCAGTGAGGGGGCCAACGCTTCTGACGGCCGAGGAGAATCTTCGTTCCATCTGCGGAAACAACAGCGGCAATCATCGTGGGATCCGTTCTAGGGAAACAGATGTTTGAGACGCCGTGACGGGTGGGGCAGTCACCTCGAAGCTCACTAGAAGCTCCGCCTTTCTTATCGGCGGGAGGGCAGACGCGCTTATAACCAGCGTGAACTGAGAGATTGGGTAGCCCGCAGCCGGCACAAAAGGGACTTCGTGTGTTCCAGTCAATGATAGATCTAGCCTGCGCATAAAGAGCGGCTGCAAAAGTTAGTTGAAGATCGAATCGGTTTCAGGCACAACTTACCAGCCTCAGGTGACTGGTTCATGGCTCGAGGGTTCTTATCCAGAGACAGTCCTTTCTTCTCCTGTTCCTCTAAGAACTGGGTAGCTTTCTCAGCGTGGTTTCCCTTGGGAGTAATGTCAATGGCAAAATAGGGGTGGCCCTTAATGTCTCCATGATCGGAAGAGGAGATGGAATCCTTCTCATTACCCTCCTCTAGCATACCAATGAAGACAACCAGGGGTCTGGTCTCAGCAGAGTTGAAGCTCTGGATAGCTTCATCCTCAGTGAGAGTGAAATGGTCCGGTCCGATCAGAGGCTCGACATCCTTAAAAGTCAGATAAGCCGGAGTCTTCTTGTCAACAACCAGAGGGTTCAAGTCATGGAGTGCCAAATATCTAGCTGTAGGGCTGTTGTAGGCTTGTCGAAGAAAGCCAGTATCGGCACGCAGAAAAGAGAATCTGTTGATACGGCCACCAGCGTAGTAGTTGACAACCTCTTTTCCAAAACGGCGAGTCAACATTGAGTCGTCGGTTTGAAGAGCTGCAATCTCGGGCAGCCCTGGACCTGAAATGGTTGTTGACATTGAGTGTTGTTGTTTCAAAGGTGCTGGGATTTGTATTTGTAATGCTCTTGATATGAGGTTGGAGATAGTGGGGTCAGAAATAGTCGACACTTGATGCTAGATTGAGGGCCTAGATTTCTTCTGCTGGATTTATAATCAGGATATGAGACAACTCCTTTCCAGTGTTGATGTTGAGATTTGGTTATCAGGCACAAAGAGGAGACTTTCTATGATCAACGCGAGGCAATGAGTGAGCAGTACTAATCGGCTTCAAGTCCGAGGTCTCCGTTCTGTTTCCTGTTCATTCTGGGGCTAGCGGTGAGAAACTCGCGGGCGATTTGCACAATATTGCGGCGAATGCGGCCATGTACCCAGCGGGATGGAGTTCTGATGAGTCAGGGCTTGTCATGATTGGCCTGCAGAGAGAGGATCTCATTGAGATTCATTGGGTCCATGGATATCATATTTTTTTGGTGTTTCATCACTGTGATCATGACCTCATTTGTACATTATCAGATAGACGAAGCAATATCTGCGATCCACGATCTTGCATTCAGAACAGCCCCTGACTATATTGAACCACTTCAATTGGTTATATTTACATGGCGTTCTCATAGTTCAGCTGGCATTGGCTGTTCACGAACCCGAACTTGATCTACAGCTTAACTTCCTCGCTGTGCCGAGGTCGGACCCCGGAAGTATCCTAGCATAAGCCAAGCTCAGCTCAGGGCATTCTAGCGCATCTCCCCCGCAATCCATTCCTAATCTTGCTTTGATACAGTGACGTCTTGTTCTGGGGGGGGGGGGCACGGGACCATGCCTGGCTTCGCAATCATTGACCGAAAAAAAGTCTGTCAATCTCATTCTTCATTCTTCATGCCACGACCCTTTTGTCTCTCCCTGTGATTTTTTGCCTCGCGACGCCCAGACTATCACCATCAGCGATTACTCCCTAACGAATCGATTTTTCTTCATTTTAACGAATGCGATAATATCACGATTCGATTTATATCGATCACCCAAACGGTATCGCTACGAGCTGGGGTCAGCGCTGCACTCTGCCACCTTTCGCCCAGGGCTCAACCTCCATCATGACTCCGCCAACTGCGAATCTGAACCTTGACGTTGAGGCGATCTCGGGCATTTGCGGGTATGTCTCTAATTCTGACATTCTTTAAAGACGTCACATACTAAATTCTCCAAAGTTCTATTTCTATTGCCTGCTGGGGTATGTCGCTATGACTGGTCTCAGCCTCGGAACAACACTAATCGCAAATAAATAGTTGTCGTGTTCTCTCCTCAAATCATTCAAAATTTCCAGCGCAGCAGTGCCGATGCCCTCTCGATCCAATTCATCATTGTCTGGCTCCTCGGCGATGTTTTCAACATTCTGGGTGCCGTCCTTCAGGGCGTTCTACCGACCATGGTACGCTTCACGCTCAGCATTCATCAACCCGTTTTGAGGACCGAAAACTAAGACAATTGCTTCTATAGATCATCCTCGCCATCTATTACACGATCGCTGATATCGTCCTCCTGGGCCAGTGCTTCTACTATCGTGGTTTTACATGGCGCGATGCCCCGACCCCTGCTGCGAAGCCGAACACCCCGGCCCCTGGTGAACCCAACGAGCGCACTGGTCTGATCGCTCACGATCGTCATGAGGAGCGCCGCGGCTCAGACTGGTCTGGCCTGTCACCGGCTGTTCCTCACATCGCCGAAGATGCTACTCCTCAAACCCCTACTATCCTTCAGACTGTGGTCTGGAACACCATCGTCGTCTTGATGGTCATCGCAGCTGGTGTCGTTGGCTGGTTCTTGGGTCAGAAGACTTCTACTGGCGACAAGCATGGCGACAATAATGCTGGAGGCGAGGATAGCCTTCACTTCAGTCTTTCGGGTCAGATCTTTGGATATCTCTGCACCGTCGCATACATCGCTTCTCGTCTCCCTCAGCTCATCCTGAACTGGAGGCGCAAGACGACCGACGGACTGAGCATGCTCTTCTTCCTTTTTGCATGTCTCGGAAACATCACTTATGTCTTGTCCATCTTCGCCTACGAACCTAAGTGCAAGCACGATGAATGCCGCCCTGGTGAGGCCCGTCATATTTACGGCAAATACATCCTCGTCAACCTGAGCTGGCTCGCTGGCAGTCTCGTTACTCTGTTCCTCGACTTGGGTGTCTTTGCTCAGTACTTCATGTACAGCAAGCCAGAGAGCACTGCTACGCCCACTCGTCGACGAATCAACGACAACGTCACCGAGGAAGATGAGTACGATGACGATGAGAGTCTCAACGAGGACAACTGGGACCAGCGTCCTCTACTCCAGAGAGGCGACTCTGTCTACCATCCATGATCTAAATTCTAACTTTTGAAAGGCTCGCGCCTGATATGACAGTTTTTTGTTTTGCTTTTTATTTTCATTTGTTCTCATATCTCCCCTGACTGGTTGGGGCACATATAGGATCGAACAATGGCAGGCGTTTACTGTTGGATGAGAAGAGAGAAAAGAAAAAGGAAAAGGAAAAGGACAAGGAAAAGGAATCAAAAATAAAAATCAGCATCAGGATTGGGTTGCTATCATGATGGAGTTGGGAACATGCGAAGTTTATTCAGATTTTAGATCGATTCACCTCTCAGGGGTTAGGTTTGCTCATAACATGAAGATATAAGTCTACTTTGCATTCATAAAGTCGCCAGTATCTCAACACAAAACGAACTCCTTTTCCTAATGGAGTTTGAGGGCGAGGGGAAATATCGGCAAGTAGCGATGAAAAGTCAAAAACATTATTATCATCGGACTTAGAGACTGCTCCGCGTTCCTTTACCGTTCCTTCTAATTTGTCTACATAAGCCGTATAGATATTTAACTTTCAGTATTTGTAGATCAACCCAACATCCTTTACCAAGATATCATTCTCACAAAATGGTTCAATGACAGTTCAATGGCACATGAGCAACATCGGATATCCGCACCACTCGTTACACGAGATTAATATGGTCTACTTACTTCTCTTGGCGACTCTGCCTCTTCATTGCCGCTTTGGTGATGGTATTCTCACAAATCATATTGGGTTCTCACCATTAGTAGGTCCTCAAGGAACACATAGTCTATCATTTTATTGCTCATAAGTTCTACGGATCAGTGTTAACAGCAAGCTGCTACTCCTTTGAACTGTTTTTTTTTTGGGTGACCAATATCGTTGAGGTCCCGGACTACCCTGTAGACTCGTGTGAGAAGTTTTCAGAATCATTAATGCCTTACACAACCCATAATTTTCCTTAGAATTTGGCTTGGTCAGGGAATCCTGATGGCTTTTTGTCTTGTTATAGTGTGAGGCTCGCTTATTGGTTGGACGAAGGCCAATCATGCGCTGGTTCATAGAGTCTAGTCGATGAAGCTGGGTTTCCGTGGCATTCGCTTTCATGTGCAACCTCAACATCGATCATACTCCAGCGGTTTCAGCGACGTGTAGTTATGTATTCCGAATGATGAGGAACAAAAGAGTTGAGACGTTTTGGTGATTTGGTTCCTTGCGCACAAGAGGGTCTCTGCGAGCAAGCAAGGGGAGACAAGAAAACTTAGGACCTCTTTTTTAAAGTGATATAAATACCTAGGTAAATTTAGTATCAAGAGAGAAGTAAATTTAGTATAGATTTAGGAAGTCTTTATAGACTTATTTTTGGTATCTAAGTTTAGGGTTAGATATTTCCTTGCTCCCTGAGGGCACGATGCTGTCAATTGTACAGGAGTCTCAGTCCTGCTGTTCGACAGCATTATTATTGGCATTACGTAGTTTTGCATCCGTAGATATGCAGTGGATTGCTTGACCTTCCCGGTTGACCATTGAAAAGGGATCTCATGTGAGAAGCCGAGATTTGCTTTGGCGTTTACTGGGTATATCGGTGATACTAAACCCAAGAGTTGATAGAGAACTCTAAAGCCCACGATACAGCCAAATAAAAGGTTTTCGACCCGCCAAAAGAGTCCATTTGAAGCTCCACCCTCTGAAATTTTATGTAACCCCTCGGACAAAAATCCCTGCAGTGCCAGCAGTGGCACGCACCGATACTTCGGCCACGTTCGGGTTAGCGTGATCACTCAAGAAAAGTTGGCAGTATAAATATCCTCTCTCCCCCAATCCATTCCCTTTTCTTTTTTCTCTTTTCTCTTCACATCAGTTCGGTAGAACTTCACCGTCATGTGAATTTTTACTTAATGGCGGCTCCGCGAAAGCGGCTTGCTGAGAGTCAGATTTGTCGATATCTGGTTTTCCGTTCCCGGCCTCCTATAGCAACGTGATCGCTCTTCCTAAACAGCCATGAACGTCATCAGAGGTTCTTGACTGTGGGGTGATCTCGACATACCATCGAATTCCTAAGTCTTCAATATCGTAAGCTCGTAGACTGCGCGTGCGCGTGCGGACTGCCTACTCGTTGAGCTAGCCTCAGAATGAAGCCGTACCGCTCGTGCATCTCCTGTGCGGAAAATTCCAGTGCCTGCTGAGAGAAACACCGTAATCGCCGTTCTCCGCTGGTGATCATGACTGCAGAATTTGTTGTCTCGAGATACTCAGAAAGCGGCTGGACAACCAAAAGTTTGCTGCAAACTTTTCAGTGGCTACGAGCAGGCAAATTTGCAGTGCAATTCAACGCACCGCACGATTTCTCATGATACAGGCTAGACTGCATATTTATAGAGTCGTGACATGCAAACTCTGAGCACAGCGTTGCTATTTGCTCGTACCAAATTTGCGTCAACCAGATTTTCGAGTATAGCAAGTCGTTGTATTGTCTCGGATTATGTTGCAGTGCGTCACGACGGCGCACAGGTTTATAGACAGATGTCTACAGTAACACCGATAGAGAATACCTCATCGATAAACATCACTAAACATTTTACCTCGTTGTAATGTCTCCCCGTCGTCAGTAACCTTCGGGTTTCAAGGCCGTGACAGCACGTGACAGAGAGAATCTGGAGGAATCTTGATGGGCGAACGGGCAGAAGTGGAGCCAAAAAAAAATCTAAACCGGAGGAAGCCTTCAGATTTGCCCGAGATTCGGACAAGACTCTCATTGACGTGCGACTCTTGTCAAGGCCGATTAATCCACCCAAATCTACATCTCGCCCACCCTCTCCTCGTCTCCTCGCTCGCCATCGCCCATAATGTCTTCTCTCTGGAACGCTTTCACCAGCGGCAATAAGCCCGCCCACCAGCAGCAACAGTCGCAGTCTCAGTCGCACCAACAACCCACGACACAAGAACCCGCGCATTACGCCTACGACCCCACGGAAGGTCAGGGCGTCGAGTCTTTTCTTCAGAGCTCTGCCTTTGCCGACCCCTCGCAATTACATCCCCTCGCCGGCCTCAACAGAGATACACTTGAATATATTTCCCTCGAGGATTCAGCCCTGTCCGAGTTGCCTGGTGGCCAATCAGTCCTGCCCTCGCGAGGCTTCACAGACGACTTGTGCTACGGTACCGGAATCACATACCTTGCTGGTCTGGGAATTGGAGGTGCTTGGGGTCTGCAGGAGGGTCTCAGAAGGTCGGCCGGTCAGCCTCCCAAGCTGCGATTGAACGCTGTTCTCAACTCGGTTACTCGACGAGGACCTTTCCTCGGTAACTCGCTGGGTGTCGTCGCTATTATCTACAACTGCATCAACTCATTGATTGGATCTGTCCGCGGAAAGCATGATGCCGGAAACACTGTCCTCGCTGGTGCGCTGAGTGGTATGCTCTTCAAGAGCACCCGTGGACTTCGACCCATGGCCATCTCTGGTGGTATTGTGGCTTCCGTCGCTGGTGCTTGGGCTGTAAGTGCTACTCCATGTTTCATACTCTGTTCAGCTGCTAATTGCTTTCAAGATTGTGCGACGATCTTTCTTCCCTATCCCAGAGCCCGCTCCTGCGGTCTCTGACGAGCTTACTCTGTAATACCATTATGATACACCTATTCACCGTTGTCGTCAATTGATCGACTCGTTATAATCGTGCCTTAGTGGGCACACGGCACCGACGAAAAAAATGAACGAAGAGAGGCGAGCTGGAGGATGAAGTACGGGAAGAGAAGGGATTCCCCGTTGTATATGATATGGGCGAGATTAGGAGTTTGGTAGCATATGGATTGTAACGGACATCTCTCCTCCCATGGGCAAGTGTACATTACATGAGGTTCGGTCAGCGAGCATTAGACGATTGTGATAGGGGCTGGGCGTCTGGTCATTAATGATTAAAATGTTTGAATAGTACTGTAAGTTAAGTTCAGTTAGCCAATGGATGTTCATGGCAGCCTGTGCTTTGATCAATGGAATCAGTGCCCCCTGACAGTGTTAGCACTGGCCGAGATCGGTTGCCTAAGAGTCTACACAAGGAAGAGGTACCTACCACTTCACCATTTGTTTACCACAAACATACGTTCACAGCAAAAGATTCTACCGCACCCTCAACTTTCCATCTTCATCCGCATCACATAAGCTGAGATGGCTTGACCTTTCCCACGTCACACGCCACTCAACATGGAATCACACGATTTTGGCAACGGCCAAGGGGCATTCCAGATCTATCTGGATGCTGTCGAAGAGCATACTCGCGACGATCGTCCATCTCCAGCGCTGACCGACGACCCCTTTACTGCTACTGACAATCCCCAGGACGGCACAAATGCGGCTTCATCAAGCAAGGCACCCAAGCAGCCCCGGAAAGCACGAACCTCCAAACAAGACATCGCGGATGCGAGCCTGAGAGAGTTCAAAGAGATCATGATACAGTACCGCCTTGATCACTGGAGAGCAAGGGCTCAGATCGTCCATGTCAAAGGTCAAATTAATCTGACAGCTTTCTGGAGCCCACTATGGGCTGGCTTCGAGGTTGCGGACAGAGGGATGAACATGTTTGATGGCTTCGACCGAATGTGGTTTGTACCCTTCGACATAATGACACCTCTACCTGCAGAAAAGCAGGAGATAGCAGATAACCTCCAGAGACGACGCCTTGAGCTGGAAGCTGCATACCTCGCCAAGGTCGAGAGAGACAAGAACTTTCTAACAAAACTGCAGCACTTAATTGAAGAAGAGGTTAAAGAGACATGCCAGAAACTGTGGGAGCCCAACGCTTACGACCCAGGCCGGGAGCCAGCAAGATGGGATGACGTGCGAGCACGCTTTCAACTCACTCATTTGGTCACTATGATAGCCCAAACTCGCCTGGCTGTTGGCAAAGAACAACTACCAGGCTACTACCAGGTCAAAGTCCTCGACTTAGGGGTCGACGGTAAGATTACTTACCAGTGTGTCAATCTACCCAGCGATGTCAGCATGAAGAGAATGCTTTCGCGAATGAAAACCAAGTTTCCTCCTGACAGTGAACAAAGTCAACATACTATCAACGTCTTCAAACATAAACTCGAGGCTGGTTGGAATCGCGGAGATGAAGCACAGCGAAAGAAAGCCCAAGGTTTACTTCGCCAGCTGCATGACTTGGTGCTGGTAGAGAAACCTGAAAGTGAGAGATATTCATGGGTTTTCAAATTGAGAAGCAACTCCCATTTCTATATTCCCGCCGGCAAGTTACCAGACTGTCTTCATACGTGGACACAGTTGAAGGAAACAACTTACCAAGAGCTACTCGAAGGAGTGCGAGCAAAGAAACACCCGGTTTTTATTCGAGTGAGTATCATTAGCGCCCTTTATTGACCATTGCTAACATTGTGTGGAATAGCCCTGGAAGATTCGACTTCGCCGGTGGTGGCCTGAAGTAGATGATCTTGTGAACCAAGCTGAAGCTGTCTTTGGCGGGGCCGGACTGTCATCTCTGCAGCTTGATATTGTAGATGAACTCCTCGCCAGCCGAACCCAGGAAGAAGTACAGCGAGCAGTGAAAACCAAACAAGCGCTAGATGAGGCGAGGCTTGCGATTATGGAGAACGATTGTCCGAGTAGGAACAACAATGATGACGAGTTTGGCCCTTTTTGACAACGATTCATGGGATGAAAAGGGATGGATCTTGCTTGCTTATGGATGAGTTGCTATCGTGACGATGAATTGTCTACAAATGAAGTGAGAGGATGAAATAGCGCAGTGGACGTGTGATTTTATGTACACATGTGCATTCAGTATAAGCAAACCCTTTGATTAGTTTAGCAAGTCCACACAAGTGAACAAATAAGTCTATTATAAGAGAATACGAACCTTGTGTTACTAGGCTAATAGAGCTCAAGTTTTGTCGAGTTTGACTATATCCAATGCTCAAGGCAGAAGCACTGTCACTACAGTGGGCATGACAATAGCCAGCTTTGCTCATCCACCTTCCACTCAACTTCAGCATAAAACAACACATTCCCTTTCTAAATCATTTAAAAACGCGTCATTTTACTCGCTATAACCTCAACGGCATAATGTGCCTCCCCTGTTTCCCATGGACATGGACCAAATGCGAAGACCCTTATGACAATTTGCATAGAGCCCCTAAGCAGTCTGTCTGGGTCCATGATGGGCAGAACTGGGAGCTTCAGAAAGTGGTGAGCAGACTTATTTCCTTGCCTTTCATCAATTTCGTCAATTCCATTATCGTGGTCCTTTACCCTATTAAACACCCCTCAATGTTGCGGGCCACCTGGCCCCGAGCCTGCGTCTGGACTGCCAGTGACAACCAACTAGAGGGCAAAGTCACCACAAAACATGCCATTGAAGGATATCGAAACATAAACAAAACCAAACTCAACACGCTGGGTGTTTTGTTTGTGCTGTATTGTCGCCTTGAGCGCTGTTTGTGCCCTGTACGCATGAGAGGTATATCTTCTCGAAGTGTCTCTACTATCTGAGAGCTTCTTCTTTCCTTCTTTTCCTTCTTCGGAGAAGGTATCGCGAGATCCTGAGGCTTCTGATTCACGACCCCTGAAAGTGGATTTATTTTCCGATCTCAATTGTCCGAGTTAGGAAGCAAAGAAGCGATAATGGCCTCGGCAGGTGCCAGCGCCTTCAAGTCTCCCAAATTCCTCGACGACCAAAGACCCCCGAGACTCGTCAAGTGCACTTTGGCTCTCAGACTAAGCCTGATACTTCTGCTTCTGCATCTACATCTGCATCTGCCGCCTTCAACGAGGGCATCACGGGCTACACCACTGCCAATTCCCCCAGCGGCGGCTTCAGTGCTGGTATCAACGGTGTTACAGCTCCTAGCACTGCTCAAGCTACGACAACCACTGCTGCTACCCGAGCAACCACTTCTGCTCCGGAGGAGAAGGGCAGCAATCAACCTACGAACTTCCCTGCGCTTGGCTTAGGCCCTAACGCACAGCCTCAGTGGCATATCAGTGCTGACCCGACTCAGAGCCTCGCGCAACAAGTGCCAACTGGTTTCGTCTCGCCTACCCCTCAGCAGCACCAATTTCTCTCCCCTCAATTTCATCCTGCTCCCTTCATCAACGCAGGGCAAAACCAACTCACCCCATCTCCAATCACCTACATCGGAATTGGACCTCAGTCTCCCGCTGTCAACACCGCAAACATGGGTGACTATCAGAACACTGCGCCTCCTGTTCATGGCATGAACTTTCAGCCGCCTGTTCCTGACACTACCTTTGGTCCTATGCAGCACGTTTATGTGCCTCGCTTTGACAATGGTCTCGCTGGTGTCCCAGTCGGGGGCTATGCCGGTGTTCAAGTTTGTGCACCCTCTTTTTCTTACGTTGCCCCTACTGCCCCTCTCTTGTCTCCTGTCCCAATGACGACTCCCGCATGCACTACAGTTGTAGTGCCGAAGACATTCTATTTGAATGGCTATACGTATTATGCAAGTTCACTTTGCTGATTTATCTTTGCGTTTTGGCTTCGACGTGGAGTCGGCCTGAATCAAGTGGTTCAGTGCACCTCCGCGACTTCAGTGACTCGGCGGCGGTCTACCCTTTTCTTTCACTCGTTCCTCAAAATCTCACCACAACTATTAGCAAATGCTGACAAGTTCTATAGCAGCCCGCCATCAGTGGTATGGCTCCCCAGCCTACCGTTCAAGGCAGCTACGTTGTCCAGCAGCAGCCCTACTACTACCAGCAGCCGAACATGGGCCAACAGCCAGTCCTCGTTGCTAGCCACCAGCCTCAGCAGTTCATGCCGCAGGTCCAGCAAGTCGCAGGCGTCCCCTCGGTCGGTGTTGCTGGTGGAGCTGCTGTGCCCGGCACGGTCCCCGTCTTTGCAGGTAATGTCCCTGGTGGTCAACATGTCCCTGATGTCACTGGTGTTGGTCGTACCGCTGGCGAGGAGCAGCTCCGTCAGATTCAGTTTGCGCATGCGAACAAGATGTACGAGCCTCAGGACTTCAAGCCAGCTGACGATGACCCCTCCCGTTTCTACTATGTTCGTGAAGTTGACGGGAACTGGACTCAGCGCAACCGATTTACCATTGATCACATGGGTGACTCCCGCTGGTATGTGACCGATGAGGGTTGGTTTTACGCCGTCCGACTCCCCAACTAAGCGACGCCGCCAGTAAGTTAACCTCCCTTTGCCTCATCTCCCGGTCATGAGCTGATAATCTATAGACATACCACGAAACACACAAGAATGATTCATTGGGAAATTGTTTAACGCAAGCTGTAATATATCTCCCCACATTGAGTCGAAGTTGTGCTAATAATTTTGCAGTTGGCTCCGCCCCCGATCGAGAATTTGAGTTGACCTGTCACCATGTCTTCCATGTAAGTAGTATCGAGACAATATGCAACACAAGCTGACTTTTGAAAGGCATGATATCGCTTCTCGTTCTTTGTCCGACTTTTCGACTTATAATAAGCCCATGCTCAGTTATGCGATTGAGACTGTATCGATGAATAAGACGTCTCACGGATAAGGACATGGGCCGTTTTGAGATTGCGCAAGGAAACACTACCTACCGAATGCAGACAGGAAATTGCTTCGTATCATTCCTCTGAAGATATTCACTGCTACGGTTAATTGAAATTGTATAAAATGGTCTCGTTGTGATTGATCTGCGTGAAAGAAAGAAGATAGCATCACATGTAGTTGATTTAATGTGGTGCAAGTTACTAATGCAAGTAATGGATGCATGTGGGGTAACTTATACTGTTCCGACAGTTTCGTACATCCTCGGTAATTGCATCATCGGTCCAAGGTTTATCAGATCATTCGTGTTAACTAGGTACATCCATTGATACGCTCATTTCATTTAAGATCTGAGAAGCCACTATCAAATCTCAAAAGATAAGCCCTTTTAAGATCATCCGAGCTTATTGCCTCACCTTGTTAGGTCTATACCCCGCCAAGAGGTAAGAAAGAGCTATCTTGATCATGATCCATGAGGATACTTTGGTGATCTTAGCATGAGCTTTGAAGACTTTCTGACGAGTTCCTAGAGTCTGAGGTTTTCTAGTACCAATAGACCTGCACAGCCTGTAAGATACACCATCATGCTTCTCATCGGTCTTACGGGTTCAATTGCCACAGGCAAGACGACAGTGTCGTCAATCCTCTCATCACAACCCTACAACCTCCCGATCATAGATGCAGACATTCTAGCGCGCAAGGTTGTGGAGCCGGGAACTCGTGGGTATGAAGCGATTGTGAAGCATTTTGGGCCTACGACACCCGAACTTCTGGTGCAACCATCAGAGAAGATGCCAGAGGATGGACCAGACGGCAAAGGCAGACCACTCAACAGACCGGCATTGGGGAGACGAGTGTTTGGCGATTCAGAGGAGCGAAAGAAGGACAGAGCAGTTCTCAACCGAATCGTTCATCCGGCCGTCCGATGGGAGATGTTCAAGTCCGTTGTTGGGTGTTACTTCAGAGGTCATTGGGCTGTGGTTCTGGATATCCCACTCCTTTTCGAAAGTGGCCTCGATCGATTCTGCGGCGTCACAGCTGTAGTCGCAGTCCACGACCCGGCAGTCCAGATGCAGCGTCTGCGTGCGCGTGATCCTCACCTCAGCGCAGAGGATGCTGAGAACAGAGTGCGCAGCCAAACAGATGTACGAGAAAAAGCCCGGCGATGTGAAGAACGAGGAGAAGGCAAAGGAATTGTGCTCTGGAACGATGGGTCACGAGAAGAGTTGAAGGAGCAGCTGGATAAGGCTATCAAGGATCTGAGAAAGGCAAGTCCCGATTGGTGGTCATGGTTATTGCTTGGATGCCCTCCTCTGGCAGTTGCTGTCGCGACCTGGAGGTTCTGGCAGAATCTTATTATTAATGAGAGATGGGAGGAGATGAAGCTGAATGCGAAGCTGTGATAGTGAGTTATAGGGGGAGTTTGATTGCTTTTAGTGGTTGGAGGGTGGATAATACAGGTAAATATATACACAAGAAGGAAGGAGCCCCAACTCAAGCTCGTTCCTGCCTCTTTTCTCAACCACGAACCAACCCTTTTCATCTCAGCGCAGTTCATTTCTATTTTATTACATCTTTCCACCAAAACAAAACATAGTCCCTACATGCCCTCTTTGCATTTCTTTTCTGATCTGTAGATTGCCAAACACTAGGGCCGTTACCACTTTCTCCTCGCCTCGCCTTGACAGCTGCGAGCAGTTGACAACAACAAACCTTCGACTATCGCCCATACCGCCAGGGTGACCTCTTGCATCCAACCTCAAAGCAAACACATAAGCATCCCTTTCTTGACCCTTTGACCTTTCTGAAGACAAATTATCTTGACAATTTCTTTGGTACAGCAACCTTCTTTGGTGCGATGTCAAATCGCAAGATCAAACGCCCCTCGCATTTTTGCGAATGGGTAGTTGGAACAACAATCGAATCTGTTATCGGCGCTATCCCCCAGAACAAACCCCCTAAGAAACGAGACGTCGTACGTGTTCAGGTCACCACCGATGATGAGTCCGAAGAGGACACCGTCAAGATCACCTACCCGCGCACTGGACGCACCTATACACCTCCGCCTGCCAACGAAGCAAAGGCCGAGGCCAAGAAGGTCCGGTTTAACTTTGGCCAAAATGGCCCCATCAAATCTGCTATGAAGCAGACCACTACCACAACTCCCATGGACTCCTCAGATGAGGCATCCGACTCCGGCCCAGAAACCGAGTCAGACTCGAGTCAGTCGGCCTACATATCAAGCTCCGATGCCACCGATTCTGATATTGAATACTCAGTTGAGTGCGTGAAGCACAGAAGGCAGAAAAAGAAGAAGCACAGACAGACACAGACCGAAGAAGACACCGAGAGTGACTGGGACTCTGATCCAGAACCAACTTGTGACTGCCTGAGATGCCAGAAGGGCCGACAGATATTGAAAAGAGTAGGCCGGAAAAGGAGCAAGGAAATCACTCCACCAAGCCCCGAAACTTCTGAATCGGACGAAGAAGAATCCCCCAATACTAAACGACAGTCTGGTAAGAATAAGAGGAGGTGCCGAAAGAAAGCAAAACCAACAGAGCCTGACCCCAATACTTCTAACTCAGATTCAGAGTCCGAGATCCCAGCACCCAAGAAACGGAACCAAACCAAAAATCAAGGCAAGCAGAGAGGTGGAAAGAAAAAGCAAGCCGCGCCCCAGCCTCCTATGACCAAGAAGCAACGAAAAGCAATGAACAAAAAGGCTAAGCAGCAACAAGAGCAAGAGATTGAAGGTGAAACCTCTGACTCACCCAAGGAAGCAGAGGAGGAAACTGAACCAGAAGAGGAGCCCGAGAAACAGAACAAAGGCAAGCAGAAGAATAATAAGAAGCAGGATGAAAAACAAGCAAAACAGAAGAAACAGGAACCAGAGAAAGCAACCCATAAAGACCCAGAGTCTGTCGAACAAACACCAACTGATGAAGCCCCCGAAGCTTCCAAAGACAAAGATCAAGGCAAGTTCAGAACTATGAAAGGAAAAGCAAAGGCACAGCCTAAACAAAAGGATGGAGTCAAGAAGGGCAATTATCCCGAAGGACTACCAGTTCCTCATATGCATCGACCACAGCTTATCGAACCCATCAGAGCTCAGGTCGTTCAGACAGAACGCGTGATCGAAACTCCACAAGACCCAGCACCTAACGCTTACTACGATGCAGAACACAATATCATGAGAGTCTACCAGGGTCCCGCCTACGGTAATCACCAAAACAATGCATTGTACCCAGAACGTGACGCCTTCACTCGCCCTCTGCCAATGGGTCAGCCTCATCCGATGCAGAACCCCTTCTACTATAGCTTCAACAATACGCAGCAGTATCCCAACTATCCACAGATGCCGCCATTCCACCAAGGCTATGCAGGGATACCGCCACCAGAAGCATACTCACATGTTCCTATCACTCAAGGAATGGCCCCTCCTCCATGGTATGCCATGGGCCCTCCTCCGGGAGTCCCCCCCACTGGCTACTATGGACACAGGAGCCCTGAAACTAACAAAAACACCCCGGCTTCCAAAACGGAGAAGGACAAGGCCAGCCAGAACAATGTTGGACCTCCGGGAAGTCTTACTGTGAGTCATTATTAAAGAAACACACGGGCCGGACTGGATTTAACTCATCGACTCAGGGCCAGGACAATCCATACTATAAGAGAAAGTCACAAAACAACGCCTGGGAAAGCCACCGTTCTGTATCCAAGGAAAACAGCCAGCCTCCAGGTTCCGATAAGGCTGGGTCGAACGGGTCGAACGGCTGGAACAATGGATCAGGTGACAACAATGGCCAGAACGGTCAAGACAGTTGGGGCGCACCGACCCAGGACAACAACCAGAACGGTGATGGTTGGAATACGAGCAACAACCAGGCAGTTGACGATTGGAATAAGACCACTCAGGATAGTAAGCCGGAGGAATGGGTAGTGTCACCACCAAGTGGCGAGCAAGATCAGAACCAAAACGGTTGGGGAGCTGGTTCGAACCATTCGAACAAGAGCAACAAGACTGTGAAAAGGAACGGAGATCATTGGGGTGACGACACGTTCCCAGGCGCCCGCGGCGACTGGAGCGAACAACCGACCATAAGCAGTGTTGGGCAAGGAGCTGACAACAACGTGGGCATCTGGGCTCCCACGGATGTGAATGGGAACGGGGACGGAAACCAAAAACCTCCTTCAGCGGAAGGAGAAGGTCGCGACAACATCATGCCTGGGACATGGGTTGACACCCGCGGCGTTACTATGCCAACTTGGGGAGATCCCACTGCAGCACGGGACACGAACGGCGAAGCCTCGAACTGGTAATAGAAATTGGAAACTTGCTACATGCGGTTATGAGAAAGATGTCTAGTTTAGCTAAGGGGGTATGGTATCCGCAAAATCACTGTACTACAAGATGCTATGACTAGATGCCTCCCAACCGAATCAATCAATCAATATTCAACCCGTGTAAATGAACACCTTCTGTGACTTTTGTCTTGTGACATTTGATGCGTTATAATGCCATGATGCAAACCAAACCGCCCTAGCTATCGTCGAGTCGTAATCGTCCTATTCGTGTCAGAAGTGGAATAACATCAACTCCGCGAACCGTCTTGTGCTTCGTACAACAACTGCACAGCAAAGCAGAAAAGCAAGAGCACGAATTGCAGAACCAAGCCGAGCGAGAGATAGTAGGGCAAGCATTGTCAATCAGAGGATTGTGCAGCCGTGGATGGACCTGAGCGGCCATGAATCAGCTTTGTCCTGGAATGGGAGACGTCGTTTTAGCCTGGGGGACGGACACGACGACAAGCATAAGCTCATTGAGGGGCAATGAATATCATAAGGGAGCTTGATAGGGCATGGGATGCATAAAAAATTGCGAAGTTATAGATTTCACTTACCATCTGGATGTCTCCCATTCCACAATCCACGTGCAGCATATCTTGAGTCGCTCGCGTACGCTGGATGTGCCCAGGAGTCGATATTTCTCAATGTCTTTGACCGGCAACATACTGGCAAACCACCATGGAAAGATGGCAGGGTCTTCTGGACAGTCGCCGTATATAGTCAACATGCGTTCTGTCAACCAGGGGACACTCTGTTGACGCATTCGAGCGACAAAAGATGAGGCGTAGTGCATCAGACTCTGTGTAGACATTGAGTCGATCTCGGTAACTGACGTTGGTATGTGTGGACTGGATGAATCAGACCGCGGTAATGGAGATGTCGGTGTTGGTTCAGTGGGTTCCTTGACAGTATCCATAGCCTGCATGGGTTGTTGTTGATCCTCAGTCTCTATCGGTGTTGCTTCAGCAGCCTCGGCAGCTTCTTCATCCTCGAGGCTAACATCGTCTATCCTTTCAGTCTTGCCGACGATGTATCCGTCAAGGTAACTGTGTTCGAGAACGCGGAAGCGTGACAGACCCACAGTCTCAATGAGACTCCGGCCATCCGGGAAGAACTGGACATTGACAATGCGGAGAAGCGTGCCTAGCTCATGAAAGTTCGCATCACCAGCATGTTGGGGTCGTTTGGGTATGACCATACCGAAAGTATGGTCTCCTTCCAGTGCTCTCCGGATCATGAGTCTATACCTCGGCTCGAAAATGTGTAGGAATGTCGGCATTTGAGGGAATGACAATGTGCATACAAAGAGAGCGAGGTCATAGTCTTGCATCTGAGCTACACGCTCAGCGTCCAGAGCTTCCTTTCGAGCGTTGACTTCCTCCAGCCAGAATGTTTCGATGATGCGCTTAATAGTTTGATTGGAAGGCGATGAAGTTTGACTTAATAAGGGGCTGATAGCCAGTGGGCGACGACATATCGGGCAATACCGTGAATGGTCAAGAATGCGATGTAAACATGACCGACAGAAAGTGTGTCCGCAAGAGGTTGTAAGAGGATCGTAGAAGAGTGCGTAGCAGACCTGACAGTCCATCTCAGCGCGAGTGGCGTCTTGCGCTTTTCGAACGAGCCCTGTATCATCAGCATCAGGAGGTGGTGATGGTGTCGCCGATGTAATTTCGTCGTAGCATATATCGGCCTCATAAGACAGGTCACCCTCCTCCGCCAGGCGATAAGTGGCGATAACCTTTCCGCCGGGTATCACCTTTGTGTACGCTTCATCATCATCCCTCATGGAAGAAACACCTGCAGCAGCCCAAGGGTCAGGCCACATGACCTTCGTCGCCAGCTCGGTGGTCGAAGACTCATTCTTGAATCGTTCGATCTCTTCCCTCACGTGTTGTGCCGTCTTGTTGAGCACAACATCAACGGCGCAGTCGCCAATAGCATGTTCCTTATTGCAGTCCTCAAAAGGACATTTAAAGCCACGAAGTCGTTCTGGAGCGGCGGGATATGTTATGTTGGCGCGCATGTGTGTGCCTGGTAAACAGCGCCGGCACAGACTTTTACCGCAGGGGAGGCTGATAGGCTCATCTAGGGGCAGTGAGCAGATCTGACACTGGAAGAGCCGGACGAAATCGCGGGGGGCGACATCGCGATGGCGAGAAGCATTGGCAGAAGGCGACTGTGATTGTGTTACTTGTGTCGGCTGCCGGCCCGAGTCCGGAGGTTCGTGATCGAAATCGGTGGGCGGATCGGGAGTCCGCGACTGTCGAGGACCGGGACCGGAGGCGGAATCGGTCGCGGCAGCTTGCGACGTGCCTTCTGAGGACATGAACGTCTATAGATTGCGTGCGTATAGTACAATAAGAAGATTGTAAAAGAAATAAGGGGGTATAAAGGTTGGTTCTTGAGTCGTTACTCTTCGTTGTGTCGTAGCGGGCGTCGAAACTCTCTAATAAGGTGCGAGCCTCTGTAATGATGCGTTATTGGTGAAGGAACCAGAAGTAAGTAGTGTTGCTTTGAGGTGAATAGAAACGAAGCTGTTATCCCCCAATTCTATGCGATACCTTGACCGTTGTATGATCTGCTATGTCGTCGTGTTTGCTGGGTTTGGTGATGAAGACGAATATTGCGGTCTTCTTGGCGTAGCCGTTGATAGCGTGTCGAGTGCATGAATATGGCCGAAGCAGTGTCCATATGACGAGGACAAGTCGTATACAAGATAGACATGGATTCTGTAGAATGGTAAGATCACAAAGATCGTATCGCTAATGTTGGGCGAAGCATCTCCGTTGTGTGAATCGAAGTGGTGTAAAAAGAGTTGTATAAGGTAGGCGTGTAGAGATTGGTGGGGGTTTAACGAGATGGAGTAGTGCTGGTACTCCTTGAGCAGCGGGAAGATGTCATAGGTTTAAGTTGACGAGAATCGTTTAAAACGGCTGCCGAAGTCGAGCCCACTTGTTCTGGGATTTCTGACAGGGATATAAGGGGAGACGGGGCTGGCTCCGGAGATTCAGCCTTCAAGTATGTACCATGTATGAGAAGGGAACAGACGGATTATCGTAGGACCAAGAAGGGGGTTGCTTGCTAAATAAGAAAGAAATGGAAAGGGGGAAAGACGGGGTCTTCTATTTCAGGCCGTAGTGCCGAAATAGAATACGTCGACAAGGATAAAGGGTTGTTGAAGATGAGGTGCAGCAAATATAGAGATCGTCATACACCAGAGAGACTTACCAATCCGGGGACAATTCTAGAGGCACGCGGAGAGACGAGAGTCTAGTTGGGGGGTGTAAATATGGAAGTAAAGGTACTAACCTTTGTGATAAGTAGAGAGAGAGAGAGAGAGAGAGATACGCGAGCTCCCAAATGGGAGAAAAGGCGAACTTGGCAGTTCAGCTCAAGTTATTCGTGTCAGTTGTGAATAAGTGAAGAGGAGGGAGAGATGTTGGCAGATAAGGAAAACGTGCAAAATCATAGGCGTCACAGTTTCAACAGAAGATGAAGAATAGAAGCACCTAGAGACGAGGCGACGCGAGGCGAGACTAGACCAAACCAAACCAAATCAGAAGGAAGGGAAGAGAGATCGGGGGTGGGAGATGGTCGTTACTCTACGATACTTGTCTCTATACAAAATATATGAGGAAACTTGGTGGAGATGCCCTAGTCTCTGGCATGTATATAGTACTTCGGGACGGGCTAGGATGGATTGACAACTGGGAAATGTTGTAGATTTTCCAACTTTAGCACTAAGGTAGGAGGTTCCTAGTAAGTACCTAGTAGCCTGCTAGATAGAAAGAGGGTCCCCTAGAAAACTTGAGAGGACCCTGCGTATATCACGAGTTTTAGACGCCTCCAGTCTAAGCTCATCTCAGGGTTCAAAGGGTCATGAACACTGTGTTCAGATGATTGAAGTTGAAGTTGAAGGATACATAGGAATGAAAGCCTGTGATATGGTCACAAGAACTCATACCCTGGAGCTCTCGAGTCACACAACAGCATCAACTTCTATCTTACAAGGCAAAACGGATGACGATGGCAGGCCGGGGTCATGAACTCATGACGTCGAGGCAAAACATCGAATCTAAGCCAACAGCAGTAGCTAAACAACAACCCCCCCAAAAAAACACCAACTGCACTGCCCGATATCGAATGGTAATCCATTTCGAGCAACCAGTGATGCTCGCCGCGTATCTAACGGCCAAGGTGCAGCACCAGATAGATAGACTTTGGTGCCCGTTGCAGCAACCGAGGGACGGAGCCTAAACCCCTCACTCATCTCGATAATCGGGAGCTCGTCAGTTCCCTGCTTTTGCTGTGTTGTGGTGCGCTGTGCTGTCAACCGGGGATGCATGGGAGGATGAACCTAAAATAAAACACATCCCAGCTCAATGGGGCCAAGAAAAACGTTCAGATCCAAGATCCAAGATTCAAGATTTGGGCTGGGGCCTCTTGACTGAGCTGAGGATTGAGACAAGACAGACAAAGGAAACTTTCCCCTTCTTCATAGCGTAACCGAAAAGTTGCCCTCCAGAAGCGCAAGCATGGCCAATAACCATAGAGACCAGTATCACAGATCGCGATGCAGGAAACCACAAGAATGCAGGGTTCTCAGTGAAGATGCAGTATTGTAGACGGTACTCGATCAAGACCTTTCTCCCCGTGGCAGAGGACCCTAGTTTCACATCTGTCGCCGGTCTTGCTCTTGGTTGTGTGTACAATCTCCTCTTGTCACTCTTGGACGGTCCGCGGAAAACGGAATACAGCGCGCGCTCGAAAATGCACCTAAAATCCGTCGTGAGTCGGGGGTTATCGTAAGGGGTGTCGTTCTCGCTTCTCTCTCGACTCTTTTTCCTTTCGAGATTCTGGCTGACGAGGACGATCGAGACAACGCCGCAGTTGCAACGGCCATCGGGTGAATCAACTGGCACATCGACGCTACTTAATAGTTGAGAGGGAAACCTGCCATTGACAATAAAAACGGGCTGGCAGCTTCCGAGATAAAATGGAGCTTTGCGTCTAAGTGAGAGCCTCGCTATTGGATGGGAGTGGGAGAATTGGGGACACAGAGACAGGTCCTGGCAGGGCTGGCGTATGCACAGTAAGAGCTAAGGAACTGGAGCAAGGCCCCAGGTTCTAGGGCCAGGTCGTGACTTGAAAGAGGCTCAAAAAGAAAGTCGTTGGCGTCATATGAGACGGGGGGTCCGCAAAGGATCCATGATGGGTCATGGCCATGATGCCAACGATCTCTTTTTGCCTTGCTGAAAAACTAATCTTTCACGAATACTATGAGATTCAGACATAGTAGAAATGCAGATCAAATCTTTTTTGCCTTCAACACGGGAGTTGTTGTTCAATCTCAGATCTCAAGTCTCTACTCTCGGCATCAACAGTTCAAAGCCGTTGGACAGAAGCCCAATCTACGCATCATCGTTCTCTCAAGCCTTGCACTTGTCATCCAATAGTCTCGAGGGTGTGGCGGCCCGGATCGAGATGCGGCCAATCCATTTCCTCAACCTTTTAGCCTCCCTTGCAACGATAGCCTGATACAGCGAGACAAGCAGCAGTTCTCGCTGCTGCAGCCTGCCACACAACGTTTCCAGCTTTCCGGGCTGCACAGCACAGTACGCATGTTACAGGTACGGTACACGAGTTGAAAACGTGCTTCTCTATGCTACGGGTGTGCAACGGAATTCCATCCCGATGATTATTAGAGGCAATATCTCTGTTGGCTGATTAGCCGCCAAACGTGAACAAATTTTAGTAGACTTGTCATGACTTGTTGTACCTGTTCTTTGGAATGGCCTTTTTCTCGTCATGAGCTAGGGAACCATACCCCAGGACCCTTCTTTGGATGACGCTTACTATAGTGTTGTCCCTTCGAAATTAGTTAGATCGGTTCGCATTTCGCCAATGTTCCAATTGTTCTAGACCATCTCCGATCTCTTGGTTCCCGAATCAGGACTTGCTCTGTTGTCGCTGTTGAGAGCCCTTTGGCGATGCCGAGTTATGGATGACGAGGGGCATTGATTCTTCCGCTTAGTCAATATGACTTCTCTCCTTAGGCTGAAACTTATATGATCAAGATTGATCATGTGTGAAAATGGCTGCCAAGAAAGGTAATTCATCACACGACCATTTTCTGTTTCTATATGTTGATTCTCTACCAGCTCGATAACTAACAAGAGGCCCATTTTGAACCTCAACATCGAGCTCCAGGACCCTGAATTCAACCTCCCCACAATAGCTGAACTAGCTAAGCTCTCTCTGATCTGATTCTCCCTGAAGAACTTCTCTGCCTATAAGCATTATTCTCTTAGTAAATACGATTAATACTTTTAACGTCACCGTATTCTTGTCTAGGCAATTCCGTTATTCATCGACGGCTTCCTCCGTCTACTTGTTCCGCCATCACATGTCATTCCCTTAACAGTCAGTGCATAAGCTTACCGTCTCATGCTTTCGTATAGCTCCCCTGCTCGTGATAGCTTCTCGTCCCCAAACATGCTGAGAGAAACCGTTGGAGTCTAGGGCTTATCCTACTCATTCAAGCTCAAGCGTTTTGAGCCAAAGTATTACCAATGTTACTCGGGTCGATCAATGGCTGAGAAACGCCCTAAACTTCAGCCCTTTCAGGCGGTAACGTTTCTGACGAGAGATACAAGAAAGCCACAAGGGGCCCCTGACATACTAGGGACGGTTAGAGAGAAATGGAGTTTTTGCTTTGCTCTACGTAAAGAGGCAATTGGACAGACGACTCTCGAAGCAGCGGGGAAGCTGCTTTTTCTGACGTTGATGCTACGTTTTTGCTTTCTTCTCCTCTTTTTCTGTTTATTCTTCCCTTTACTATCTTCTTTAACCTTCTTCTCTTCTTTCTCCAAACTTCAAGCTGACCTTTTCTTCATCAATACCAAATACTCACACACCCATCATGACTTCTAACTCCATCTCTCAACTCCCCACCCCAGAGCAACGGGAAGACATCACCGCTAGCTTGGCAGACCTCATCACAGCCATTGAGTCTCATTCTCAATGGACTCCCCCCAATGTTGACCGTGGCCTCTTCCACGTCTGGGACTTTGTCAAGAGATCTCATTATATCATGACCGAGCTGGACAACATTGCTGCTGGTCGAAAAGTTCAGCATCCTGAACAGATTCCCAAGAACGACGGTGGTGAGTAGCAGAAGCTATCCTATTGCTAACCTTGATGGAAGAGTGTACCTGGGCTTACACTATCTTCTTGTAACAGTCGCTTCTGGCCCTGAAGCTGCCCTCGCTTCCTACACCGACGTTTGCACACGTACCATCACAATCAACGAGATGATTCAAAACCCTCGTATGCTCGTCATGCTCGGCCTCTCCAACGTCGACTTTGGTTCCGCTATTCAAGAAAAATCAGAAGCCGTTAAAGAGGCGATCAAGAGCGCAAACTAGATCTGCTCTGGACCTGATACACGAATGACGACGTTGTAGAGCTTGCGTCACGCGATGATCGTCGGCCGTTACAGGGTTTATGAATGATGGAGTAAAGGGCGAACATATTTTGGTTTGACATTGGGAAATGATTCAAGACTCGAAAAAGAAGAAAAGAGAACAAGAGCATGCAAAAGTTCCATGTGGTATCCAGTTCTTTGCTGGACCAGCAGAGGTTCAACTCACTAGTACGAGATGGCTAGTTCGGCGGATTGGAGCTACGGCTAAGGTATCTGAACGATAAACAGAAACAACACACCGTGAGAGATTCGTGAGTTTCCCTTGGGAATTGAAACGTAGAATGAAATGACATTATCATTCCTTAGTCATTTGACCCTAGCCCAGCCTATCCACCCAGGCTATTCTATTCAAAAGAACAGAAGAGCAAAATAGTTGTCGTCATAAACAGACCATATCGGTAAACTAAGCATCATATCATCCCTTATGATCTGCAAAATGCCCTTATCCAATCTCGATAACTATACACATGCCTCCCGTTCCCATTGTCCAATAAACCCGCCCATATATATACCTCCCCATGATTGTCGCCCAAACGAAAAGGATATCATAGGCACATCATGCTACAGAATGTGAAAAGACCAATACAGCTGATTGCACATCAGTTCAGCTTCTCGCTCGTCATCATCTCACTCCAGCCCAGCGCCCCTTGGCTGTTGTCGATGGCCCGAGGGTAAGTCGACGACCGATGTTTCCAAAACAAACACAGCTGCAGAAAAGCACACTCAACATCCACATGCCCGTCTCGAGTGTCTTCTGCTGGGCGAGTCCACCGAGAATGGGCATATCTCCATCGGCTGCCATTGTGGCATTAACCAAATGCCTGAACGGAACTTGAGTAGGCGCCGGCATCATATCTGGGTTCACGCCGAGGAGCACAACCGACCCTGCGAGTCCAACCGCAGCTGAGAGCAGAAAACCGGGCTTGGAGCGGTCGATAAGCCACCATAGGAGGGGATTGACAAGTGCCAAGGTCAGTGACACCTGAAGGGTGGACGCCCAGGCCACTTTGCGCTGCAGGATGTTAGTTATGCGGAACAATGGCTTTGCCGTTGGCTGACTTACAATCGCGAAGACAATTCCGACAAAGGCACCGATAGCCCGAACAGCAAGCGCCCAGTCAGTGCTTGGGTCGTCATCTTTTGCTGAAGCACTGGTTTCTAACACAGCTTCATCCCCCTTGTCGCCGAACGAATTCTCCCATACTCTATCAAACCAAGGGAACAGCGCGCCCAGTGCAACGCCAGCAAGACCCCAAAACGTCAAATGGCCCCAGTTATACGTAGCACGAGGCGGAAGACTGTCCGACTCGTGGAAGCGCGATGTGACTAATACGCCATATCCCACGCCGAGAACGAAAAGCAAAAGTCCTCTTAATACTAGAGCACCACCAGATGGAGAATGCTTTTGAGGCCCAGCAGGTTCATGAACTCGAATCGAGGACCGACGACGAATATGGTGTGATCGATCCTTCAGAAAATCAAACGTAGCGTCGTCGATGCTAGGTCTCTTGATGGGTGTCTGAGCGCCTGTTCCCCAAGGTGTATCGAGTTCATCGCGATCGGCAAAGACACGGTCGCGCGAAGAGGACGTTGTGGGAGAGTAGATTCCGAAGAGCGTCGAGGAGGTCAAATTCATGAATGATTGAGGCCTGCTAAGACCTGCGCTCGCAGGCTCGGGAGTTGGTTGTAGGAAGCGCGCAATATTGGGATCTGGAGCTGGCGCGGGAGTTGGAGGAGACGAGTTCTCGCTTGGTGGTGTAGGAGTCGTCAAACTGAGATCGAAGGGTCTTCGAGGGACGGGACGAATGAGAGGGGGACCATCATCGGCCATTTTGAAGCCAAGGTTCTGTATAACTGACTGTTTTGGTTGTTAGGTATGAAGACAATGGTGAGGGACAGCAATGGCTTATGAACCCGGCTCGGGTTCAGCTGAACTGAGCTGAAACCTGCAAGTCTCAATATTCGGACAATGCAGTGCTACTAAACTTACAGTCTCGGCCAGTCTCAGCTTAGTATCCTAAGCAAATATTGGTGTAGCTTCCGAGGGTCTGTCTGTCCCGGATAAAATAATTTGAAGCTGTTGGGGTCCAGTCTCTGCAACCCTGTCCACCACTTTCACAGCGCGAGCTAACGAGCACAGGGCCCAAAGCTAGTTGGACCGGGATATCCGAAGCAAGTCAAGCAATTGAGGATAAACGGCAATTGCTGAGAGGAATTGAAGAGCTTCAAATATCTTGTTGTTGAAGCAAGTATAACGAGGTTGGGATTGAGTGGCAAAGAGTAAGACAGGAATGAGGAGATGGGTAAGAGGAAACAGAAGGAGGACAGTTTAATACCCAACCCTGAAACCCAAAATAGAGAGAGTACCTGAGTAAGAGAGTAGTAGTGAGAGAGTGAGAGAGGAAAAATAAGAGAGACGGCACGTAGTTAGCCTCAACTGAAAAGGGAAACGAAGGAGCTGAACGAGGTTGTTCGTTCTTCACATGCTCACAAGACCAAGGGACGGGCAGTTTCACGACTAAAGGGCCCCAGGAATTACGTAGATGTGCCCCATTTACCTGCATCAGCAGCTGTTGAGGGCCCTGAACCCCTGTATCTTTTAGGTGGGTGAGTCCCCGCGGGGCTCTGTAAAGATGTCACTGATGATGGTGGTGGAGAGTCATTAGTGATGAACTTGATACTCTATAACTTGATAAGGTTTATGTCCATTGCGCAGATTGAACTTGTAGACATTGAATATCTCTTCTTCAACGCCCAGTGCCTGTTGTTGACATTCTTGATCGTCATCCTCCATCCAATCCCGTCTATTACCCCACATTCAAAACGCCTCAAGCTTGAATTCGAGACTCCGTGGTTGGTCAGACTAAGGCAATTCTGCTTTGACTTGCATTTGTGACCCCCTCGTGATTCAAGCACATAACAAGATCAGCAATCCCCTGGGGCCCTGAGCTGTGACCCAAGAGTCCAAAAGGGAAATCTGCGGTGCGATTCGTTTATTTGCAACTGTTGATACAGCACTGCAACTCTGCACACATATCATGTACTGTAGGTAGTATTTCTTGACCGGTCTGACGCTGGCGTAAACTCAGTGACTGTGGCGAGTTCAATGGCATGCTTGGTTCGATTTGCATGTGATTCTGGGCGCATAAAACAACTGACTCTCACATCACCACCAATTCCTCACATATCTAACATTAGTTTATAGATTGCTAGCTACCGTATCACAACAAACGCAAATGTCCAACCAATAACATGCATTTTTAACACCCTGTTTTACTCTTCATCGCTATCACTCTCCTCTTCCTCTTCATCTTCCAGCTCATCCTCACTCTCCTCAGCTCCCTCTGGCCGGGGTATCATCATAAACGCCGTCATGCATGTGATTCTGTTTTGCGTCTCATACGTCCCCAACAACTCTCCCTTGGCCTCCTCTGCCTTGACGCTACCCTGCAGCTCCGGTACGCCCACCCGCCAAACCCGGACCCGCCCGTCGCTGCTCCCGCCAGCCACGTACAGCGTCGAGGCGTCCTCCGCACTCGGCACCACCACAAAGTCCTTGATTCGGCCCTCAACTCCGCCGGCTTTTCCGCCGATTTGACCCATCAACTTGGCTGTCGGGAGCTTCTTGTCCTCCGACTCCGGTTGTGTAAGGTCCGATTCCTTGGTCGAGAAGAACAGGATGCGGCCATCCTCTGTAGCAACCGCCAATAGTGTCGCATCCCCTTCCTTGTCCAGTGCAACATAGAAGAACTGGTGCACCTTTGTTCGAATTGATCCCATAATCCTGCATTTGGGCACACTGTCCATGCCAAATGCCACAATATCCCGATCAAATCCTACCGCGAACTCATCTGCTCCATCAACGCTTCCCCAAACAACTCTTCGACCCTCTCCAGTAGAGTGCTTTCCCTCGCCAGCCTCCTGCAGCATGTCTTTGCTAAAGTTTAACACTCCAGCCTTCTTTCCAGTAACCAAGTTCCACAATCGCATTGATCGCTCGCCCTTGCTGACGCTAATCATAAGCTTCATACTGGGGTGGATGGCAAAATCATTGACGCCAGAAGGTGTACCACCGAAAGGCGCTGTGTCGCCGCTGGGACGGCCTTGAGGCTTAGGAATAGGTGCCTTGATGTTGCTGAGTAAAGACCAATCTCGTGTTCGGGTGACCGCAATTGTAGAGTCTTCGCTCGATGATAGTAACTTTGATCGTGTAGGGAAACATAGCGATGTCACAGTCGAAGAGTGATGAAGCAGGGTGCCAACCTCTCGATTCTTGGGGTTCTCGAGAATCGGTCGGGGAGCAACCTTGGCCAGAATCTCCTGGTTCTTTCGGCTGGGGGGATGCGCCGACAAGTTGTAAACATTCACGCGCTCGTCAGTGCTACCAGAGGCAAGCATGACCTTTTGTGTCTGTCCAGGAACCGGCGCTGAGATCGGCGACGCAGCGACGCAACGAATCGCCGAGGTATGGGCATTGAAGAGAAATGTGTCAGCGAATTCAGCCTTCTCCTTTCCGCCAACCGTCACTGTCAATCCGTGAAGAATTCGGTCGTAGGAGCCGACAACGATCTGGATGGTCTCGGGCGCATTCGAAGCGGTCGCAGGAGTAGTAGACTTCTTCAGCGCTGAAGTCTTTGCCTTTACAGGCTTTTCCTTAAGAACTTGAGCACCCTTTGCCTTCTTCTTGATCGAAGGCTCAGAAGCAGGCTCACTTTGAGCGATAGCTTGTCTCTTACGTTTGGCCATTTTGTCGAATTTATTCTGATGTTGAGTAGTCGCTGTAGAAAGCTTCAATTCCAGCTACAAGCCAAATGGGAGGACCGAAAAAAAATGTTGGGAGATAAGATAAGAAGCTGTCCTGCATATGTGCATAACCCCACCATATGCATGACTTTCACCATCCAGAAACTGGACCTCTTAGTTTACCAGAAACATTCTGGACGCTATGCGCTGAGTATATTCAAATGTATGTGCAGTATGGCAGTTCTAAATCCCTTCACCAATGTCTATTTACCGGCTTGATCCTCCGTTCTGGCCCCCAATCTCTCGCTCAACCATTTCGATCGAACCTAGACTGGGGAACCGTTTGGAAAAGTCCTGAAGGTAATCATCCTTCTCTTTAGCTGTCATGTCCACCATTTGTTGTCCGGGAAATTCAATCAGCTCTTCTGTCGATGTTTGGGCCCGTGTGGGCTTTTGGGGTGACGATGGTCGTTGGCCAGTAGGTAGGCTATTGAGATGCACTGGCTTCTTTGGAGCAGGAGGTTTCGCTGGGGGTTTGGATGTAAGAGCTGGGGGCGCAGAAGATGTCGAAGAAGGACCTCTTGCTTGAGGTGAATCGACCCGTGTTTTTGCCACCATCAAGGGCTTCTTGGGAACTCCAGGAAGAGATTTCTCGGGCTTGTTGCCAGTCTCCGGAACATCAGTGTACTTTCCGTAACCTTGGGCAGTTCTTTGAATGTTGGACGGCTTTTGGTCTTCATTCAAGAGACTTTGAACCCTGTTCTGAATGCTGACAGCACGGGAAACTCCCCCAATACTCTTAGGCGGAACTGGTGGTCCGCGTTGTCCTGCAGCAACCCGCTTTCGATATTCGGCTTGTGCTGCTTCCACGCGCTGTTCCTCTTCCTGGAGCTTCAGCCGTTCCATTTCCCGCCTCATTTCAGGTGTCATGCGATCCTCGTCATCGTGGAAATGGCCATCGTCACTGCGCCCATCAGTTGCCTCGGAGCCCGCGATAGGAGTGAGATCACGGCGTGCCATGTCCCTTTCTGGCGAAGGGATTCTTCCATTGTTAGGGGAGCTGCCTTCAAAGCGCTTAAATGCATCACCGAATTTGCCGGCCAGAATATTCTTGTTACCAGAAAGAGAAGTCAAGCTGGAACGCTTGCTAGACTTAGTCCGCTCCGAATCCTCCAGACTTCTCAAGAACTCCATATCACTCGACGTCCGTGGCTCGTCCGCTGGCTCTTGATAGGGGGAGCGAGACTGGGGCGGTCGGCTTGATGAGCGTGATGCAGCCTCTCTTTCACGCAAGAAATCGAGAGTCGTGCCCTCAAGGTTCGTGCTAGCGGGTCGTGGCCGCGAAGGGGCTGGCGAGGCGCGAGCAGCAGGTTCTAAGAAATCAGCACGAGGACGGCCGCCTTCAAGTGATGGCCTCGATGAAGATGGCTGACGTTCATGACTAGGCTGCTGAAAAGCTGAAATTCTTTGTGAGACGGCAGCACGGGGTTCCTCTGCGTTCCATTGTGCTGCACTTGGGTCAACCTGCCTTGTGGCGCTGCTGGAACGAGAATATTCAGCGATTTCGCGCTGAACAGGCCGTTCCACATCCCGGCTGAACTTCTCAGGTGGAGGTGTCGAGGTCATCGTGCCAGTCGAGACATATCGCGAGTTGGATTGAGAAGAGATCGCCTGTAGCTCGGGGTTGTTGCTAATAATGGATTGCGCCCTGCTAATGTCAGGTCTACTTGGTGCGGACAAAGTCTTAGCAAGCGGGGGCTCCAAGGGAGGTGAAGCAACTGCAGCATGGTGTCCCACAGGAGTGACCGAGTGTGTTCTAGACACTGGCTTCGGTCGAGAAGATTCGGTCTGCGGCGCTGCGAATGCCTCGTCGGCCAGTTTTGCCGTCACTCTTTCGTTCAAATCAGAGGAGGTATTGCCTGTGGGTGAGATAGGTGAGGAGACATCAAAATCGAATTTGGTGCCTTGATCATGCAATAGTGAAAATTGATCGAGGGTAGGGAATCTTGAAGATAATTCGTCAAATCCTTTGGAAGCAGCCTTGGAATCAAGGGCAGCAAATGGGTCTCCCTCAGTCTTCCTCATCGGAGAAGCATCTGGCTTCTGGGCTACCTTGGCTGGAGCCGGTGAAGCCGTCGGTCGTCCTCTTCGCATCGGTACAACATCAGGAATAACTTGCTTCTGAGGTTCGGCTCGCGTAAACACAGCACCCACAGCAGGAGTTTGTTCTGGTTTTGGGGCCTTGGGTTGAGGACTATCGGTTCTTGCATGGGATTGCGGACGACTGTAAATCTGTGACCATTGTTATTATGAATTCTTCTTGGGATAATCGTACACCTACATCTTGAACGGGAACATCACGCCCTTGCATGGCGCATCCTTCCTTTAGGACCTGGAAGATATTCGGTCGATCTTGTAAGTTTTCTCTCAACATTGATGCTGGAACTCTGTCAGTCCTGAAACAAACAACCAGGGCCAACGAGCATTACCTATCAATTTCTTGAGCCTGTCAGAAAATACAGGGTGACTAGGGAATCTGTAACTGGCATTCAAAATTGCCAATTGGCCCTGGTCCTCAAAGGGAGTAGTGTAGTAGCACAGCTTATACAATAAAACTCCCAGTGCCCAAATATCAGACTTTTCGTTTATGGGTTGCTTGCGGTATACATCGATCATCTCGGGACTCCTGTACTGCATCGTGGTGTGCTTCTGTACATCTTCATCCATAAGACGACATTCGGTGACGGTAGTGGGGGCGGGACGAGGTGATGCGGCTGAACCGAAATCGCAAAGCTTGAATCGTTTGGAAGATCCTCTGGCGGTAATAAGAACGTTTTCGACTTTGATATCGCGGTGTAGCAGTGGTGGCTTTAGGTAGTGCATGCACGCGACACCCTCAGCGATGTCGGTGAAGATGTTGAGGATCTCTGGCTCCGTTAGGCGGTGTTGTAGCCTGGTGTTCATGAAATCGATCAAGCCACCGCCATTGCAAAACTCCATGAGCAGAAAAACTTCGTATCCTCCTCCTTGAAGCTCGGAGGCATGCGAGTCGATATATGTGACGATCGGTCGGTGGCCTTTCAGACGCTTCATTGTCTCAACCTCGATGCGCATGCCCCGCAAGGTATCCTTATCGGGGACCGCAACTCGCTTCAAGACAGCCTGATCGGTGCCATCGACAGGCTTGGCCAGCTTGACGAGGTAAACATGGGCGAAGCCTCCCTCGGAGAGGTATTTCTGAATCACCACGCGGTGGCTGCCAACCTGGATCTTGGTGCCTGGGGCGAAGGTACCAGCCGGAGCGCCTCCAGGGATGGCCACAGGAGAGCCGTAAGGGGCGTGATGATGATGCTTGTTGGGCATCATATGCGCAGGAGGATATTGGCCGTGTGAAGCCATCGTGAGCGGGAATATAGACGATTATTGACGATGACAGTTGAGGAGGATTTCGAGGGTGAGGGAGATGACGGCGACCCCGTCCAACAGGGAGCGAGCTTGAGCCAAGGAGCCAAGAAAGCGTCTGGCGGTCGAAAGGGGGTCGAGGGGATTCGATCGGGCCAGAATTGAAGTAAAAGGAACGGCAAAACTGGCAATTCAAGTCATCGGGATCAAACAAATGCTAAGTATAAGAGTGATTTAGAACGGTCGCATCGTCAAAAACACATGGCCCCTTGGCAAGTTGTTGGAGGTTGCAGGCCTGGCCTAACTATCATAGGTTCGGTGCTCAGTGGCTTAGTCCCCGGATCAAGGAACTCCACTGCCACCTCACATTCCACTCCATCTTCTTATTCATTGTTTCAACGGCGGGGAATTGTCGGTAAATCCCAAACTCCAGATGTCGAGATCTAACTTTATTCCAATTGAATATCTTACCATTTAGTTTTGCGTACTGCTATATAACCGTATTGCAATTATATAAGTATATATCCAAGTACGTATCAACACAGGGTATTCTTGTTGAGTTCTTTAATCCTGTGACCACCACGTTTATGAATGACCCTGTTAGCTTCATGTTTCATCCAGCTGACAATCGATGTTTCGCTACGAAATTGATACAACCGCGGGTAAGGATGTGCTTCCCGCAGTTTTAGCCTGCTTCCTTGCACAATGTGATTGTGTTGGTCGTTGCTTGAACCTTGGCTTATTGTCAGTAATTGGCACCTCAGTGCCTCCTTTTCTGTCATCACATTCATGATAGACCTCTGAGGAGCATCCTTATCGGTAATTTGGAAAAGGGAGAAGTTACATAGAAAGCAAAATAAGTTTATCTCAACGATTGATCGACGGCTACCGATCGCTTTCGTTCATCAAGGCGATATTACTTTGCGCATCATAAATTCACTTACCCTATACTGAGTCCTCGAATCTTCGTTGGTTTTGCATTCGGTCAAGTCTCGGGGCGTTCTACATGCCTGATTCATCGATTTATTTGAACGGATTATATGCTTTGTATCGCACTCATATCTTTACTATATGGATGTCGCTAGGTCAGCTTTGAACAATCAGTTGACGGGGTACATAGTTGAATATTCATGTATTAAACTTTCCTTCGTCACACAAGGGTAATGTCATAAACGTTAAACAGTTCCAGGCGAGCTTTGTATACATAATTTCATGGCACTGCCGACTATATAAATCACTCACAGAGGTTATATATCGTTTGAACACGACAGAAAGAGGATTATGTCTATAAGCCATTCGAGCATATGTCAGTCCTGCTGCTGCCCTGAGCAAACAGTCAGCTTCATCACAAGATAGGTAAGACTGGGTAAGATCAAAGTATGGGCTATTGGAATTTTGTATCCGATGAATGCTTCATGGATATAGCAATCTAACTTCTAGGTCCTTCAGTCGTTCACTATAACCATTGGCATGGGCCATGAAGGTACTGTCAAAAGAAATTCAAGGAGGAGACGAACTATTCTTCAAGTTTATTTAATTATCGCATAAAATAATAATTCAAGAAGCTCCTGCGTTAAATCACACCAACCTTCTCTTAAACTTCGAGTTAACCCATTTATTTACAGCCTCAGCTTTGACGTTGTCGCAGTGGCTTAACTGACAGATTACGCACACGTTCCCCGCCGTGATAACCGTGCCAATCTGCCAGATAGACTCTAAGCCATGATCAATGACTCGGCCGAACCGACACAGCTATTCTTAGAAAGAACTCGCAATTCAATACGTGTATCAAGAGGAAAAGCCTCAATCCGAACACCGAGAAAGTGGCTCTCTATAGTTTCTAGAATATGTAACATTACAGAAGAGCCAGAGATTAGGCTTGTTCCAGAACACGCTGGTTTGCGAGCAGGGGTCCGCCTGCAACCACTCAGTAGTTCCCGTCAGGCATACGTCATTGTTTCTTCTGCTCAGGCTATTTTTCGCTATGTCTTTTTCAGCCCGGGGCATCGGGCGTGCCGTCCGTGGAGCGGTTCGCATCAGCAGTCACGCATAAGTGGGAGACTTATGCAGTACTTGACAGGTGCAGAATCTGTGATGTGAATGGGTAGTATCTCTCAAGTCATGATGGTGTCGATAGTTGCCGAATTATGATGTCTTGCAGTAGACGAATCCTCAGTAGAGTGACTCCCATGTGGGCTCCGGCTGACCTCGCCCGGAGGTCACGGCACCGAAGGGCCATGGACATGGACATGGACATGGTCATGTTATTGTTGGGGATGAGTCCATGTGCCGTGTTGAAGGGAAAATCCAATGCTAATCCTGTCAGCCCCAAATCCTGACGCCTCGTTTGAGTCAATGGGGCCCGCCTCTAATGGACCGTGGACCCTGTCCTGTAGAATCAGCTGCTTGAGAGCGAGAGCCTTATAACAACAACGTTGCGCTCTTTGTCCTGGCCTGATTTTCATCCTTCTTTTTTCAACCCACCGTGATATAGAACATCAACTGCTTGTCTATAAACCTCTATTCTTATATACGCCAATCAATCCAGTCGTATACTCTTGATTACAACAGTCGATATGCCTTCTACTACTTCTTCGGCCATGCAAATGCCCCGCGAACCGGCCCCCGCAGCGTTCCCTACCGAACGAACCAGCACCGAACAGCCGGTATGTCACCCACGAACCTCCGGCTTGGCTTCTACCAAGTCTTCCCAATCGCCGAGACACGACAGCCATGCATTGAATTTCAAACATCGTGAATCATGATTGACTAACCCGTTTTCAACAGCGCCCAGTTCAACCCATGACAATGGAACAGCCTGAAATGAGCATGCGAGGAGGCAAAGACGGTGGTGTAAGAAAAACCAATTCTTCATTCGACTCTGCAATATTTACTAACATCTTGAAGGCTATCTGTTGTGGTATCTGCGCCGGTCTTTGCTGTTTCGAATGCCTAGACTGCTGCTGTTAAACAATTTCAATGGGCAAGGATATCATAGAGTAAAGCTCTGGCGTTCAGGCACGATTTACTGGGAGGACAATGTAAAGGGATACCATCTTTGGCTAATGATACGACGATTTTGATAGCTTTGTCTTCAAATAATACCTCGTTCGAATATTTAATTTACGGCCATTCTCTCATCGCTTCGTTCAGTCATGACAAGTCTAAACGCGAGTCCCTAAACCATACCCGCTCTACACGACCACGCCCTCCAATCGCTTTACCACGTCCTCATAAAATTTCATAGATAACTTTTCAGCAACTTCATCTCGTGTCTCATCATCTCCATCATTTAGTCCCAAATCCTTGCCTCCAGCCAAACACTTCCGTGTTGCATCTTCAAATCGCTCTCCCATGTCAGCACCTAATGCTGCGACTCGGTCTTCCTCTAGTAGAGCCTCTCGAACACCACGCACAACATCAGGTCTCCCGCGCGCACGCCGTATATCGATACTTAGCACGTCCTCAACCGGCCGCCAATGTGCTAATTCGACCAGAATGACACCCAGGCTATAAATGTCGAAGCTCTTCTTCGAACGCTCTCTATCTCGCCGACGGTTTGATTGGGCGTTGGGATGTCGGTATAGATCATGCTCTGCGTCATCTCCTGGGGCATCAGTCATCTCATCTGATCCCCCAGGTCGTGAAAAATCGAAGCCTGAGAGACATGGTTGGCGGTAGTCTACGTGGCCATCACGTGTCCGGAAGAATAACACATTATGACTGCGAAGACCCTTGTGTAGCCAGTGTACAGCATGAAGGTAGAGGAGACAATTGCTGATAGCGTGTGCCAAGTATACTCGTTCTGTAACACGAGGCTTGCGGACCTTTGGGTCTTGAAGAAGCTCACGGAGCGAAACAGGTGGGAGTGAGGTCTGTAGATTATCGTCGGATGGCCGCTCGAAGATGAGGCCGAGTCTTCGATCTAGAATATCAACGTCATCCTCGGGGATGTTGGGATCAGCTTTATCGAAGAACCCCAGACAGTGAGGAGTGCGAAAGGCCTCGGGCTTGGGACTATGGTTCAGCAAAGCAGCAAGTTTTCGGACTCTCTCAATGATATCGGTCTTTGATAGCGAACCTGGTTGGGTATCTGTATTGTCATAGTCCTTCCACTCAATCCAAACCTTCTTCTTGCCTTCTGCTGTCTTCATGAAAGCCTCACACCGTGGAGCATCTGATTCATCCACCTCAGGGTCTAGCTCTATGAGGTATCGAGGGATGAATAGATTGCGCTGATGACCCGGCTTTGCAAGATCGAGGAACTTTGCAGCAGCTTCGTCAAAGACTGCTGGACTATCTGACTTGGGATCGATAGTCTCATTGAAGGCCTTGAACTTGGCTAATCTTGACAATTGCCGCAGAGCGTCGGCATTGGCCTCCCTTTCCAGTTTGGACATTTGCGACGGTCCAACCCGGGAACCTGCATCGAGCTGAGACTTGAGAGCTAACACAAGATGACTCAGATCGGCTATCTTGTGATGGAGCAATAATACTCCACGGTTGGTGTCCTGTACAGTATTGCGAATCTCGACCTGTAAGGAGTGATCGAGGATATTTGTCATGTTGTCATTGAGAACTGAAAACTTGGCCAGCAACTTTTCAAATCCTTGCTTGTCAAATGAAGTCCACCTTAACCTAGTAAGGCTTTCTGATGATTTAGACTTGAGTCCAGCCATTGCTTTCTTGATGAAGTTCCGCTTCTTTTCACTCATAGGATAGTTTGATAGCTTGGCATCCTTTTCCGGAGCATCCAAAACACCATCTTTATCCACAACCGCGGAGAGATTATTGTGCTTCTGCTGGTACTCTGTGAACTCATTGAAGAGGCACTGAATTTGGACAAGCAGATCAATTACAGTCTGGCGGTGAAGATTGAATACGTTTGAGTTGAGAACCTTGTCTTGGTTCTTGGCATCAAGGTCAAGCAGGCCAGAAGCTTCACTCCAGCAAAACAGGCGCTGCTGTTCCATCCTGAGACGGAGATTGAGATATTTGCACTCATCCTCATAGCCCAATGCCGTAACAAGAAGCTGTATCCCTAATGGATGTCAATTTCACATGTTATGCTGGTTACGATGAGCTAGAATTACCTTGAATACATCCAGTGTAGACCTGGAGGCTGATGGAAGCAACTCCCAGCGCCAAGCCGGCAAGGGATACAGGGTCCATCGCGCCCTACTGCAGCTTATTTCAGGGCTCTTGGGAGAGAGGCTGTGCGGCTGAGCAGGGTCTGAGGCGGCCGACGAACTCGCTGTGATGGATGTGATAGAGTGACCTCTTGTCACTGGGTGGTTCAGGAGCTAAAAATTATTTGACACTGCGGGGGATCATGCGAGGTCGGAATGAGGTGATGATTGGTGGGAGCTATGATTAGCAGCCCGGAGATAGAAGGGAAAGACAAGAACGGAGATGATGATTTGGATGCTAATTGATGTCGAATATGGAAATCCGTAAATGCGGCCAATGACATTCCTCCTACAACAGTTATCGACTCGTTCGGATCCTTCAACAGGGCTGCAATTGACTCGTGCACTCTTCGTCTATCTATCTCGTCGATCACTTTTTCGTATTAGCGACGCACGCCGTGTCGTGTAAGCAACCCCGTTACCATGAGTAAGGGGCGTATAAATGCCGAGAGGACCCGAATTGCCATGGATCGGATGTACATGAATCCTTCGAGACCAGGGTCCTTAAGCAACTGCCATTTACGCTTCATGCATGATCTTCTTAACGCCGGTAGTTTGCGAAGTTGAGAACTGACTCGAAGTTTGTGAGGCCAGTCATGTTACATTACTCTGGAACCTGAGTTGGAAATTGTTAAGCAGACCGCCTACAGGACTTGAGTAAACGGTTGCCTACAGCACTTCATGTTCAGCTTCTCTCAACCCATGTCTTAAGCTTAACTCAATATGGAATATCCTGTCACCAGAAGCTACAATATGATTCGTTAGGATTTAACTCGGATTGTAGTTGTAGATCTGGATGTTACATGCAGACGGCTTCTCCGAGATGTTAAACACCAAGCTACGCTACATGATGGATGTTTGTTTTAAGGTTGATGTTGGCAGCTTTAACCATCTTGTGAGTCAGCTTGCGGGAAATAAAGACGCCATTTCTCAAATTCCGCGTCAAGTTAGACCAATTGTATTTTTGGAAGTCTTGTCAACGTCTTCTAATTCTTACTAATTATGGAGTTGATCCTCATCAGCTCTCAGTAAGCCATCCAATATCCCGGGTACGCGGTCCGTAATAGATGCCGCAACACCGCTTGCGGGCCGCAATTCATTGCTTTTGGTCTAGATATCTTCGAAGCTAGTTCTGGAATTGCGTGGCTTACTGGCTCAGGTAAGCGTAAAAACGTGGCTTAAGTTGACTCCCACTCCCGCGGCCTTGAACTTCCGCAGAGCTGGACCTCGCAGCGTTGCATTACCTTGCCGACACGATTTCCGGTGCCTTGTAACGGCTTGGGGAGGATACCCACACACCTGACAAGCTGCACCATGACCTCTGGTGAATGCAAGATTAGCTTAGCAAAAGCTTGGGTAATAGCAGCACTTCAGCCAGCCAGTTATGATGCTATGCAATGATATGATGTTTGGTGCTAAGAACTAAGGTTTAAGGATCAGACCTTGGGTGAAGCCATAAGCACGACGATAGCCTCCTAGTATTGTTAGACTCGCATATAGTTGCTAGAGTTGACATCGAGGCAGTGTGCCCGGGACATATGAGTGCCGGCCTTCACACCCACAGACATGTCGCAGCCACGAAGCCAAGACGAAAAGAATGCAAATACCTCTCATCCCTGTCCTTCTAGTATGCCAAGCCCAAAATGTCGGGATGCGGCAAAGGCGTACATGCTGCATCATGCTCGGTACTGGAATGGGATGAGGATCGTCTAGATGGGAAGCAAGTGACATGCTGCTTTGTGTTGTTCACTCAATATTCTGAAGCAATGAAACCTGCATGGCCGTTTATAGAAATGGATCAACTTGTACGAGCTGACTGATCTGATTGGTCCATGTCAGAGCTGCCATTCACTTAGACACACCCTTGTGCTGGTAGCTCCGTCTCTCTAATATAACGCCCGCAAGTTAGTCGTTATAAGCTCCTGGAGATAATCATCTAGTCCCATGTTAAAGCCTCGGGTTTACTTAGTAATTGTAACTAGCCTCTAAAACTGTGCTTCACAAGGCGAGGCTAGATAGCCAGCTAAGAGAGCTTTGCACCATTTCAACAATGTGGCACCGACAGTTTGGGCGGGCGTCCGCTAGTTTGGTTAACCTTACTGGCTGACATGAGTCTCTGTCTGCATTTCGAGGTCGGACCAAGCCTACCCCTGTCATCTTTGAACATGTGCGGCACAACCGAATACAATGGTAACGCAAGCGGATAATGCAAGTGGCAGAATGAAGAGGAGGGAGTAGGGAGTATGACCCCCAATCTCAAATAGTTACTTGTTCCATGATCCCTAAACTACCGCTGTTTGCCAGTGCTAGGGCTGAAGATGGTCCCTGTAAGATGCTTGGCTGTATACCGTTTGCCCAGATGGAAATGCCGGGTTCCGTACATAGCCCTCCGAGTGAAGCATGATGATATCGAGACTGGCGCTTAAATGCCCTATTTGGACATGGTACCAGGGTTGCTTTCGAATCATTCGGAGATTCGGCTCGTTCATCAGTGACATGACGTTGTTCTGTGCCTGAGGAAGAATATCTATAACAGGCAGACCATGCGGAAGCGTATTCGTTTCGAAGTATTATTAATCTTCTTCCATCTTCTTCGCAGGTTCCATTTCCCTCTCAAGTCTATACCAGCAGACATCTCAAGTGAGAGTTGATTATTCAACAAACATCGTCACCTCGGATCACTTGCGCCCTTCAGAGATATTGTCTTTGGCGCCCTAGCAAGGTTCACTTATAGATCTGAGCCAAGCGGCCGCCTTATTTAGAAAGCGGCATTCAAGATCTGAACTCGACTAAGACACAGTCAGCACCTGTACTAAGTCCCATCATTAAGTCAACTACCGGCAAAGCCTCAATCTCGAAATACCCACTATTGGCTTATATCGAAACTCGAATTCACCTCTTGAAACCACTAGCAATCCTCCGAGAAGCACTCATCAATGGACGAAAGAAGGAAGACTTTCTCTGGAACTCATTCCGAGTTCTCCTCGCCGTTTCCCTCTCCCCAACCTTACTCATTCTATTCTGACCCTCTGAACACATCGTACATGTGGTATTCCCCGACAATGAACTCCAGAATCTCATTCCACCAGACAATCTCGAACTCAAATAGAGAAGATACATACTCGGGAAATGATGAACTGTCTTCCAACTCAAATTCGCCCAGCTCTGGTGTCGATGGGAGGGCTTCACCTTGTGGATCAACGTCTACAACGGCTGAGAGTAGTCGTATGAGCGTTACTTCTGTCCCAGCTGCTTGTTTGGCTTGTGTAAGTACTGTCTCTTGGATTGAGGTAGAGCCGCTGTTAACATCATTTCTCTCTCAGAGGGGCAGACATTTGAAGTGCGATGGTGTAAATCCTTGTTCTCGCTGCCTTAGTTCTGGCTCTGACTGTGTCTATGTTGCTTCAAGACGAGGCTACAAAGGCCCTCGCAGAAACACCGTTCAAAAGCCTGGCAAGAAACATGGCGTATCTCCAGCTCGAACAAGAACACGCAGTGGCGAAAGCTCAGTGACATCAAGACCAGAACGTTCTGCTTCACTGGGCTCATCCTTATTTTTGAGTCCTAATATGGGCGACGACATGTTTAAATCGCCATTATCGACACCTTTCCTCGACCCTGCCTTGGATGCTAGCAACAGCATGGAGAGCGATATGTCTTTCTTCGGGCCTTACGATCCAGCAGATACATCAACTGATATGTTCAACTTGTTCACGAGTCCACAGCATGAACATGTCGTGACGCATGTCCCTGCACTGACTCTACCCGAACGCTGTATAGACTCGTTTTACAACCATTTCCATGCCGCGCATCCTTTTGTGTTCCCGAAGGAGTCACTTCTGATGATCTCTCACGAGAGTTCTGTGATGCCCGTACTCGCTGTAATGCGCTGGATTGGCTCATTACATATTCCAGCATGTTCAGAGCGGGGCCGTTTCTTCCAGGAAGCTCATCAACTTATATACGAACCGCGTCGTCGAAAGGACGGGTTCCTTGTACAGGCTTTGTTACTCCTTCTGATCGGGTTGGATGGACAAGGCCAACAGGACCAAGCTCGACAAATATTATCTGGACTCGAGAGAATTTCTGTGGATATTGGTCTCAATACGAGATCATATGCGACTACTTACGGGAGAGGTATTCCAATGATGGAAGAGAGCTGGAGGCGGACGTGGTGGGAGCTTTTCATTGTGGACGGGCTAATCGCTGGAGTCCATCGAAGTACGAACTTTTTGCTGTTCGATGTAGCTTCTGATGTTGCCTTGCCTTGCGAGGAATACGAATATCTGTCTGGTGTAAGATATTAATTTCTTCATACGGTAGAATCTCTCTGACACGATTGCCTGTATAGGACATTCCCGAGCCAATGTATCTCAGGGATATGAATGAGAGTGACTTCTCCGGTACAAGCCAGGAGTTTTCATCTTTCGCGTATCGAATACAAGCGACTCAAAACCTCGGACGGCTCTTGAGAATCCCTCCCGTTTCTGGACCCGACGACGAAAGCCTCAGAAATATTCAGACGATGTTGACGAGTTGGCGAGTCAGCTTACCCAAGTCAAAGGCAGACGCTTTACGGCAATATGGCCATTTTGATGAGATGCTCTTTCAAGCTCACATGATAACCCATGCTACCTCGATTCTGCTTCATCAACCATACTCACAGCTGAACTCAATATTGAGCCAGTCAAACAACCAAGCCGACCAATATGATTCTGTGTCGTCAAGAGACGATTTCAACAATCATACGAAGAACATAATACAAGCCGCAACAGAGATCAGCAAGCTTGTCACCCATCGTGTCTCGCTACTTTCTCACAGTCACTTCTTCAGTTACGTGGTTACAATGTCATCTATAATTCACCTCAACAGATGGGCTATATTTACACCCGATACCGAGAACAATTTACGCCAGGTGCTCCGCCTCAACATTGGTGCCCTCTCACGAATGTCTTTAGTATGGAGCGCTTCAGAGCGAGAGAGTAGTTCTGTGAAGAGCATGGCTCGAAGCATCTACCAGGTCAAGAAGCAGCATAGGGTATTGCCCCAGTTTTGGATCAGTATGACTCATGATGAAGCGATGGATAGGATTGCGGCGGACGACGCTATGATTCACGAGTTTGAGGATATGCAGGTTGTGCCTGGTATGATGGGTCATTGGACCGATCCTGAGAACAAGCAATGGAATTAAACACTACAGGGCTTCCAAGAAAGAATTGTGCTTGAAACTTGATTTAAAGCATGGCGTTTTGGCTGGTGGCTTCGAGCAGAGAGACTTTGATGCTTTGTTGCAATGGACAAGATGCACAGATGCAAAGAAGTACATGTGTGATGAGAAGTAGTTAGACTGTTAATTATGTACAGAGTATTGTAGCCCTATTTAGAAATTTGAGGATACATGTTATTTCCGGCATGGCATCTATTTGTACGATATCTCTGTGACGTGAGAATGCTGAGTTGAAGAGGAGGAAGGCCGGATAAGTCGGCTTGACTCTCAGATATCAAAGACACGGGATTTCTAATGTAGATCAAGAATAAGCTTTATATTCTTGCCGTCGCTGTTTAAAACGGCCCTCGGCGATGTCGAGTCTTCGGCTCGTCGGCGACCCTGGTCGAGACTCAGCCCTATTACTCGGGAATTATGCTATCACGAGCCAATCACATGAAGGAGCCAACAAGTCGGGACGGATTCAGGAACTGGGTAAAATCTTACTCAGAAGCTGAATTCACATGCATGGGTAATACGAAAAGAAATAATCTAGACCCCGAGATTGCTTACATGCATATGGGTCCAGTTTCACCCACCACCTGCAAGCTTGCGATTACCTGATAATCCGGCAGTTGGTCACTATACATACAGAGAATCTAGATATGAGAGATGAGCCGGATCTCGGATATCGGCATTCCTCCTCTGCTTCTTGTTTATCGTCCGCTTCCATTCGGAGACATGTTCAGCTTTAACAGGCTGTAGAGCAATAAAAGCAGTGACACATTCGTCAGCTCAAAGTCCCAAAATGGTAGTGGCGGAGTTTGAGTAAGCAATCAAATTTTACCAGCCGCGCACCTTTTGCTTCAGCTGAAAATTGGTGGATGACACGGGCTATAGCCAAGACGCCGAAAGATGAGACAGTCTCTCTTCTGTCCTCTTAAATTGATTTCTCCTGGTGACTGCAGTGTTTTCTCATATATAAAAACCCAAGGTGCAAATTGTCTTTTCTTGACATCACTGAAACACTCAATTGCTACATTCACTGGTGCTCTCTAACCCCCTTTATCTCCACTACTTAATCGTGAAGCCATCAAAATGACAGTCCGTAAGTTATCCGACTTGGACAACAGCATGGACTCAGAGCAACGCCCTGTCGCAGAGAAGCATCTTCTCAACACCACAATCAAGAATTTCACTTGGCGCAACGTCACTGTAACAGTCAAAGACAGAGAGACAAAACAGCCCAAGGCAATTGTTGATAGTGTCGAAGGGATAGTCGAAGCAGGTTTGTGGTGACCGCCATTCTTCAGTGATACCAAGCTAATGAATTTACAGGCGAGATTTGCGCCCTTATGGGTCCTTCAGGTTGCGGAAAAACAACACTTCTTAACGTACTAGCACGCCGTCCAACGAATGCAAGCAGTGTTGAAGCAGAAGTCAACATCAACGGAAGCCATTTATCACTTGCCGAGTTCAGAGAAGTTTCGTGCTTCGTTGAACAGGAAGATGCTCTCATTGGCTCGTTAACTGTTCGAGAAACCCTCGAGTTCTCATCGCGGCTCGCCAGCTCGAGGTAAGCATCTTGTATGCTCAGCTTCCAGATAGTATCTGACCTTGGATAGCTCTTTGTCTAAGAAAGAACGAATCGTCCGCATCAACAACCTCCTTGAGTCTTTCGGTCTAGTCGAACAAGCCAACACTCTTATTGGAACGCCCATTCGCAAGGGTATCTCAGGTGGTCAGAAACGTCGAGTCGGTGTTGCGAGTCAACTCATCACTAGTCCCAAGCTTCTCTTCCTCGATGAACCTACGAGTGGTCTCGACTCAGCTGCCAGTTTAGAAGTTGTTAAATATCTTCGCGACGTGGCCGAGCGCAACAACCTTATCGTCATCTGCTCTATCCATCAACCATCCACTTCGACCTTCAACTTGTTCGACAAGTTGCTCCTCCTCTCTGGTGGAAAGACCCATTACTTCGGACCTGTAAACAGTGTTGCGGCATACTATGCCGAAGTTGGATCACCGCTACCTCAATATGTCAACCCTGCCGAGCATCTTCTTGAGCTGGTCAACATTGATTTCGCCCAGGATAGAGGCGAGGCATCACGAGACTTGGAAACACTTCAAGCCGCGTGGCAAAACTCACGACATGCCAGTGAAGTCAACACTGCAATCAAGTCTGCCGAATCTTCGGGTGGTGACTGGAACATCGATACAATTGAGAAGAGGCCTAGCATGTTTAGTCTTACTATGACTCTCCTCCATCGAAGCTTCATCAAGAGTTATCGAGATGTCGTAGCCTACGGCATTCGTATCGCTATGTATCTTGGTCTCGCTATCATGATGGGCACTGTCTGGGTGAGACTCGATCCTGCACAAGAGTCTATCCAGCCATTCATCAACGCTATCTTTTTTGGCTCAGCCTTTATGAGTTTCATGGCAGTAGCTTATGTCCCTGCTTTCATTGAGGACAGGCTTCAATACGTCAAAGAACACCACAATGGCCTTTACGGAGCAGCGGAACTTATTATATCCAACTTCTTCATCGGCGTTCCTTACCTGTTTCTTATTTCTATTCTATTCTCGGTCATCTCATACTGGCTTTCCAACTTCCAGCCAACTGCAAAGGCCTTTTTCACCTGGGTTCTGTGGCTGTTCCTCGATCTACTCGCTGCAGAGTCACTTGTTGTCTTTATGACATCCCTATTTCCTAGCTTCGTCATCTCCCTCGCACTGGTGGCCTTTGCGAATGGTCTGTGGATGTCTGTTGGTGGCTTCATGGTTCCTCCAACTATCCTTAATGTCTTCTACAAATACGTCTTCCACTACTGGGATTACCAGAAGTATGTGTTTGAGGGTATGATGGTCAATGAGTTTGCGGATCGAGTGTATAGCTGTGGTGATGGATGCCGTTGCATGTATCAGTCAACCCTGGCGGACCAGTGTATGATCGACGGACAGGCTGTGTTGAACCAGTATGGATATTCGAACGGACATATGGGACGAAATGTTGGCATTATGATTTCAATCATTGCTGGATACCGACTGGCATCATGGCTGGTTCTAGTATTGAGGAGGTAATTACGTCTGTACTGGAACACAAGTTTTATCGGTATATCGTCACAAGGTCAATTCAGTCTTATATAGCGATGGTTTAATCGGGCTTTAGATAAAAAGTGCAATAAATATTAATAAATAGCATCAATAAGTTCTTGTATCGTGTTTCCTAAAGTTCACAAGATGTAGTTCGTCAACAAACACTGGGAAGGGAGTCGAGGTCTTTGGGAATCACGCCAGCTCTCGCCGCATCTACTACTATCAGTGATCGTGTCGTACGTTTTGGAAATCGGAGCTCACCTCTATAAGACCAGCGATAGTCATCACCAAGACTAGCCTCCCAAGTCCAAAAGACCCATCCAAGAGTATTCTCTTCATATGCATGCACCTGAGCAGAGAACCACTTGGTGTAAAACTCCTTCTGAGTCTGAGGATTCCAAGCATCAGTCTTCTCAACATCATCGGGCACAGCTAGTGACCATTCGCCAACAATCGTGGGGCCGTCAGTGTTGCGATCATCGGAACAAGATTTCTTGATGTACGCGCCATGGGAAGCTTCAACACTCGTATCCCACTTGAGGTATCGATGGTCGTCGAAAGCCGTGAATGAGGTGTCCCTGAGGAACTCGGTTGGCTTTCCGCTGCCCCATAGAGAACCCATCATATGGATATGAAGGCGGTTGTTGCTGGTAACCTTGAGCTTGTCCTCGACCTTGCGAATTGCCTATGGATCGTTAGTATCATATTATGTCGATGATCAGATAGTAAGTACACTGCAGGCCTTGGGATAATAGGTCTTTCGCAACGAATCAACGGCCTTGTCCCAGTTCAGCGGCTCATTGACTAACCCAAGCATGCCAACATTGCGATACTCTTTCTTGGTGTGGATTATGTCGGTCATCCACTCGAGCCATTCGATCGCGCGCCCATAGTTATAGTCACTATAGAACCCAACTGTCGGAGCATATTGACCCGTAAAGGGCTGGTTTGATTCTTGAGCACCCGGGACACCGTGTAGGCTATTTTTACAGTTAGCATATGCTATGAACTTGTTGAGAGAATGATGTAGAAGCCTCGATCGCTTGCCCAACCACAGAGTTGAGTCAAGTATTCCAAACCACCCTCCAAATGTTAGCTACAGCATATCAAGAAATGATATTGTCATGTACCTTGGGGAAGTGCTCTGAATCATCAACCAGGTCTTCCTTTAGCCAATACCCTAGAGGCACACGAATAGTATTCAGGCCATAGCTCAACATCTCGTCGAGATCGGTTTGATTAATCCAGCGTTTCCAATGAGCTTGAAAGTTTTTGTCCGTAATATCTTGTCCTTTGTTCATGACACAGTCAAAGTCGGACTTTTCCCCCTCACAACCTGTGTTGGCCCATTCTTGGCTATCGATCCAGGGCTCATAGATGAAAAGAGACCCGAGGTTTACTCCCCGGATCTTTTTGGTCGCTGGAAGCCACCTTTTGTTGTTCGGCTCTGTTCGAAGAGGGTATACAAAGGTTTCATTGTCACGCTCGTTCAAGGCATGAGGTTCAGTATTAGGAAGCCATGCATTAACAGACGTAGTAAGGACCGCAGCGGCGGTGATAAAGGCAGATGTCCGTATCTCAAACTACGCAGAAGTTAGTTAGAGAGTGAAGAATAGAATTTGATGTTAGGACATTTCTTCACTTGTAGGCCATTTCGTTCGAGTGAAACACATGTTAGTAACATAACAAGGGGAATTGTTCATGCTTTCAGAGCACACCACTATCATTTGATGCTCTGTGGCTGTGCCCGTAAGCTGGTTCGTAGGATCAGGATTCAGTCTTAAATAAACGATATTACATGGGTGTAATACACGCTGAGGAAACACAATAGACCTCTTGCGAGTTTATAGGTAGCCCTAAGGGATCCTCTCTTCAAACTCTAGATTCCAAGGACTGGGACTCATAATCACAAGAGAAAGGCTTGTGAATTCAACACAAGATTCCAAACTTACAGAAATTCTGGAGCATTTCTTTCCTTTGTTGGCACATTTCGTCTCAACCCTTTGACAACCCATGTTGCCATGTTGGAGGAAATGGTGGAGAAGCATCAAAGGACGGTTTCATAAGAACTTGTTTCACTAATCAGCTGGCTTTCATTAGTGAAGGACGAAAGAAAGGAACGATTTGTGCATTTCTTGGCTGCATAAATGGTGCATTTGTCTGTGGAGAGATCTTTGGTGCGACTCTGTGGCAGCTTAGCTGCATGACCTTGTAGATCCCGGCAGCACAATAGCATAGACTTCAGATTTTACATCTCTCAGGTAACCAAAGCTTTGACTTCTCAGTAAGTTGAGCACTGCGTAATATGTAGCATCATCCCAAGATCATGGGAACCTAGACTGCATTTTTCAGGTACCATCGCAACGGATCATACGGAACTTGGGCCGACATGTCGTAACAGCGCACGGCCTGGGGCGTATTGCATCAGGCTGCGAACTCCTAGTGGTTCAAACAGCCTCATGATGAAAAGCTTGACAAGTGTCAAATCGGAGCCGAAGCACATTGCAGTTTTGAGAAATACTATGTGGGTTCTCTGATCGAGCACAGAGACGGTGAAGAACGAGGCGAGTCATACTTGAGTACCGAGAGGGACTAAATGTTTAGAAAGCAAACCCGGATCGAGGTTTTTCTCAGATTGAATTAACTTTAGGGTACTGCCTTAATTTGTGCACCATAACTTAGTTTAGTTCATACCAGTCAAAAAGATTGAATAGAACAGGTACTCGTCACATCCAATACAATGCTATTGATGAAGCCTCCCGTCTACAAACTCAACGGGCCGCCGTTTCTTCACCGCTGACGGCCCCACTATCGGGCAATACGTATCCTGACCCACAAATACATTCGAAATACTCCAAACCTGGCAGGTACAGATGATGATGGGATGCGTTGGCTAGCCTTAGCTTGCGCCGCGGTTTCCCCACCAACCATCCCTACCTTAGCAACTGGCAACGGTGAGTGACGAGAAGAGTTCCCTCCCAAACGGAACGACTCAAGTCTTCAAGCTTGGCTTGCGTACTTACCTCTTTTTGTAGCTTCTTTTCACCTACACAAACCTCTAGGTAATTCTTGTTTTTGCCTCTGGTTCTTCGATTTTACGACTACAGCGATCCTTAGGCAAGATGTTTGTGCTAGAACTCTTAGCCTAAGACATCCGACATCGCCTTCGAGGTCATCAACAACATTCCTTCATTCCGATCTCGAGACAAGAACCACGCCAAACGCTACGAGGATCCAAAAATACCTCTAAACTTCACCGCGCGAGACATCCCGATCTCGCCTGAAACACAACTTTCCTTACTGTCGTCGCCATCATGGCGCCGGCAACCGATGAACTCTCTGCACCTGGTGCAGTGAGTTATGATTCCAACACCCAAGTCGTGGGAGATGGAACGTGGGACTTCGACAAGAATACATTTCTACTCCCCAATTTACAGGGTCTCAATCATGAAACCATGCGTTACAATGGTATTCAAGCCCGTCTTCGAGTTCAAGCATTGTATTCGACTAACACTAGGCGATAGGCATGGGAAACAGATTTTCTACACTTACACAATATCATGGTCTTGTACTAGCACATGCCGTTTTGGGAACAATAATATTCCTCTTTCTCATCCCCTTCTCTGTCATGACAGCCAGATTCTATTCAAGGCGTCCTGGCTGGGCCATCAAATACCATGGTCAGCTCAATGTCTTTTCCGGCTTGTTACTGGTGCCTCTCTTTATCCTGGGCTACTTTGCAGTCGGCCCGGAACGAAGCTTGACGAACCCACATCATGGGATTGGCGTCGCCATATTTACTCTATTCCTAGTTCAGCTTATGGGCGGTTGGATCGTGCGAAGGGTGGCCAAGTCCGTCTCTTTGCGCATCATGATTCACCAATGGTTCGGTCGAGCGATTGCCCTTTTAGGCATTACTCAGGTTCCCCTGGGACTCACCTTGTACGGCTCGCCACTCTACCTGTTCATTCTCTACGCTGTCTGGATGTTCTTTCTTTTTATTTTGTACTTCATCTTGAGTTGGCGGTCTGCTTCTCACCGGGACTACTATATGGGTGGAGCACGCTCAGAAATGCGGTCTGAGTTGGCGCCAACAGAAGATACACGCACTCGATACACAGAGTCTGAATATTTCTCAGAGTACAAATCGGAGCCTCCTAAGAGCAAAGCCAAGTGGCTAGGCCCATTTATCGCACTCGGTGGACTCGCAGCCCTGGCCAGAGGACGAAACAAGAATAAGAACCAAGACAATGGCAGTCGAGTCCGAAGTCGATCCCCTTCCTTTGATCGCAGCCAAAGACCAGAAGTTCTCCCATCTAGGACCGGATCAGCTAGCTACCTCACTGGACATACCGGGGAAAAGTATTCCGATGTAACGCGGAAGGACAATAGCGGAGCTGGAGCCGGAGGTGGAATCGCAAAGTTCTTGGCCGTCCTGGGACTTGGAAAACTGTTCTCCAAAAAGGATCGCTCACGCGATGAAGACTACTCAGAGTATTCTGCAGTATCGACTGAAACACCCAGGCGCCACCGCGCAACCGCGAGCGCTCCAACTATGACTGACTTTACCAGGACTGATTTTACCAGCGATGTTACACCCAATAATAGGAGAGAGCCCGATATCACGCGTACTTCGTTACTCCCCCCCTCTGGAAATCGTCCGCCACCTCCTGCAATGTCGCAAATGCGGAGCGCCGCTGATGGAAGTTATACCGAGACTGCTCTGAGCTCCCCTCCTCCATCTGTCACCCCTCGAGGCAAACGATACCCGCCAAATTCAGGTCGCAGCTTCTTCGAAGAGTCAGACTATTCTTCCTATGTCAGTCCTTCTCGACGACCACAGCCTGAGAAGTCTGGTGGTGGTTTTGCGAAAGGACTGCTAGGTGGCCTTGGTTTCGGATGGTTTGCGAAGAAGATGGCGGACAGGAGGGCAGCAAAGGAAGAGCAACGCTTACGTGATGAAGAGGACTTGAGATCCGGTACCTCATTGTCCAGGTTTACCGGCGGCGACGGACACGGCTCTCCCACGAGACGAGACAGCCGTCGGCCCATCGAACGTCGACAAACAGGCTACCCTCCCACGGACACGCTTTTATCAACCGAGATGTCGGAATCGACCATTGAGCCCCGGCCTGCACGAGGTAACTACGTCCCACCTACTGAAATGAGCACTTTACCCCCACAATCAAATCTCCCACCCGTGGCCGGCCGTGCAGGAAACCACTCGAGACGCAGCAGTGAGCATGTCTCAATGCCTGCGATGCCACCTGATCCCCACGGTATCCTGGCACCCACTGAAACCACGGCCTCAGGAATATCCCCAGGATCTCGGGCTCAGCGGTCCCGTCAAGGCCGGCCCGGTGACCGAGATACATCAAGACTTGCCCCAGGCGAGGAAGATTCGCGTTACGAACGCTATGCATCCCCAGCCAGTGTCAGTGTCAAGATGAAGGTACATGATGATAAAGACAGGAACGTGACCCTCCGACGACTTACAGAGGAGGAAGCAAAGGCAGCACGGGGCCGAAGAGACTCTGCTAGCAGCATCTCTGGACTCGAGTCTCCCTCGTACCGCCGACGTTACCGAAGAGACTCCAGCCAAAAGCGAGCTGAGACGGCTGCCGAGCGAAGAGCTGAAGAGGAGGATGCCATGCCGCCTCTGTCCCCCCCGAACCCTTCCTTTGCGAAGCAAAAACGACGAGGCAAAGACTCCGCGTATTACTCCGGACAACCAACACAGGCACAAACGCCAGCGTCGCTACTGCCAGGCGCCTCAGCCCAGTTTGGCCAAACAGTGTCTAGTTTGGCTGAGAGCCATGGCACTTGGAGTGGTATCACTCCATCTGTCAACACCTCGCCCCCTGGACCTGCTGGGGAAGGGCCAGTTGACGGATCGGCCGCAGCAGAAAATCGACGACAACGGCGACGACTCGAAAGGAGACGTGCAAGCGGACCTACTGCTGAGCCACCTGCCACTACCAATGTAGACATGTTTGACTGAAAGGCCGAGGATTCAGAGTTTGATGTCTCTCGTTTGCCTGTCGACTTCAAGCTGACAGGTGGGCGATTGGCTGGTGAAAAGATATGCATCGTGGGACGGGATCCTAGCATGGGCGGCGTTCTGGAGGGAGATTTGTGAATTTAGTAACGTCACGTCACGTCGATTTCAATGTTTGCAGATAGACTTGGAGGACGATACTGATGCCAACGAACGAATTGATTGGCTTGAGAATGATAACTTGATATATGGCAACTTTCTTATTACTAGAGTTTGAAGGGATCCACAAAGGATTGACGATAATGAATTCAGAATTGCGCTTCTCTCATACAGTTAAAGTGTGTATCTTAATGAACTTGGTGTGATGTGTATTTACTGTGAAGCCATTGTATTTAAGTGACATACTTGGACCGACCGTAAAGAACCTGTTATGATTGGCTTACACTGAGCTTGGTGTTGAAGCTCCGGTCCCTCGTCAGTATCCAATTCTAATGACTCCACTCTCCTCCATTAGAGCTCCACTGAACAATCCACCAGGGTCGACAGCTCTTCTGCTAAACATTCAAGTCCCTCACAGCGGAGACCACTATCGTCATTTAATCTTTTCTTCTTTCCTTTTTCCTTCTTCTTTTTGTTTAATCAATCTTGCGCCGTTCTGGCATCTCAATGGCCCTGAACCTGGCCTCAATTCCTCCTCTTCGATAGCGATTACGTTCCCTAACTCCAACT